ATTATTAATTGTTAACTTAATCGTAAGCTTAGTAAGGAAGGGCTTTAGCTTCTTACGGTCTCTATCGTATTTCTCTAGGTCTAGATACTTCTCGCTCTTATTATATCTAGTATAGTTATTATTGTCGTTAAAGCTATAGTTAAACCTAGGGCAGCGGAGAGAGTCTAGTCGGTCGCGAGATCGTAGTACTAGGTCGTAACTAAAGTTATTATTAATATTAACGGGATTATCCTAACCCTTAGGGTTAGTATTTAGACGGCCGAAGCGTAAACGACTAAGATAGTTAAAAGCGCTAAGAGGTCGACGAAAGCTACTACCGCCTAGTATAATGTCTTCGGGTGCTAGATATACGTTAGACGGGCGACGGAATAAGGGTCGGCTATTATTTAGTATAGGTCCTTAGCCGCCGACCGGGTTACGTAATAAGGACGCTTTAGCGTTACGATAGGTACGAGTAGCTTATTCGCTAGCTCGGCGGGCGATATCTTCTACGGAAGACTATTATTATTATAGACATACGGCTTACTAAGCAAGGTTATTACGTTGCTAGTACGCGATATTTAGTATATTACGTACTACCTCGGCGGCTTAGCGTTAGTATTCTACTTCCGTACGAGCCTATACTAGCTCGCTATTAAGGTAGGTATTAGTCTTATAATAGGCTTATTATACTCGCTCTAGTGTTTCTACTTCTTACTAGTATTGTTAACAGAGAGTAGCTACTAACTAGTATAACGCGGTTATATGTTAAAAGACATATTTAGCGGCTTCCTACTTATTTACTCTACTAAAGAGCTACTAGAAGTCCTAGAGATTGCCGGGTAAAGGCTAATATAGTACACTATCGATGTCTATAAGGCTAGGTCGTAGACCCTACGGAGGTTATTGCTCTAGTATACCGTTTAACTAGGCACTAGCTATTCCTGCTTAGTTAGGCGTATTTATATATTCCGAGCCGCTACTACGATTAGTAGGCGGTTATAAAGGATCTATAACGGATCGGCGGTATTACTACGGTTAAGTAGCTTACTATACTTAATATAGATTAGTGTATAGGTCCTAATATAATATAAGGTTTGTTAGCGCTATTATATAACGAGAAGTATAAAAGGGCGATAGCGATCGCCGGCGATATAATTCTTCGTATAGATATAAACGATAGTACCTACGACGTTATCGCAGGTAATAAAGGAACTCGTTATTCTATTAAGATATTAATTAGATAGCTATCTAAATTAATAACGAGTTAGAGAAGGAAGAGAGAGAGGCTCTCTCGCGGAAGAGGCTTTTATCCGCTCGGCGGATACCTTAGGTATCGAGTTACGTAACTTCGGGTTACTTGTAGCTTAGGTCTAATAACACCCCCGGGGTAGCATTAGCTAGCCCCGTTACGTAACTTCAAATTTTATATATAAGTCGCTAAGATCGTAATATAATACTATATTAATAACTAGTTTCTTCTCTTCTACTAGAAATTCTCCTAAAACCTACGAGGAAGAGGCGCTATCTATCGTAGACATAAGACCGCTATCGTAAGTAGGTCTAGAGCGGAAGGAGTAAACGGTATATATAGCGAGTCGATTTTAATAGCGACTATATTAGCGGTATTAATTACAAGGGCTGTATATTACCTTAAGTATATTATTAAATAATAATCGGAGGTATTTAGAAGCCCTAGGGGCTTATAACTACTGAATGTAAGAACACTAGTAGATTAGATGTCTACGAAGGGTTCTACGGAAGAGAGAGATCGGCTATGCCAAGAACGCTCGGGCACGTGATCGTGGCCTGAGGCTGCAGGACCCAGCCTGGATACATCAAGTGCAAGTGCCATGCGCTGCTCTCAGACTCTCCTTCCGGGGAACGGGAACGAGCAAGGCAGGCAGTATCGACGTAATTTGTTTCTTTGCATCGTGCTATACGAGACGTGTCTGAAGCTGGCCTACGACAGTTATCGATGGCTCAGTCAGCACATGGAGCAAAAGAGGCCGACGGTGGAAGAATCGCGGCACCAGGCGCAGACACGACCGATAGAATATCTCCGAGTAGAGGTACGACACGCCAATGACCTGTCATCTGCGAAACACCACTCATTGCTTTCGAATGATGGCCTCAACTGTTCCGGCCCGCTCATCTTCTTGAACCTTCCATCAAGCCAACCAAAGGGCGAAACACTGGCAAGCCTCGCCATCCAGGCCGATTCTTCCCCGAAACGGATGCGGGTGGAAACGAGAAGGCGAAGGCGTTAGCCACGTGAAGATCAAGGCCATCTCATTCTTCTTGACGATTGACCATGCTCATCGGCCGTGGCTCGCAGACGGAGATGTGGTTGTGTCTGGAACTGTCTTGTTTGGTGTTATAGGGGGAAGAGAAGATTGACGATGCTTATCGGCCGTGGTTCGCAGACGGAGATGGGGTTGTGTCTGGAACTGTCTTGTTTGGTGTTATAGGGGGAAGAGAAGATTGACGATGCTCATCGGCCGTAGCTCGCAGACGGAGATGTGGTTGTGTCTGGAACTGTCTTGTTTGGTGTTATAGGGGGAAGAGAAGATTGACGATGCTTATCGGCCGTGGTTCGCAGACGGAGATGGGGTTGTGTCTGGAACTGTCTTGTTTAGTGTTATAGGGGGAAGAGAAGATTGACGATGCTTGTCGGCCGTAGCTCGCAGACGGAGATGAGGTTGTGTCTGGAACTGTCTTGTTTAGTGTTGTAGCGGGAAGAGATGAAAAGACAGATTCTGCGGCACTAGGCGAACCTATAGGTGATGAGGGAAGGTTGTATAGGCAAATCTCTCTCAGAAATCACAGCCTGATTTCGGCCGACCTTATCGGCCGTTGTTCGCAGACGGAGATGAGGTTGTGTCTGGAACTGTCTTGTTTAGTGTTATAGCAGGAAGAGATGGAAAGACAGATTCTGCGGCACCGGACGAACCTGTAGGTGATCAGGGAAGGCTGTGTGGGCAGATCTCTCACGATCATCTTACATCCTTGCTTGGTGAGTGAAACGAGTCCGAATCCGCCTTTCTGCTCGATCCGTCACGATGGTGCAGATGTTCCGCCTCACCTCACTTGCTTTTAGCACTCCGAATCCTCGCACTCTTATAACTACACGCATCGACGACTTCGTTTGCTCTGGACCCACTTTTCTGCGGAACCTTCTTACGATCACAAGCAAGCACCAGCAAGAATAATCACAAGCTCACAATACCGCAACTGTATCGTTCATCAATAGGCATGAGAATCGCATGTGCGTTCGGACCCGCCAATGCGTCCGTGCCGATGATGGTTCTTTCATTTCAAACGATGCATGGTTTTGATTTGTTCCATACCTGCACACCGACACCCGAACACGAAAAGGTCCGATGGCTACCATCGTGCCGCCCCAGACGATCTCTTCGAGCTTCAAGACGACCGCCATCGCCAAGTTTCCGCTGGTTACTGGAGGCTTCAAGTATCTTGCAGTCACCCAGACTCTGCTCGACACTGGCGGAGAAGCGAATCTCATCACACAAGCTCTGGTCGACGTCTTGCTTAGCTACGCACCAGCACTACAGATTCAAGGCGATTATCAGGTCTTCGGAGCTGCCGATAACCAGTCATTCGAGGTCACACAGCGACTTGACCTGCAAATCTCTCTCGGCGGCGTCCCCAAGACTCTCTCCTTCTACGTCCGACCGGGTTTGGGGGGCTTCAATATGATCGTGGGTATGCCCGGTCTCAACGCGTTTGGTGTCACGATGGACATCTCCAAAGCCCTCTACACCGTCTCTGCTCCACCAGTAAGTCCTTCAGACGCCGCATCTTGCTGCTAAATCAACGCTGACATCTGTGATAACAGGACTATCAAGGTCGATTTACTCGCCATGTCTTGAAGCCTGATCTTCTTTCTGGCCCGTCCCAAATCGTCCATCTGAGCGCAATGGATGGACTGGATAGATTCTCACAAGAAGGAGAAACTCCGGAACAGTTTGTGCAGCGTCTTCAGTTCGCGCAGCTTGCGGAGGAAGTCGTCTAGCCTCCTTTCATTTCTGAACACACCCCTGCATCGTCGCCTTTTTTTACGGACTATCCTCAGAGCCAGACAGAATGAGTTGAGGGTCAGTACGAGGGAATCACATGACGGTCAGGGAATTCCCACCACATTTCACAACCATGCGGCGCATTTTTTTTTGGAGTTTACGAATTACGATATCACGAGATACGACGGTACTGGCTGGGCTCGACATATATATAATCCAGTGAAGACGTCTGGATAATATGATACTGGGTTATTGCGTTCACAAATGCCCGTCATTTCTCTCAACTTTCAGACGCTTCTGACTTCTCCGCTTTTCCACGCTGTTCGTTTCGTTTCGTGTTTCTGCTATGTGGACTTGTGCGATCAGAGCGCAGTTGAGGTGAGCTAGGACGGACTGCGTCGAGATCTCACACTTCACTCGAGGATCGAGTCTCGGGGAGAAAGCTGCATTCTCACTCAGCATCATGATGCCTGGTCCAGCTCCGTATAACGCTGGCGGCAATTGTCCCGAATAGCAAATTGTCGAGCCAAGCAGATTCATCATCCAAGAGATACAGCGAGGTGAGGTATGCAATTGCTTTGTGGGTCAACTCACTTCGTAACGAGCTCTATCCGAGGCACGGGACTGAAGTTTCGGCTTCACGTTGCAGCCTCGCGGCAGAAGTGGATACCGCACAGAAAGAAGTCTTGGCACAGCTTTTCGCGTGATGTGAAGTAGGGATGGCGTTATTCGGTTCGCGGCACCACTTCGAACATAAAGCGTAACTACTACGCACATCAGTATCGATGAACAAGATTTCAATAATGCGGATCTCATCCACAATGGTACCTTTGGGAGGAATCCTTGCGTTATCACATCCCGGCGTCAATTCGGCATCAACGAGATGTCTCTGTCGTATGGGTAGTACTTCTATTCCTCATGCTCCATCCAGTTCATTCAGCCTTTTGTCTGTCGACGGAAGGACCTTGGCAGTACGACACCATGACAGCCAGTGCCAGAGTAACCTCCGTCCCGGAAGTACACGCTTCAGCAAACGATGGAAAGACGTTACATTATGCTCGCCGTGGCGATGATGCAGCAGGTAGCGAGTATGAAGAGAGCGAGATCCAAGGCTTCGATGCAGAGCGTATGAGAGCGAGAATCCTGCTCAGTGTAGAAGAAGAGAAAAAGCTGCTTCGCAGAATCGATTGGGTGAGCGAAATGCAAGTTGGGAAGCGCTTCCGATTCTGACTTCGAACAGCATATGATGCCGCTGTGCTCGCTCATGTTCCTCCTGAAAAATCTCGACTCTGACAACATTAGCAATGCTCGAATCATGAACAAGGGTACTGATCAGAACATCATGAATCAGTTGGGTATGTCCTCCGACGCGTACACGTTGTTGACAGTGCTTTACTACGTGAGTCGGGCAGATTATTGCAGTCTTATTTCATCACTTACCCTACTCAAGATTCCATACATCGTCTTCGAAGCACCTTCCAACTTGTTCCTCAAGCGGATGCGACCTTCGGTCTGGCAAAGCCGGATCATGCTGACATGGGGTGTCGTGCTGTGTTGTCACGTTGCCTGTACTAACAAGTCCGGCATCTATGCTGCTCGATTTATGCTTGGTCTCGCCGAGGCAGGTATGTCGCGGCTCGCTTGTCTTGGTGAGTTTTCGAGCTATGCTGACTTCGTACTGTAGGGATGTTTCCAGGAGTCATTTTGCAGATGACCTACTGGTACCGACCGGATGAGATGAGCGTTCGACTGCTGTATTTTTATATCCTAGGAAACTTGTCCGGTGTCTTTGGCGGAGTGTTTGCGTATGCCTTTGACATCGCTTCTGGTGGCGCCGGGCTCTCAGGGTGGCAGCTATTGTTCTTGTTCGAAGGTCTCATCACAATCTTAATCGCATTCGCGATCTGGTTCTATCTACCTGACTGTGAGTGCTCTCAATTATCTGCCTTCACTGATGCTAATCAGTGACAGTCCCGGACACTGCGAAATGGCTGTCTGATAAGGAAAAAGCGTTCGTAAAAGCAAGACTGCCCTCGAATGCTCCATTTGCGGACGAGCTAAATTTTCGTTGGAGCGAGATCAAGGCATCGCTAAAGGATATCAGGCTCTGGATGTTCACACTGGTTAGTGAGAAGCACAGCCCAAAGATGTCTGACTGACAAATGTAGATCTGGGCCACGCAGACAGTGGGCACAAATGGTACTCGATTTTATCAAAGCACAGTCATAGCCGACCTGGGCTTCACGTGAGTATCTTTGTAAAAGTGAAAATGATGGAACTAATGGTTGTTAGCTCTATCGCTCAGGCACAGCTTCTCAACTTGCCGATCTCGATCTTGACGATTCTCTTGATCGCGGTCTCAGGCTACCTTGCAGACTCTGCAAGGCTACCTCGACCACTCTATCCCCTCACATTTCTCAGTGTGATACTTGCTTGCTACGGGGTTTTGTACCGTTACCCAAGCAATGGCGCAGTATATGCAGCGACCATGATAGCGAACGCGTGCTCTGCAGCCTGGTTTCCGTTGATGGTATGCGTCTGGTTCCACGTCATAGTTGAAAAAATGCTGACGACCTGGTAGTGGCCATGGCGAGTACAGACTACCGCACGAGCGACTGGATCAGCATTTTCCATAGGGTTCGTCAACAGTTACGGCCAGATTGGCGGTGCCATCGGACCTCAGATATTCCGGGTGAAATATGCGCCGAAGTATACAGTAGCATTTGCAGCAGTGATGGGTATTGTGGGTGTCTGCATTCTGACGACTTTGGCGACATGGTGGGTGACTAGACGGACCGAGAAAGAAACTCGAAGGTTGAAGTTGGCACGGATCAAAGCTCAGAAGGATGGACTGACCATTCTTGAGGATGTCGTTGACACTGACCTCCAGAAACGGCAGAAGTCTGTCCGTGCGGGTGCCGTGTGATCTCCCGGCCGCATGTTGCGAAGTGATCATTTGTTGTGAATGACGAGGCTTTCCAAGGTTGCAAGGGCTCGCTCGGAGGGAGGAATGTAGAGGCTTTGCTTGGTTCACGTGCCGGAGTATGGCTTCACCCTTTCGCCCTCTTCCCATTCCTCCAGCGCTGCAGAGGCGAGTTCCTTCATCTGTCGAATATCTTCCTCGTCTTCTATTCCACCCTTGAGTTTATCTCTCCAGATGTTCAGCATGCCTGTGACTTCAGTGTCGCCTATTGTATCGTACTGCCGAATCATACGACTGGTGTCCTTACCAGAACTCACGAACAGGCCCGGTCCACTTGTTGCGAGCAGAACCCATATAAGGTTTTGCAATATGTCCGAACCTCTATTCATTCGTTGCATCGATCTCACGGCTTGCGTGATTGCCTTATGCTTGGTCTTGATCACCAGATCCTCGCCTGGAGTCGAGATGTGGAGTTTTCTGCCGAATTTTGCAACTGCTTTCTGTAGCTCCTCGAAGTTGCGAGCCTTTTCTACATCCTGCTGTAGCTTATCGCATTCTCTTTTCTTGGTGCGATCGTTCAGCAGGCCTTGATGCTTAGCATCGTCAAATGTGTTAGGTACTACCTCGCGCTTGAGGTAGTCGACGACGAACGTCTCAAGGTTTTGTTGGAGTGTCGGGTCTTTGCTTGCAAGCACGCCTGCTGAGTACAAGTGCAATGGCCCCCAGAGCTTTGCTTCTATCAATTCTACAAACCTTTCTGATCGGTCGCCCTCGAGCTCAGACAGCCTGTCGGCCGACACACTTTCCAGAACTTCGGCATGAAGCTGGCTGCGGACCAGCGATTTAGCGAGCTCTCCTTTGTGCGCAACCGGATAGTCTGATGGTTGGAGCATCTTGATAGCATTTGAAGGTGTAGCGGAAGCCGGTTCCCTGCGCCACAGCGCTTCGGTACGATTTTCAATTGCAGCGCCAAGAGCGGCCATCTCTGCCGTCAGTACTCCATCTTCAACCAAGAGCTTCGTGCTATGAGCTGGAGCTGAGCGATTCGAGATTTTGCCCGGTTTTGAGACTTCGGTGGTAAGATCTATGATGTGAATCTGGCCGCTGCTTGTGGTTCCGTACTGCTCAATGACCGTATTCTCGACACGTGTATCACCTCGTGGGCCGCCGTGACTCCCCTCTGCAGCTTCGTGAATCATGCAGTATCCATTAGCATGAAGTTCCGATACCAGACCAGCAATTCTCTTCCCGCACAGCTGATTCATGTGCATGTCAGCCTTTCCAGAGAGTGCGTCGGGAATGTAGACGACATGGTCTCCTGCCAGTCGAACCTCTCCGGCTTTGCCTGAAGTGGCTTCGGTGGCCAAGGCTGCGATGATAGGTCCAGGCACATCACTACCAACGACTTCGCTCAGGTCGCAAATGTCACTTCCAACGTCCGCAATGGCATTGATGATGTGTATCTTGACATTTTCCGCAAACTCGTAACTGCAGAGAAAGGATGTCGCGTCTACATCGATTATTACACGAGGCCAGTCTTTTCCTGTATAGACTTCAATCATGCGATTGAGGCTCTCGATACCGATGTCTTGAGAGATTCCAAATGTATGCAAGTCCACGCATGTCTGCGATCCGAATGATTTGAGCTGGCCCGCGATACTCTCCACGAGTGGATGCGGTATTATGCTTCGTCCATCGCGAGAATAGTATAATTGGGGATGAAGCTGCTCCAATACGATGTTCTCGCTGTTCCTCTCTATTCCGAGGGCGGATGCGAGATCTCCTTTCCGGATTCTCTTATCGGAAGTTTCCACCAACTGCTTGAATCGAGCAATAACCTCATTCGAGCTTTTCAAGTTAGTGCCGGTGAAGCTTCTGACCACCACAGGACGTCCGGAGGCACTGATGCTTAGCGGAGGGAAGTTGGCGACCAGCGTTGCGATATCAGGAGACGCGAAGACTGACGAGCTGGAGGAAGGCGAGAAGGTGCCTGAGAAGTCGCCCATTTTGAGTTTTTGACGGAGAGTCGATTTTCTGCGAACGGGCAGCAACTTCGAGATTGCACCACGACAGCATGGCATGCTAAAAATCAGCACCGCAGGATGTTGAACGCCCGGTGACGTCGTGGCGTCCTCTTCACTCTCGGAGATCGGATGGCGGCACGATCCGCCGCATCCATGGCATGGCATGGCTGGCATTCCATTGGCACGCCGTGTCGTGAGTCTTGACATTCGAGGAGCCGACCACCCTCTCAGCGTCGCCCGTCCATCGCAGCCATGACCAAATTCGCGCTCTTTCGATCGAAGAAGCTCGACATATCATGCTTCATCAACAACAAGAATCTGCGTGACCACACCAAGCGCAAAGTCTTCGAACAGACCGAGCCCGAGCGACAAGCACTGCGATATCTCATTCGAAACACATCGTTGCCCCAACGGACGCGGGCGCAGGCGCAACTCCAACTAAGTCAGATGCATTGCTATACCCGAAGCACGCAGATCAAGAACCGATGTGTGATGGGCGGCAAGGGAAGAGGGATCTTCCAGGACTTCAGAATGGCAAGGGTATGTTGGAGCAACTGGATCTGCACGGAGCGAGACGCTGAAATCCATACAGTATCAATTCCGCATGAATGCGCTTGCTGGCCGAATTCCTGGCGTTAAGAAGGCGAGTTGGTAAGGTAGGGCGTGGTGGATTATATTGGGCAGTACAAGCATTGGGAGGAGTCGGGAACAGAATCGACGCCGCAGGGCAGGCTCTGATACGCTGGCACAGAAATGATGGTCTTATTGCTTGAAGCGGTGGAGAAGGGCGTGCGGAGAGGCTCGCAGACCAGGTGAGGTTGTGGGAGAAGATGCGCATCTATATCTGCAACAGCGAGGACCAGGGACCGGTCGAATGTCGCAACGAGCGACTTTACACAACGAGGCAGCCGCGTTCAGCAGTGCGTCGCGGAACTCAAATCTAGGGAGGGAAGGCACGAGGTGTAGGCATCCCCACACAAGCGCCTCCAAGATTTATTGCATCCTCTCCCATTCCTGCCCTTTCTCTGCACTCTCCATCTGCGAAGACCACATACATGGCGGTCAGTCATTTTCACCGCTGGTCTCACAACACGGCTCCTTTCAGGACATGTCTAGAACACCTAGGTCCTTCAAAAGTTCGAGTGATCGAACAGAAATCTGAAACACTGTCTCAAGGCAAATATTAGTGATAACGTCGTTGTGTTATAAGAATTGCTCGCTCTCTCCGGGCATTGAGGGAAGCACCAGACCTTCCCTTTGAACTGACCCTCAACATGAGCATCTTCGGCAGATGGAGTGAGGTGACCAAGATGCCCCTTCTTGGCCAGTTTGGAATCCAAGACCCGCCAAAAGGGACCAAGCGAAAGGCCCCGACTGAGGAGCAACATTCATCCAGAAGCAAATCGAACACGAGACCCTCGGATAGGCAGGGCAGAATAGATCATAATAGCGACAAACGGCATGTGATTAAAACTGGACTTGAACAAGTAGCAAGACCGGACTTCGCGTGCATATGCACAGTCAATGTCGGCACCGGTGTCGACGCAGCCACAATCACCGTCCATCAACATGCCGTGCGCAAATTTTCCACCTTCTTCAACAGCATGCTCTCTGGACGTTGGGGCAAGGCCGGCAGTAGACCCATTGACCTCAGTCAATTTCGTCGTCCGCACGTTGAAGCCTGGCTCGAGTCGTGCTACAGTGGCAACTTACTGGGTCCGCCAGGCCAAGCAACTGCTGCGGATGTCCATTTATGGTACGTGGAGCTGTATCTAATGGGCACCTATCTTGGCGATTTCGACTTCTGCGATCTTGTAGCTGATGTGCTGATTGATCTGTCCTCCCGCGACGACACGCCAACACCAGAACTTTGCCATTATGTCTGGAACCAGACGGCTCCGGAGTCGAAGTTACGAACTTTGGTCCTTGATTGGCTTGTATGGTGTGCTGACTCTCAGTACCTGGAATCTGGAACTCAAAACTATCCTATCGAGATGAGGGACGCTGCGCTGGCTGAGACTATGAGGTGCAGAGGCATGTCCAGAAGGAGAGAAAGGGTGGGACGAGAGTTCTTGGTGACTCGCCGCTGGAAGTACTACAACAAAGAGCGCCAGGACGAGATGGATGTGGTGGATTGAGCAGTGAGCCAATCTCAGTCGCCAGGGACACACTTTGCTACAAGTGCTGTGAGGAATTTTGCTATCAGGCACTTCACGTACGAAGCTGCCTGCAAGCTTGGATGGACGATCAATGCCTACCCGTGAAGTCCTTGATTACGCATTGTATCGGAAGCACCAATCTGCTGAGAGGAGTCAGAGGACCTCATACTGCTTCCGTGGTCATTACGTTAAAGGTTGACTTCTAAAAAGTCTCAATTCGTCCATAGAACCTATTACGCGGTCATATCAAGGCTGCCAATGGCCATTCTCTCACGCCTCGACGTGGGTATGAAACAGGGCGAAGCTCTCGAATAGACTTCGGGGAACCACGGAGCATGCTTCTGTGCGGTGAGACCTTGAACGTAAGCAGTACTTATCATCAATCATTATTTCGGATGTCGGAAGTGCTTCGTCTCCTACCTTCTCTCCCACATCCCTTGTAAACAGCTCTCATATCCGAGCCCGACTCGCATGTGGGCCAAGAGCCGGGCTTTCCGAAGCAAGCACCCCATTGGACATGTCAAAGCTCAATTGAGCTGGAGAATACATATAAATGCGTCGACTGTGTCTCAATCAGTGAAGCAGATCCACCGACAAGAAAAAACTTGAAGTATTTACCTCATCGAACCTCTCCAGCCATGCCTGTCGTCACCACTGTCATGTATCCCAACGAGGATGATGCGACTTTCGACTTGAAATATTATACCGAAACCCACATGGCTCTGGTTGACAAGCACTGGAAAGAGCTGGGCCTCATCGGCTGGAGTATCTCCAAGTTTGAGAGGTGTGTACACGTGCAATGCTTCTTGTCCTACCATACACTCCTGCGTTGTCATCAAGCTGATATATCTTTCTTGCAGCGGCCACCCTTCTGGCACCAAGCCGCTCTACTCAGTCGCCTGTACACTCGTGTGGCAGAGCAGGGAACATGCCGAAAAGGCAATGGCGCATGAGTCGACGCAGCAGGTCTTTGGCGACGTGCCTAACTTCAGCAACAAGGAGCCCATACTCTTGGCCGGAGATGTAGTGAAGACTTCTGGTCTTCCCGAGTTGTGAGCTTGCAAACTTGGGAGCGTGGGAACGCCCTCCACATGGAAGAGACTGTGATGGCCTTGCGGAATGGTGTTAGTCCGTTGTAGATGTACATAGCAACACAATTGAGGAGCAATGGCTCTGGTCAAGAGTTCCGGCGCCGGTGAAGTCTAGGGTATCCATGCTTCGTTGCTCTTGGCAAGCCCGTCCCCCTCTGCCTCAACCGCTCCGTCACACTACGGTACTACTGTCCCAATCTCTTGCACCTTTCAACCGCGTTATACATTGTTCCGGCGACGGAGAGCGTCCTACCTCGTGGACCATGTTCTCATCACGGCAAGGTCGAGCTGAGTGAGCATTTTGCAAGGCTGGGCAAATTGAAAGAGCATGTGATAGCTGCGAGGCAGACAATCAGCAAAAGAAGCGGCGGAGTAATAAATATTCTTGTGACATGGCCGTGAATGAAGCAAGGACATCGGCTGTCAGATGGATCTCCACTTCACCTAGCGTGAGCCATGCACGGATCAATGACGATTCCAGCCTCAAGTCTCCACCACAGATCTCTCGAGTCCATCCGATCTTAAGCTCCATCGGCAATCTCGAGGTAACACTAATTGAACCTCTTGCTGGACATTGGCGGGGAAGCAGAATCCGATGATGATGAAGGCGGGCGTCACGTAGGCGTGGCAGCGCGTCAGGCTCGATGTAGGCACGCGAGGTGAGGACCTGCTTTGTTTCTTTCTTCATGTTCGCTCTTTGTCGCTTCGAACGACTCTCCCGTGAGCACGGAATCGCGTTCACTGTACGATCTGCGGCACAGGCAAGGAACTCGATTGTCACGACACGCGCCTTCTCCTGCTACTCATCTCCAATGCCTCCCAAGAAGCACGCTCGCTCGGCTTCCGGCGACGAGTACCTCAAGCATCCAACAACGAAACGAGCCAAAGAAATCGACACTGATCCGCCTTACGAGAAGCTCGTAGAACTCCTCGAATCCACTTCATCCAAAAGCAAGCCGAACAATGTCCTTCACTGGTTCCGCAGCAAAGACTTGCGCATGCAGGACAACAAGGCGTTGCATGCTGCCTCGAAGAAGGCTAACGAGGGCACGGGTAGTCTCGTGGCCCTGTACCTACACTCCCCTGGCGACCTCGAATGTCATGGCACGTCTCCTGCCAGATCAGATCTGATTCTACAAAGCTTGCAGCTGCTGAAGGATGATCTCACGCGGAAGAACATTCCTTTGGGAATAGTGACAGCTGAAGAGAGAGGACAGAAGACAGACCTCATCGAGGACTTTGTAACGGAACATGGCATTAGCCACGTTTATGCCAACTTCGAATACGAAGTGGACGAGCTGCGCAGAGACATCAAAGTCGCCAAACATCTTCAACACCAAAGCGTTGGCTTCGAGCTATTTCACGACCAAACCATTATGGTGCCTGGCGAGCTGACTGGCAGTGGCGGAGGACCGATGAAAGTCTTTACGCCATACCACAAAGCATGGCTGTCAGAGACCAAGTCGGATCCTTCTCTTCTCGACCTCGTGGGCGAGCCGGAAGCGAACGACAAGAAAACTATCGCAGAGTGGAAGGAGATTGCAGACATGAAAGTGCCAGAATTGCCCGAGAACAAGCAGTTCGCGAGTAAACAAGAACAGCAACGGATCCGAAAGCTCTGGCCTGCGGGCCACGAAGCAGGCATGGAGAGGCTCAGAAAATTCTTGCAAAAGAAGGTCAAAAGCTACGCAGCACATCGATCGGAACCAGCTGGCGATCCTTCAAGTAGGCTTTCCGCGTACATCTCGGCGGGCATTATTTCGATACGTGAGATTCTGGACGAAGTGAAGAAAGCCAATGATGGCGCACACTTCGACGAGGGAGATGGAGGCATTGACTCCTGGGTTCGCGAACTCGTCTTCCGTGAATTCTATCGCCAGATGACCGTGATTAAGCCACATACAAACATGAACCTCCCAAACAATCTAAAATTCGACTTCGTGCAATGGGAAGATGACGGAGAAGGTTGGCAAAAGTGGTGCGAGGGAAAGACGGGAATGCCATTCATCGATGCAGGCATGCGACAACTCAATACCGAAGCATACATGCACAATCGCCTTCGCATGAATACAGCGTCCTACCTTCGAGCGAACATGCTAATCGATTACCGAAAAGGCGAACGCTACTTCGCCGAGCACCTAATCGATTGGGATCTGAGCAATAACACCCAAGGTTGGGAGCCAAGCTACACCATCTTCAACCCCGTCATCCAAGCCGAGAAATGCGACAAAGAAGGTGACTATATCAGGAAATGGGTCCCTGAGCTGAAGGATTTGAAGGGGAAAGAGGTGTTCGACCCATATAATCGACTGAGTAAGGAGGAGTTCGAGAAGCTTGGATACCCGGCTCCACATGTGGACTTTCGAGAAAGCCAGCAAAGGGCGAAGGAAAGATATAAGCAGGGCTTGGCTGATGCTGATCCGTAGTAGAATAAGAAAGTCAAATGATGGTCGCTACAAAAGCTTGGCACAACAAGCTCCATCTGCCTTCGTTCTTGCCCAATAATTACTCGGCCGCTAATAAAGTCTTCCAAATCTACAGACTGGTGGAGAAAATGCTACTTCAAATCATTCTCATCGATCATCCCAAGAATCCGACCAAAAGTCTGACCAGCAAGCATCCTCATAGAATATCGATCTCTCAACCGCGCCGCCCTAATGGACCGACTACTCTAGGTGATGATAGAGGGCGGGAAATCGTGGTAGCGTTGGATTGCGGGCGAGCGGAATTGGGCTGTCCTGAGGGATGTCCGGTACTAGATGTTGGTGGTAAGTTCATGAGCTTATTGATGAGAGAGTTCATGGTAATCATCATCAAAGCTACGAGTGACTCTACTTCCACGTGACTCTTTTTATAATCGCCTGCCTCATATGTCTTCGGAATCAAGATGCGATATAGCCAGCACACACGATGATGGCAGCGGAAACGATAGCTTCCAGCGCAACGCAACGCACACAGTCCTAAAAACTTACGAACTCATCGAATTAATTCTCCTCCATCTAAACACAGGCCGACACCTCATCGATATCCTTCGAAATTGCAAACTGGTCAACAAAGCATTCTCCGACGTAATCACAACTTCGATCTCTATCCAAAGACTTTTCAGCCAAGAAATTCCATCTTTTGCACAAGCATCTTCTAATAAACAGCGGATGAAAGTCCCAGACATTCCGAACTCGCAGAGCCTAGAAGTTTACATCCGTGGATTTGCATGCCGACTTCCGACGTACTTCAAAAAGAAACCTCAAGTGCAAGTGCTCTTTGACGGGAAGGGGGGAGAGTATGAAGTGACGCTTTTCTGGAGAGTTTCCGCCCGGGCGCTGAACCACGCTTCGAGAGACGAAGTCGCGTCTTGGAAGAAGTTCTTGTTCGGAACGGCGAAGACGACCAGGGTTTCAATCAGGGTGTGGAATCGTGGGAACTGGAGGAACAATCCCCGGCTTGAGATCAATGAATTTGAGGAATTCAATCGACCCATCATGCTTGGCGATCTGGTGGATGTAGGAAGGAGGATGGTGAAGGAAACGAGAGGGTCTTGGGTGGCTTGGGCGGTGGATTTTGAGCAAGTCGTAGATGTTAAAGGACAGGCGATGTAGACAAGAAAGTATTGTATGCGGGCTTGGTGGTTCCACGAGCCTTCCAAGGCAAAGTCGGTATGAATTCCAAGCTTGGCGGCGGAATGCTGCAGCAGGGCAAGGCTGTACTTGTGCTTGATAGTAACCAAGCCGAAGCAGGTTTGTTCACCATGGCCATATAGTATCCTTTGTCGTTGTGTCTGCGCTGTTCAGTAGCATAAAACATGATGGCCGACTCTCCAGACACTCAGCACGAGTCCGAAGCGACTCACGACGAATGCTTCAAGTCCCAAACGAGCCAGGATGGGAGGAGCAGTGGTGCTCGCTCCCCGCAAGACAGCAGTGCTGGCCGCGTCCAATTCCGAATGCCAGACTACTCGCCTCACCAAAGCGATGCTATCGCGCACGCAACGTCCTGGAACACCATCCCGGATTCATCATGGCTGCATTACGGCACGATGGAAAGCGGTCCATCGGACGCTTCAGGCACAGAGGCGGCTTCTCGGAACGCGCATAGATTCTCCATTCATCGACTCGCATCACTGCCCAGATTCAGCATCACGCAATTCCCACGCTTCTCCGTCTTCCATCAGCGGGACTATAGAAGATTGGACATTTTGCTGGCGGTGGTGGGCTTTGTGCTGGTGGGGTCGTTGTTCTCGGCACTTCTTGTGAGAATCGCTTCGACCAACCGTGGCCGATGTGGTGGAGCAGAGATCGCGTGAGATGGATGTTATTATGTTGTCGTCAGTAGTTCTCACGTGGGGTTCATGGCGTGGATCGCGTGCACAGTTGTTGCTTGTCGGGTGGACATGGGCTTCCTTGACATCAACTGGGATGGCTGGCTTGGCAATTTCGATTTCTGACAGGCTGATGGCAGGATGTGATGCTTTCGAGAAGGAAGGAAGAGTATCGTACAGTAGATGATGCGTGTGATATGGACGTGCAGTAGTGGCATTGCATTGCATGCAGCGCTATCTCCCCCCGAGGGCCCCGACACTGTTCCTGTTCCTGGTCCTGTTTCGCCTCGCCTCGCCTCGCCTCGCCTCGACTTCTCCTCACCTCCCCGGACGGGGTGGAGGGCAGGGCGTGCGGAAGCCAACCTTCTGCTGGTAATCCAACCGTTGACAGTGCTTCCTTGGCGAACCTTTAACCAGAACTACCTCCACACCCTCCACCACACCGCGCTCCTTGCCCGCCCAGAGAGTCGGTAGACACTCTCGTGCTTTGCTTTCACGTCAAATCCCGCACGATAACGGCCGCGACGCGCCACGCGAACGACATTGATCGATACAGCTGGGCAGCGCATGGACGAGGGCGACAGTATGAAATCCGGCATCAGCCGTTAAGGATACGCTCACACCTCGTCACCCACCGCAGCAGGCCACACTGTTAGCACGCGAATTTCGAGCTGCAGCCACCGCACACCACGGCGACGGCGTCGCATACACCGCCCGTGCTGGCTGCGTGCCACCGAGCCGCCCATTCTCCCAACTACATACACTCGCTTGATTCTACGGCCCGCCGAGCATGGGCTTGCTGCGACCGGCCACGCCTCTGAGCGTGATCTTCTTGGTCGCATTCGTGCTTATGCTCCTGAGCACCTTGTCGACTCCCGTAATCGAAGGCATACCGCTCGGCAGTTATCAGGACTACAACTTCGGAGTATTGGGATACTGTAAAGGCAGTACATGTGTCGGCCCGCGCATAGGATACAGCACAGGTGCGATTCATTCTCCTACCCATTGTTACACCCATATTCTTACTCGCCGCCAGCAGATGGTCTGTTCTCAGGCCCAGACCAGGCCGATGACTTCTCGCTACCCTCCTCCGCACGACATAGCCTGTCCTCCATCCTTATCGTTCATCCCATAGCCGCACTGCTATGCTTAATATGCTTCGCCCTCGCTGTCGCAGCACACTTCCATGGCCCGAGCCATTCGCCCCGATACCTCCTCGCCCTATTGATCCTCACCTTTCCCACCCTTCTCATCACCCTGCTGGCCTTCCTCGTCGACATCCTTTTGTTCGTGCCGCACATGCAATGGGGTGGCTGGATCGTGCTTGGCGCTACCATTCTCATCATTGGCAGCAGCATAGTCACCTGTGCCATGCGGAGAACACTTGTCAGCCGGAAAGCACGCAAGAAACGCATAGCTGAAAACGCAGATATGAATGGACAGAACTACTACGACAACTTGGCACAACAGCGCATGAATGATGATATGGACAAGGCCGATTCGCTTCCAAAAGCCGAATCGCCTCCTCCAATGACCGGGAGCATTGCAACCGAAAAGGGTGGTAATTTTGCAACTTTTGAGATGAAAAGGCACGACACACATGACAGTGACAGCACACCGCTGAACCCTGGCGCCCCCAGCATTCGAAGCGCGAGCTCAAACGGCGGAAGACGACCTTACGATAATGAGCCCATGCCACCAATGCCACACCGCCCGAGCCAGGAAAGTAATGACATGTACAGACGACCGAGTCGCGATCAATATGGCAACCCAATTCCTCCCGGAGCAGACATCGGAGCCGCGGGCATGGCGGCTGCAGGTCTCAGACACCAAGGTTCTCAGGGATCATTGCGTCAACGATCTAATGGCTCAAATGCATATGGACCGAACGCTTTCCCTCCAAATGGTTATGCGCGTGGACGAGGTGGATATGGCCCGCCTCCACGAGGCTACGGTCCGCCACGCGGTGCCTACCCTCCTCCAAGAGGCGGCGGCTTTGGACCCAGAGGCGGCAGAGTAGGCTACGGTCCACCACCTCCAGGATTTAATGGCCGTGGTCGAGGACGAGGCTATGGTCCACCGCCAGGAATGATGCGAGGTGGAATGCCAATGCACCCTGCTCAACGTCCGATGCCTCCTCCTGGATACGACATTGATCCTTACTACAGTTCTGAGCGCGCAGGCTCGCCATACGTTGAAGTGCCACAAGCACCTCGGATGGATGATCAATTCGTAGCAGGGCCAGCAATGCCTATTGGACAGGCAATTGAGATGGACGAGCGTAGTGGCACCCGAAGCCCAGCACGAGCCTATGGTGAGAATGAGTATGGTTTGAGAGACAGTGACGGTGATGTCGCAGGCATGATCAATCTGCAGCTCGGTGAGCAAGGTCAAGCACATCAGCCGCCAAGCCCGTTGAGGGAGAGCAATGGCGTAGAGAATGGCCAGGCCTTGGTCTCGCCATCAAGCACGTACTCTGACCAGTAAGTTCCTTACAGTTTGTGTGGCTGCACAAGCAGTATTAATGATATCTCAGATCCTACCATCCAGCCCGGCAACAATGGCAGCAGCCTTCACCTTTAGCGCAATCAGTAGGACAAACAGTCCCCGGCATGTCGCGTGGAACGATGGAGAGCACTGGCACTTCGTCTCCCGACCCTCACTCATCTGCCGCAGCGCCTTCGAGCCGAGCTCTCCCTTTATCACCCGTGACTGCTTCGCCGACGATCGGATCTCACCACGACTCTCAGTCTCCGCGACGCCATCGAGCTGGCAGCGAGACATACTATGAAGACGTCGACCCTCGCTTCGTACAAGATCCAGAACCTTACTCACAGCACCCCACTAATCGCGAATCTGGCATCCCCGGCGCTCTGACACCTGGTCCTTCGCAGCCGCAGAACTACCACAGTGGACCATATCGTATGCCATCCCCAACCCAACTCCCCACACCCACATCAAATTCAAGATCCACTCCCGTGGCGAGCAATCACGACCATCTGAGTCCTGCTCAGACTGTTGTCTTGAACGGCATCGATGAAGGGCGGAGACCCACGACTAACAACTCCAATAGCGACTCATCTCTAGACCAGAAACGACATTCCGACAACTCAGCATCGCCACAAAGAGCCCTTTCCCAAGCCGGCTCGGACGTTGCATCAGCCCAATATCCTAGCGGCTTTCTCGAGCCCATTCCCGATGGAGCCAGGAGTCCAGGCGAGGCTTCAGAGTCCTCTCACTTCACATCTGTCAGCCAAAGAGGCATCAACCCCAATTGGCGACCAGGACCAGGAGGACAAGGAGGCGGTCACTTCATCGGACCAGCAGCATATCGAGGCCCTGGCAACAGTGGTGTCAGCTCAGCGAGTGCGGCTATGAGGAGGAAAGAAGATGTCATTCTCTCAGCAAATCCCGACTTCTCCCTACCCGGTGTGGGCATCTCCAGTCGTGGTCGAGGACGTGGTCGAGGGCGAGGCATGATAGCGGCCCCAAGTGGCACAGGCCTCACGCCTTCTGGAAGATATCCGACGCCAGATATCGGCAACCTTTAGTGCGGTGCCAAACCAAGAGCCGTTTGGACATCTTGAAGACTTTTGAGCGTGGCGCAATGACTTTTATCACTTCATTCTTGACTGATTGATTGAAGCACTTTGGCGCATGACATGAAAATGTGCATAGATGATGACTTGGGCGAAAAAGCGTCATAATAGAGGCTTGAATCACGACATTAATGAAGTCAGAATTTTTTTTTTGAACTATAAACGTGACGTGGGGTTTTCGACTGAACAATCTCTTATTAGGTTTCTTTGACAGTATTCTGGCCATGCTAGGTTTTCTGAATGCTAGTGTCCGCTTCTCTTCTGCTGTCGCATGACAGCATCGCGCTTTGAGTCAAAGTCCTCAGCCCTTCGGCCAAAGTGCTTCTGGAACCTTGCACTGCGATGTCTCGCTACCTCATCACCTCGAGAATCCGCCACTCCGCGGACTGGTGAAGTGAAAGCCAGCTTCTTTTCAGAGTCTATACTTGAATAGTCTGAGACCATTCGTAGTATCGTGTTGGGGTGATGGCATTCCCCAACAGCATCCGCTTCGAACGCAATGAACTCCGTCTTCGAAGTTATATCCTCCTAGAACCTCGAGCTACCATAACCTAGGCGTCCGAGAGAGCCACCACCCATTGCCATACCCACACTGCCGAAGCTGCCTGTGGTACCCTTGACAGCACCCGGGCTGCCCACAGCAGCGGAGCTCTGTTGGCTGTAACCTGGAGAGAAGCCTCCAAATCTCAGCTCGCCCGGCATGTTACGATACCTAGGGTCACGACCAACGCGAGCAGGAGGCTGGCCCCAAACGCTGTCGAAAAAGGATTCGTTGCCCTTGGGACTGCGGTCAATGCACCACTCCGGCGGTTGGGACCAACGACACCAGTAGTCACGGCGATTCGGACCTTGTGTATACGACGCAAGATTCTCGTATACAGGAATGAGTAGGCGAGTGATATCAACCTTGTCTGCTTCGGGAATAGCATCGGACTTCTGAGTTGCTGAATTGCCGCGATTCATCATTGGAGCTCCGATGGGACGTGGCTGCGTAACAGGTGTGCCAAAGGAAGTCTTCTGCGGCGTGGACAAAGTTGCAGGTGGGTTTGGCTTAGGCGGAGCCGTGCTTATAATATGACGATAAAAGTCCTCTGCGATCCTCGTTAGCTTTGAACCAAAAGGTCTTCTTGAGAAGGCGTACCTTGACGCGCGAACTTTTGGCCAGATGTCCACCAATCATTCAGTTCAACATCGTGGGGCTTATGCGTGGGCTTTCCAGATCCAATTGGCTCTGTGTTGTAAGTCGTTGGAGTCTGCTTTTCATAGCCCACATCAGGAACGCTGCCATTCGTGAGAACGCTGGTCTTCCGCTCGGTCTGCTCTGGTCGGAGCTGTGAGTCTTGCCAGCCAGCGCACATCTCCTCAAACTCAGCACCGAACATGCCGCGTCGGGTGGCAGTAGGCGCCTTGATATCACCTGCATGACTGATTGCAACAGGGAATGAGCTATTCGTAATTGGTTGTGGCCTTGAATACTGTGTCGACATCGACAACGGTGGTGACGTGTGCTCCTCATCGTATTCGCTTGGCTCGGTCTGTTGGTAGGGATCATTCATGACTGTCCGGGAGAGAGTCGCGAGATTAATGTTGCTCATGCTGCGCTTGGATGCTCTGTCGCCGAGCTGGTGAAGCTGATCCAGCATCGCAGATCGAACCTCGGGCAGCATGGTGTTCTCTCGTCGAGAATGTGATGTCGGGGTGGCAGGGTCACGATGCGGGCCCGCAGAGATCGTGTTAAAAGTTCCGAGGGGCTCGTAAGGCTTCGCTGTTGCTTTGATGGCAGAGGACGCCTGCGATACCTACAGAAAAGCATTAGCACGTTTTCTGGTCATTGATTGCAGGCGAGGCTGTTGAGGCGACAAGTTGTCTCCAACGAGCAGCCACCAAGATCCCTACTCACATTGAAAGGGTCCTCGTTTTTAGCGAAAGGATTGAGGAACACCGGCTGTTGAGGCTCTGGTAAAGCCTGCTTGATGTCGTTTTGACCGAACGGCTTACCCATAGCGAGCGCCTCTCGCTGCTTTGCGAGTATCCTAAAGTACGCGAGCGTGTTTTGCTGAAGCTTTTGGTATGCTGTCTCGCCCTTCAACCTATCACCTGCCAGCTGACCCTCAACTTTCTTGCGGATGTTGGAGAAGTGGCCTATCGGACACCACTCATAGTCCTTGGCTGACCAGATCCGTGCAGAGACATCGCCATTTGGATGCTGCACAAAGTGAACCTCACCGTCAGCCATCCCAGCGTTGGTAGTAAGATAGTCTAATCCTGGAAGTTGTTTCTTGAACACCTTGAGGATCTCATTCTGATCATACTCTGCCTCGACAGTCTTCGGCTTGTCCTGAACTGGCGGCTCGCCGTTTGCGCTCTGCTCTGTCATTGCCTGTCGCGTGCGCCGGCGACCTGTATACATTTGAAAGCCTGCATTGTCGTACATGGTTGCCGAGTCATTGCGGTCCATCTCGACACCTCCTGTGGCAGCGGTCTGCTGCGACAAGCTGGACATTGAGCGTGACAATGAAGTGTCTCGCGACTGTGCAGGGTATCTATTGACACGGACTTCGTCGACATTGGGCATCGGCGGCGGCGGCGGCATCAGATCGCTCAAGTCGAGTGGCTTCCATGCTTGCTTGCGGGACGGACGCGGCTTCTCGACAGGCTTGATCATGGGATCAGCTTGCTGAATGCGCTCTTGCTGGCGACGCAGCTTAGCCTCCGCGCGAGCAGCGGCAGACTCGTGGTTCTCGACATCAGACATGGTGTGACTGGCAGCTGTATTGACGGAAGTGTTGTTTGGACTGTCGCTGTCGCTATGCGCGTTGTTTAGTTTTGCCGCCTTGGCCTCTGCAATGTGTTTATCAAGAGAAGGAGTTCCCAACGGGAGACGACCGACTGGCGCCTGTGCTGAGCGACGTGTTCTAGGTCGATGATGTGCTGGCATGTGGTAGGGAGGTGGGAAAACGAGGTGTAGCTGAAGTTGCAAGTGAGTTTGCGCTGAGGAGCAGTGTTGTAAGTGAAGCAGTCGCACGTCGCCTGTCCCGTTCGGGTAGGCGCCGTTTGTCCACATGCATGTTTCAAATCGGGAAAGAGCCTTAAATGTCTTGCCTCGCAACGCAACGATAGCCTCTTTCAACCCAAACACTTCTCTTTCTTCGCATCACGTCCAATTGTCCCGCTACGACAACCTACAATGCTGCATCACCCTCAAGTCATTCATTCAGCTCGAGCGGCGCTTCAGAGATGACGGCACAAAAAAAGGCAGACGTGCTTCACGCAAAGACCGCCAATGCCTAGAATCTACTGCTTACATCTGTCGCCCGCAGTTCAAGACGACTCAGATTAAAAGCGCCAAAGACATGGTCGCTTCTTCAATGATTGTTCTGCGTTGACCGCAAAGTCTTGTGCGGCTAAGGAATGATGCAGCCATCGTGTCGCTCTCCCAATTTTCGGGTCTTCTGCGCTGCACGTACAGCGCTATCGTCCCTAATTCTGTGGTAGCGCTTCCGTATGGCTTCTACAGTGCGGTTTGGCATCTGCAAACGGAGCGCTTCCCAATCTCTGCCATTCTGCATCAGGAGCCGCCATAATTGTTCGTCTTGCTCAGGCGTCCACCTTCGCAGGTCTTTCTGCGGACCCGCCCGCTTCTGCCTTTGATGAAGACCATGGACACTAGCTTGAGGAAGTTGCAGAAGTTTGCAAGTCTGTTCGGAATTGGCGTTTGGAAGAACATCGGAAGGGGTTGTCCGCTTGCCAGCTAGGTGTCGCTTTCTGCGATAAAATATGCCCTCAACGCGTCTTACGGAGGATCCCTCGAGAACAGCGATCTCCCCGAAGCTGTTGCCCGCTGTTCTCAGCTCGATTACGCGACGCGCAAGTTCCGCTGTGACTGGTTCATGTGTGCTCCAAGGGAGTGGAACATTGTGCTGTAGCTGAAGTGTTCTCCAACGACTAGCGACGACTTTGTGAGCCTTCGGGCTTTCGATTCGCAGTTCTCGGGCTATTTGAACGGTTGTAGCACCCTCAGCCTTTCGTTGGATGATCAGAGAATCATCATCTTCTGAAATTCGAGCAGAGGCTTGCTTAGGCGTTGCCCTTCTGTAGTGACGGAGATCTCTCCGAGCGACTATGGAGTGGAATCGGTTCGCAACAACCCAATAAGAACGTCCAAGCTCCTTAGCAATGTCCTTGAAGCTATGTCCCGACCTGCGCCGCTCGAAGAGAACCTGATCTTCACTTTCACTGAAGAGCCCCTTAGCCGGAGCCGGGCCCTTTGATTCTGCCAACCTCGCGAATCGGGTCCGAATGCTCGGTCTGGCTCGTTGAAGGAGATTTGCAATGGTATCAAATGTCATACCCTCATCTCTATACTTCAGAATCATCTCATCCTCTTCTTTTGTAAACCGCACAGGCATAGCCCTCAGAGTTCCACCTTTACGATTTTGATTGCGCACTTAGTGATGTGACTGTGCCGTACTCAGACATCGTGTGGCTGGCGTCTCTCCGAGCGAACGACACATGTGGTGTGTCCAGATAGCGTAGCTCCGCGAGAGGATGGTGCGCATTTCATGCATCTTTGATGCTGCCCAGTCAGTGGTAAGGACGGTTGGTCCTTGGAGAGGGGCGATGTGAAAATCTGTGAGAATGTGAATGATGGCACCATCATTCTCCAGGGACGCTACGCCAGCGTTGCTCTGAGGGAAATCTCCATAACATGAGGAGTTGCAAAGAATGTGGTTGCTCGGGTACTGAGCTCGCTCGCGACGTGAAAGCTGGCGAAGCGTATTATTAGTCACCAGGTTGTTTCCCAAACAGGAAGCATGCGACTTCATCTCGATCATCCACATCCACATTCACAGAAATGCAGGGCTCACGATCACTACGGCGCGTGATCGCCGAGCTGCCCAGAAGGCCCAAAATTACAATAAAATGTAATATCAAGCGACCATCATGGATATGCACACAATGCCTCAGCCAACAGCGAACACGCCTGAAACCCTCCCAGCTCCTCCGCCAACAACGCCGCTCATATGCCAACCCAGCAGACTCACCAGGCTTCACATCAATCGTCGACAATCCGCCCACCCTCGTCCGTTCAGGCCGTAAACACAACAAAGTCGGCATAATAATCCTCGCCACAATCCCCATCACAGCATTCATCCTCGGCTGCTGGCAAGTCCAACGCTTAGGATGGAAAACCGACCTCATAGCCAAATTCGAAGATCGCCTCGTCCGAGACCCCTTGCCCCTCCCGCCACGAATCGATCCCGACGCAATCAAAGACTTCGATTACAGAAGAGTCTACGCAAGAGGACGGCTAATGCACGAGAAGGAAATGCTAATCGGACCAAGACTCCTCGACGGAGAAGACGGATATCTAGTCGTCACACCACTCGACCGGTCAGGGCAGTTCAAGGGTGAAAGCAACGAGGCAGATACCAGAATCCTCATAAACCGAGGCTGGATCCCCAAAGACAAAGCTCCCCAGTCTTCTCGCCCCGAAGGTCTCCCTAAAGACGAAGTCACAGTCCAAGGCTTATTACGCGAACCCTGGAAAAAGAACATATTCACCCCCTCCAACGTCCCTGCAGAAGGAAAATGGTATTTCCCAGACGTATACCAAATGGCAGAACACTCGGGTTCACAAGCCGTGTGGATTGAAGAGACGATGAAGAGCGATCTTATAGAAACGTATAGGAGACAAGAGAAGGGTATACCGATTGGGAGACCTCCGGAAGTGAATTTGAGGAATAATCATACACAGTATATTTTTACGTGGTTTTCGTTGAGTTTGGCCACGAGTATTATGTTGTGGATGGTTTTGAAGAAGCCGCCGGGTGGGGTGAGGATGAGGGTTAGGCAGAATAAGGAGTGGTAGGGATTGATGTTGATTGATGGGGCGGAGGGACTGGGAATGTGTGCGCGAGCATCGCTTGAGTCTATGGAGCACTGGTCGTGAGGAAGGCTCTAGTGATGGAACAGACCAAAGTACGGGAGAGAGCAGCCCGTACAGACATCTCGAGTAGGCTATAGTAATACTCAGATGCTCTGTGGTGTGCGACTTACAATGCACGAATTGCGCCATGTTTGTCGACCGGGTTGGAGGTCTGTACATTCTACCAGCGCTTTGCAACGCCAGTATGTCTCATGCGGCATAGCATCTGGTTCAATAGCTGGCTGTGATCATCCACAGGGGGAACACGTTGGGTGTTCAGCATTCGTACGAAGATAACTCTTTGTCTTAGTATGAGTATATACTACAGCACGCGCGCACTATTTCTACAGGTAATGCATGATGCGGCTCTCCCGAGTTCCTCCACAGGCTCGAATAGCTTCTGTAGCAATTTCGCTCTTCTAGCCTTGCTGCAAGCATGCTATGCTCATACCCAACACCAGTCATCATCATCATCCGGTCCGGCTTTGGGATCGCGCTGGGGAGGACGGCCGTAGTCGATGGCATTCCGCCTTTCTTTCGTCCATGACCATCTGTGCCCAGACTTGGATGGTACTTGCACCTCGGCCTTCTAAGCCTTGCCCTTGACCTCTTTAGGCTGGATTCTTGCCATCATTTCTTCCTTCGTGATTAGGTGGTCAATGCGCTCCAAAAGACCAAGGAGCGACTTCATGTTGCCGCTCCACTCGTTCAGCACCTCGTCCGCATCTCGCTTCTTCTCGAAGCTGACAATCTGTGCTGGCCGGTCGATTCGCGCATAGATAGTCTTGCTGGTGACCAGGTCTGAGATGTACTTCTCGGTTTCCTGGGCCGGGAGGTCGAGAAGTGAAGTAAGTCGCGAGAAGTGGATGCGAGTATAGTACTTCGCGATCACGCGCACATTATGCTCGATGACACGCTTGCGGAAGTCCAACCAGCGCTGGTGTGCTTTCGGATCCTTCGGGCTCTCCTTGTTCGAGAAGATATCGGTACTGCACAAGTGCTCTCCGAAGTTGGACTGGATTGCAGGCCAGCGCATGAGTTCGGGCACGGTGAAGCGCTTCAGCAGCTCAGCTTCTCTAGGACATGATGTCGATAGTCGGTTGTCCTGTGCGATACGGTGCAGAAGATCGGACTGCTCGTTGTCGTATGGCGCAAGAAGGATGAAGTAGACAACACGTTGAAGTGCTGCGCGAAGCTTGTCCGGATCGTCTTCGACAGCTTCAGTGTCCAAGACCTGTCGATAGTGCTTACAGACTTCGAGGTACTTGTCCTCGTGCTTGGCGAGTGTGATCTGCTGTTCGTAATATCGAAGCTTGAGATCTGTCACGTCGTCATCCTCTGGCTCTTCTGCCTCGCCTATCGTTCCATCCGATCGCATGCGCTCCCGCTCTTCCTTTTCTTTCCGCTCCTTCTCGATCTGCTCGGCGCTCTTCTTGGGCTTCCTGGCGAAATAGCGAGTGCTGATCTTTCTCGACAATATTCCACCTTGCGTCCAGTCGCCATCCTCAATGCACAGCGCCACCTGTTCAAGAATGAACTCGGTCTTCTCTCTCCGCGTCATGGAACCAAAGGTCTCCACCTGCAGTTCGCAAAGTGTATCCTTGGCGGCAGTCACCTTGCCCTGGGATCGCTGAATGTTGGAAAGTATTCGTGTCACGCGAGCTCGCTCCACCTCAACGAAGATCTGCGATTCCCCATGTCAGCTAATCTACACCATTTGTCACTCCGAGCATGTACCATACCTTGCCTTCCGTCACCGTCCGCAAGGTCTCAATGACGCCCATCTTGACTTCAGTGCTCGGCGTGTCATCTAAGAATTCCATGACGACCTGCACCATCTTGGTGATGGCCTGTTTGAGTTGTCCATGCTTCTTGCTGAGTAGCTGAACCTGCTCATTCAATAGACTCCAGTCTCCCGATTCCTTGGATATGGTGCAGATGGCGACAAGTAGGCGCGATGTGGATGGAAGGTCTGAGGACTGCCGCGTTTGCTTCTCTAAGCTGAGCAGCTTATCGATCGCCTGCTGAGTCTGACCATTCTATGCATTCGGTCAGTATGGGTCGCGAGCGCATCACATACATGATGATCATACCTTTGCGATCTTCTCAGCTTCCGGAATGGCAGCATCGACTTCCTTGGTGAAGTCCTTGTCCGCCTTCAAGATGCTGCCGTCCGACATGTTGGGCGACGTTGCTTGCTGTGTCCTGACTTGCGCAGACTCGGCCGAGTCACGTTCTCTATTCAAGGTCTGCGGAAGATGTCAAGCGGTTAGACCACGAATTGAAAGTTGAAAGTGATGGGGTGTGTTGATGCAGGCAACTAGGAAGTGTTGTGGACCACTATCGCGTTCCAAGACTGGCAGCTTGCAATGTATTTGTTTTGATTACTAATCGTATATATATCTCAACTACCGAGGCTAGTAAACTTCAATAGCTAAAGGCTCTTAGACTCTATAACTATAGGCCTAGGTATCTTTATATTATATATAATATAGCTATTTATAAGGTTCTAGGAATACGATACTAGTTTTAGAGAATATTATAATTTTAGTTTCTATATATATCTATACCCTAGTTTATAAAGGAAAATTTACTAATCTTACAATTCTAAATTATAGTTATGCTTTTCTAAGTTATATAGTAGTTTGTTCTAGCTATAGTATATAGTTTAGTAGGGCTTAATATAAGTACTAGTATCTAAGTAGTAGTTCGCTACTAGTCTAGACGCGCGCTATTAATTCCCTTAGACTCTTAATTAGTAGGCTTTAAATATTTAGTTAGAAAATTAAATATATCTATAGCAAATACTAAGTACTACTTAGCTAGTCACTATAGTAAGAGAGAATAGAACTTTAGCTATATACTAAAATAGCGATTTAGACTTCTAACTTTAGTAGTAAATTTACTAGTAGTAAAAGTTATTAAACTTAGCTTAAAATATATAAATAAAACTTAATTATTTAGGCTATATATAGAATATATACTAAAAGAATAGATATACTACCTTAGTAGAGGCCTAGATATATTATATATAACCCCTAATTACTAGTAGCTATCCTCTAGCTAGTAAGTCTAGTAGTATAATTCTTAGAGATTAATAGCTTTAAGCTATACTATCTAGCTATTATAGATTTAGCTATTATACTAGTTATTTCTATTACTCGTCCTCCGATAAATTATATAGTTTAAAGTATAGAATACTAATTAAAATTACTAACTTCGAAATAGAGATAGTTCGATTAGTAGAGGTCGATTAACGGTTCGACTAATAGTTCGATTAATAGTTTAATTAATAGTTTAATTAATAGTTTAATGAATAGTTTAATTAATAGTTTGATTAATAGTTTAATAAATAGTTTGATTAATAGTTTGATTAATAGTTTGATTAATAGTTTGATTAATAGTTTAATTAATAGCTTGATTAATAGTTTAATTAGTAGTTTAATTAATAGTTTAATTAATAGTTTAATTAATAGTTTGATTAATAGTTTGATTAATAGTTTAATTAATAGCTTGATTAATAGTTTAATTAGTAGTTTAATTAATAGTCTAATTAATAGTTTAACTAACCGGTTAATTAGTAGTTTAATTAGTAGTTTAATCAATAGTTTAATTAGTAGTTTAATTAGTAGTTTTAGTTTATAGAATTTTAATTAGTATTTTACTAGTAGCTAGTCCCCCGATAAATTATATAATTTAAAGTATATAGTACTAAATTACTAACTTCTAAATAGAGATAGGTCGATTAGTAGGTCGATTAGTAGGTCGATTAGTAGATCGATTAGCAGTTTAATTAGTAGTTTAGCTAGCAGTTCGATTAGTATTTTAATTACTAGTAACGGTTTAATTTAAAATTTCGTTAGTAGTTTAAGAAGTAGTTTAACTAGTAGCTTAACTAGTAGTTTAATTAGTCGTTTTATTAGTAATTATATAAATAGCTTAATTAACTATTTAATTAATAGTTTAATTAGTAGTTCGATTACTAGTTTCAGTTTAACGAAAATTTTAATTAGTATTTTATTAGTAGTTTCTTTAATAGTTTTACTAGTAGCTTTATTAATAGTTTTGTTTCTAGTTTAGTTAGTAGTCTTAGTACTTTAATTAGTAGTCTTAGTACTTTAATTAGTAGTCCTATTCGTAGGCTAGCTCGTAGTCTTGGTAGTTTTACTAGTAGTTTTATTAGTAGTTCTGTGAGTTATTAGTTTTACTAATAGTTTTACTATTAGTACTATTTGAGTTATTAGTTTTATTATTAGTTTTATTATTAGTTCTATTATTACTAATAGTTTTACTATTAGTACTATTTGAGTTATTAGTTTTATTATTAGTTTTATTATTAGTTCTATTATTAGGTTTACTAATAGTTTAGCTAAGAGTTTATCTAATAGTCTATCTAATAGTTTACCTAATAGTTTAATTAATAGGTTTGTTAATTAAAATTAATAGTACTATTAGTAATCTTACTAATATTTTCGCTACGGGGACCTTTATACTAGTCGATAGGCTTTATATTTAGTAGGATATAGCTATATCTAGGTCTTTAGTATACGTTAAGCTCCTACTAAATTTTTATTAGCGTATTACGCTTATATCCGGGATTCGTTAAGCGCTTTCGATTTACGTTCTATGCTAAAATCCGGGGTAAGTTAAATTTCCCTTTAATATTTGTTTCGATTGACGTTCTACGCTAAAATCCGGGGTAAGTCAAATTTCCCTTCAATCTTTGATTGCATATTACTTCTGCGAAATTTCTTAGCCAATCATTTCGGTCTTGGCGGACAACTTGGATTTTCGCGGGCGGTGGCCGCGGTGTCTAGATTGGCAGCTGCGCTGCCAATCAAGAGGCAGCCGGAGTCGCAGCTACGCCCGGGGATCTGCAGGCAGGTGTGCCGAGAAATCCCCATACGCGCGCACTCACTTCACGCGTCGAATTCTGCTTGTATACAATCGTTCCTTGACATCCGAGCAGACGAGTGGCGAAGCACAGGAATGGGGGCTCTGGAGTCCATACTGGTCGAAGATTCACCAATTGGATATCTTGAAATATAGCCTACAGGGCACACTCCGAGCAGTCTCTTAGACTGCACCCACAATTCTGGCAACGGCAACACTATATCTCGTCGATACTATTAGAAATTATAGCAGTCAGGACATCCAGAGAGCTAAGAGCTATAGAAAAGTAGCAGGAGCACAATTGACCATATCGCCATGCTCGCACAAAAGTATCGTTCAAGGTTCCCACCTGTCGCTGATTCCTACCATTGACCGGAGGTGTTAAACGAGGTCAAGTCTTACATATCACTTCGTGCTCTCCATCAAGAAGCTAAGCACGTTATTCGATGCATTCGACCCTGAAATCACAGTATAGAATCGAAGTCGGAGCCTATGGAGCGAAGAAAGCCCTTACGACATTCGGCAATACGAGCCTCGCCAGGCTTTCTTCATTCGCTCTTGGAGACTCGTGCAAGGAACAATCAAGATATCATAGGAGATGCTGTTGGTCAGCTTGGCTGTAAGTACGAGTAAATGGCATCAACCCGCCTGGCTCTCGTCGATTTTGTCGCGGGTGCGCGCTGCGAATTGCCTCTCGTGATTGGCGATCATTTATCCGACTCGTGCGCATTTTATTCGAAGCACTTCGCTTGCTATGGGTATCTTATGCAGTTACAAATCAATTCATCGCAGCAACGCTTCTTCTGAAATTCCAGGCTCATTTGATGTTGTACTCAACCCTTGGCAGTCTCGTCGAGCTTCTGCTTCTTAGGCTCTGGCTCGTCTGGCTGCTTTGGCTCCTTGGTCGGCACATCAGGCAAGTCTGGAATTGCGCTGTCATCCTTTTCCGTTGCTTCGCCATCTGGTCGTGCTGTCTCGGCTTCGCCAGACTCATCAGCTTCTTCGGCTGCAGTCTCCGATGGCGGAAAGTATTTTCTGCAACCAGTCAGTGTATATTCTTGAATGAAGTTCGCTCATACTCACGGAATGTACTCGTCGTACGCATCAACGTCCTTCTGCATGAACTGGCAGAAGATGACTCTCTCGATCTTGTCCGCTCGAGCCTCATCAGCTTCTAGCCAGCCCTTGACTGCCTGGATGGCCGTCTCCGCAGCCTCGTCGCTCGGATAACCATAAACACCTGTGCTCAGAGCGCTGAAGGCGATACTCTTGCAACTCTTGGCAGCAGCAAGATCAAGGCTCGTTGTGTAACATCCTTGTAAGAGACTCGTGTGCTTGCCCTGGTTTTTCGTCCTCCAATACACCGGTCCGACGGCGTGAATGACTCTCTTGCATGGAAGCTCGTAGGCACCCGTGATCTTGGCCGACCCTGTATCGCACCCATCTAATGTTTCGCACTCTTCTAGCAGTTCTGGACCGGCGGCTCGATGTATGGCACCATCAACTCCACCACCTCCAAGAAGAGACTCGTTAGCTGCATTAACGATCGCATCAACTTCGAGCTTGGTGATGTCGTTGCGAATGAGGGAAATCTTGTCGTTGAAGCGCGAAGTCGCATTCGCATCGACCGGATCGGACGAAGCTTGTAGCTTTTTGAGCTTGTATAGGAGGGTCAGAGTTGGAATCTGCTCTAGAGGTATGGTCGACATCTTGAAGGCGGAGCTGGCGAGAAGTCGAGCAAGATGTCGCATGCGCGCATTCGAGGTGATGTTATAGAATTTGGTTCCTGAAGCCTGGATGTGGAGCTAAGCATGTGAAATCGACCCCGCGATCTGAAACGGCAAGCGCGACGCGACTTTGAAGCGGAATCGGGGGCCAAAAGTCTATCATCGCGTCAACGCGTCCGTCGGCTGATGAATCAACGCATTAGACACAATGCCACCTCGAAAAGAGCCCAAAGAGCAAGTCTACTATCCGCCGTCCAAGAGCAAAGGGCCGGCTTTCAAGCCATTAAAGCCATCCAAGTTCCCACGCATCCCGACCATAGAATCAGAGAGCTCGGTCAAGTCGAAACCCACAGCAAAGAAGCCCGCGACAGCAAAGCGGAAAAGATCCACAACTGTCACAGAGGACGATGACGATGACGCCGAGAAGATTGACTCGGACGATGACCTACCAGATCCAAGATCGATAGGCTTCACATCAGCTTCGAAGATGACCAAATCCGCACCTGCCAAGCGAAAAACACCAGCGCGAGAACCATCTCCAGAATCGATAGCTTCCCATCACGACAACGAGCCACCAGACGACACAGTAGCGGGAGCGAGAGCAGAGATCCCGCTTCCTACTCAATCTGATGACACGCCTTCCATACCCCAAGCACTCCTGCTCCGCCTGCTCCACGAGTCGTTCCAAGACAAGAACACGAAGATCGACAAACACGCTATACAAGTGTTTCAAAAGTATGTCGAGATCTTCGTGAGAGAGACTCTTGCGAGGTGCACTCTAGACAAGAAGGAAGCTTCTGAAAGGGGAGAGGTCGCAGAGATAGATGCAGGATGGCTGGAGCTGGAGGATTTGGAGAAAGCTGCGCCGGGGCTGATGCTGGACTTTTGAGTCTTGAGCGACGGCCTGCGTCAAAGAGCTATCTCGAATTCATTTCCTGAGCAGGTGTATGTGAGAGTGGTGGTCAAGACAAAGCCTGCCAGCTGCTAAAGAAGCAAGACTCCAGTGCCAGAGAACGAGTCGCGAATTCTCACGGCGTAGCCTTTGCCCTTGTCTTTCGATCGCGATGGTCACTATCAGTCTTGAACAACGTGCTGGATGGATCTGGTACCAGCCGACTGGTGGCTAATGTCTCGGCACGGTTCCCATGCCACGGCATTCCATTCTCTTCGAGTCTGCTCGACTTCTAGCTTTATCGAATGATACGCGGCCGGCATCACTATTGATTGCGAGCGAAGCTCGCACTACTATAGTAGTCTCGGATGTCAGTAGCTCGAAGTACTGTTTAGCTACCTACGTGATTCCCCGGATTCTAAAAGCTTGGCCAAATCCTATAAGAGAACCGTACACGCTCTCTGCCTAAGGCTAGAACCTTTACAACTAGCTAGCGAAGATTACGGCTAGTTACGACGAGAAGACGACACGAAGATAATACGACGACGATACGAAGGCGACACGGCGACGACACGGCGACGACACGACGACGATACGGCGACGACACGACGACGACAATACGACGACGATACGACGACGATACGAAGATAACAATAATTCAATTACAGGGAGGAATACGAGCTTGTATGTACTATAGGTAAGCGGCAAGCAAGAGGGCTTATAGGTAGGGCGGAAGCTTCGCTCGCATATTGTAGGCACGCGCAGCCGCCTACAAGCACATATTTCTACCGCTGTATCGGATCTCCGTGGATCGTGAGGACAAGCTATTGCGAGCTACGTGGATAACCCCTCGTCTACTAAGTAGGACATCTCTTAGTGTGGTCGATCACGGCTTCTGCCACTTGCGTGCTACCAGTGCCGGCACGTGTCGTTGCGCAGCGACATTTGCAACGAAAGAAGTATTGAGCACAAGCCGAGCCACTTTATGTTCCTCGAACAGTCAAGCTACATGTAGCGCAGCTCTCTCAAGTTGTACGTCATCGTCAGCGTCGTATACGTTACACCCCACGGTGTTCGGCTTGCGTCAAACTGTGTTTACTTTGCTACTGCTGGTATCTCTGCGGCATGACTGTCATCGGCACTTTGAAGTATCACGAGAGGTCAAGACTCCAGAATTTTTCTATGCACCATCACGGACACTGCAAGACCAGACGTAGGCAGCGGACATAAAGACTACTGCAGTATTTTTGGTATGGTTTGCTTGGTGTAAGGATAAACAAAGTTTATGGGTAAGAATAGAGTCAAATACATGGCTACCTTGTCAAGCTAAACCACACCCACGGGACCTGTTCGTGCACTGCTGCGCTATGCGCAGTCTCGGCTGTGCTGTACTATTGCTACTGGAAAATCAACATCAACTTAGACCGAGAATGGTAATGCACCAAGAATGGCAGCACTTCCGTGCACTCCGACGAACACCGATGGTGCCGTTCGATGACCTCAAAATGGAGCCTGTGCAACTCGGCATGACAGATATAAGAAAGAGGTTGAAGTACAGTGTCTCGTTTCCTCATCACACAGAAGCAACCTCAATACCAGAAAAACCAAACAAGAAGACTTCCTGCATCTTATATTCCATTCATCCTTGATCGACCCAGAGACTCGACAATATCAACACCTAGGCTTAAATATGTATACCTCAACTATCATCACATCTCTCCTCGCCATCGCTGGCACCACTCTTGCAGCTCCTCTTACAAAACGAGCCGATATCTCCATTCAATTCATCGGTGGCCCAGCCAGCTATACTATCACGATTCCCAATGATGATGTGTGGCACCCTACGAACAGCGACCTCAACATCTCAAAGATCAAGTCTTCTGTCAACGTTATCACTGCTTGCAAGTTCCAGACCAAACCTCCTCCGGCTGTGGCTGCTACTGCGACTTATGTGCAGAGCAATGATGGAGCTGTGGATGTCGGTCCACCACAGCCGATCTTGGCTGTCAAGTGTCCCGGTGCATGAATGAGTGCAGGAGAGTAATGTAATGGGGTAATTGTAATGATTAACGACGATCATGAAGCGTCTTGGGCTGAGACCACAAAGTGTGGCGCAACAGAATGGGCGGGATGTGAAAGGAGCATTGGTAACATGGGGACGATTGGCTATCTTGAGCCCTTTTAATGAGGTGGGCGAGCTGTGTCATGCATTGATGTAGCATTATTAATACATCTCTCTGGAGATGCTAGAACTATGAAAGGACTCCTTGACCTGGTTACTTCGGTAAGAAGCTACATATTACCGAGCAAGTCAGTCAATTTGTTCATGTTCTTCTTGAGCCGTTTCTTGACGATGTGCCCAGCGGCCTCGAGACTCGAGCTTATATATTGTCAGGTCGAGTTGTGGTTGCCGCATTTCAGCTGTTGAAGCGTCTTTGGACATCACATGCTGTGTACCTGCTTCAATTGAGCGGAGCGCATGTGGCAAGAAGAATCGCCTCGGAACAGCTGTTCTTAATAAGATTGGACCCTTGCTCTTGCAACACAATTCGGAACCTTGAACTCTCAGCACCACCGTTCCACAACTCCACACAACCATAAGTCAACATGTTTCGACTGAACCAATTGCTCACTGCAGGCCTCGCTGCCTTCAGCACCGTCTCGGCGGGCTCAGTGCTCGACCTCACACCCAAGAACTTCGACAAGGAAATTCTCAAGTCAGGCAAGCCCGCATTGGTCGAATTCTTTGCGCCATGGTGTGGCCACTGCAAGAACCTCGCGCCTATCTACGAAGAGCTCGCAGCCAGCTTCGAGTTCGCCAAGGACAAAGTGACAATCGCAAAGGTCGACGCCGACGAGCATAAGGAGCTGGGCAAGAAGTATGAGATTTCAGGCTTCCCTACTTTGAAGTGGTTTGATGGCACTGGCAAGAGCGAGCCAGAAGAGTACTCCAGCGGCCGTGACCTCGAGTCGCTGACTGCTTTCATCACGGAGAAGACTGGCGTCAAGTCTAGGAAGCCAAAGTCGCCTGCCAGTCAGGTGGAGATGTTGACCGATACTACATTCGACGAGAAGGTTGGCAAGGACCAAGATGCCATTGTCGCTTTCACGGCCCCATGGTGTGGACGTGAGTACTACCATGTTCATTATCACGAGTGTTTGTATACTGACATGTACTCTTTCGCAGACTGCAAGAGCCTCGCTCCTGTTTGGGAGAAGGTTGCCCATGATTTCGCTGCTGAGCCAAGCGTCTTGATCGCCAAAGTCGATGCCGAAGCACCAAACGCGAAGGCAACCGCCCAGCGATTCGGAGTCAAGTCTTACCCAACAATCTTCTACTTTCCAAAGGGTTCGCAAGAGCAAGTTGCATACAGTGGTGGCCGTTCCGAGGAGGCTCTTGTTGACTTCATGAATGAGAAGGCTGGCACCTTCCGTGCTCCAGGTGGTACACTTAACACGCTTGCCGGAATCATTCCTTCCCTGAACGATGCAGTCAAAGCCCTCCAGGACGGCGGCGAGAAGGCTTACAAAGACCTCTACGCACAGGCTGGCAAGCTGCAAGGCAAGTACGCTGAGTACTACATCAAGGCTGCAAAGAAAGCAGAGGCCAACAAAGAGTACATTGAGAAGGAGATTACGCGCATTGGCAATCTAATCAGGAAGGGCAACCTCACACCTGAGAAGTTGGATGATCTCACCAGCAGGAGAAACATCCTGAGCGTCTTCCAAGGACCTGACGCTGCCGAGGAGACAGAAAAGAGCGAGTTGTAGGTCAACTCATAAATTGAGCTTAGATGGCAGTGCCCTCATGGGCCTCACTTGGGCATTTCCGTGGCATTTTACAAATGCATAGCACAGCTCACAGGGTTGAAAACCTAAGCTTGCAATATTCTATAGGACGAGCAGCCATCGATCAACAGAACAGGCGCATAAAGGCTTGTATGATAGAGCTAATGACATGAATAATATAACTTTGATGATCAGCCCTTTCTGGGTATCAGTCCCGATACAATGAGACCGCAACAGTCAGCTTTGCGTGAGTCTGGCGAGGCAGTATTGCAACACCTCGGGAAGTGGGTCTCACCTGCAGCTTGACAGCTCATCAATCAGAGCTGAAACTTCTTGATCTTGAACGCAGGCATGACCAAGCTGAGTTCATTCAAGACTTAAGGACGGTCGTAATGTGGTTGTTGAACGTCAAGACTTGGATGCTGAAGCAGATCACAAAGGAAAGAGACTGGGCCCGGAAATATGCCATCTTGTCACATACATGGACTGACGACGAAGTCGATTTCCGAGACATTAATACCAACCTCAAAGTAGCAACCCAAAAGAAAGGATATGCGAAAATCAAATATGCCTGTCGTCAAGCCGACAAGGATGGTCTTAAATATGTCTGGATTGACACGTGCTGCATCGACAAGTCCAGCAGCGCAGAGCTTTCGCAGGCTATCAATTCAATGTACAAGTGGTACACTAATGCCAAAGTGTGCTATGCTTACCTTTCCGACGTTAAGGTCGCTGGCCCTCGCAATCCAGCGGAGGAGGATACGCGCAAGCTTCTGGAGGGAAGTCGATGGTTTACTCGAAGTTGGACTTTGCAAGAGCTGATCGCACCTGACCATGTCATGTTTTTCGCTCATGCATGGCAATCCATCGGCACGAAGCACGAAATGGTCGATCTTCTCTCGTCAATCACTGGCATTGATGCAGATGTCTTGACACACCGGCAAGGTCTTCATTCTATCAGTGTCGCAAAAAGAATGTCATGGGCTGCTCATCGTCAGAGCTCGCGTGAGGAGGACCAGGCATACTCGCTTCTTGGCATCTTTGACGTTCACATGCCAATGCTGTACGGTGAAGGCGAGAAGGCCTTCATACGTCTTCAAGAAGAGATCGTCCGCACATCTTTGGATCACTCCGTGTTCGCTTGGGAGACTTGGACTGATGTATTGGCAGGAACCCTGTTTTCGCCTTCTCCTTATGGCTTCAGGGATGCTGCTAAGGTCGAGAGCTGGACTGTGCCAGAACGCGACGAGTCTTTTGAGCTATCGAACAAAGGACTGCGCATCACACTACCCGCCTTGCGGCGTGGGAATGAGCTCCGTGCTGTGCTAAATTGCCGCTATGGCGACCAATTCATGCGACCCATTGCCCTCCGCCTTGAAGTCTTACCAGCGAGGAGCATCACTCCTGCTAAATCATCCTCGACGACAGTATGCCACATGAAGCTGGCACATTTCGACAAGGGCAAGCGTTCTCACCTGACTACTCTCGACGTCAATGAACTTCACTCCACGAAATGGCTGGATCTGGTGGTGGCTAGGGAGAAGCCAACGGCATCCGGGAGGCAGCTGTCTAAGAAGATCATGATTCACGGGAGTCCTTCGTACAATGGGTTTGACCTCATAGATCCTCAGCCGGCAACTGCCTTTTGCAGTAAAGATCTTGTCATGAGCCTTAAAGTCTCGGAATCTGGGGGGACTGAGACGGGAAGAATCATCATCGCAGATCGACAGGATAACATTCTCACCCTGGCCTTTGCACAAACGTTCGAGCATGACTCTGCGACGCTTAGATACTGTCTAGTCAGTCATGCAGAATGCGATGAGCCACGTCGAGCTGCTCAAGTCTTGCTCACGAGCTTGGCTTCGCCAGCCGTCGCTGAGGCTGGCATAACCGGCGGGCGGAAAGTCTATGCTAAATGTCAACACATGTATGTGATGGGCGAAGAAGTTTGGTTGATAACGCTCGCCGCTGCAAGTGAGGCTATCAATGCAGCAGAAATAAGGGCTTCTAGGATCCGCAGCATCGTTGATGACAGGCGGCATGGAGCTGTTTCTTCTGTGCCATTGAACATGATCTCGACGGATTCACAGTTTTATCTTGGTAATTACAACACCCCGGCCCAAGGAAATTCATAGCTTTGATCAGCGGCCCGCGTCCTTGACGATATCGAGAGTCTCATCTGCTGCTTGTCGCTCGCCTGTTTGATCCTCCACGGCCATGGAGTACCGCGCGAATTGATCGACAGTGACTAGCCGAAGGTTTGCCCGCGGGCCTCCGCATCGCATGCAGGTCGGGTCCTTATTAGGCCGTGACCTGGATAGAATGCAACCTCATAATTGAGTGCTGGCTCGTTTCACTTTTACACTGGACTTCTTGAACAACTGCAGTGACCGTTGCTTTTCTCAAAGAATGGGCCCGCCAACGGATGAGATGACCCTTTCCGAGGCCATCGCTTCAAATCCGGGCACAGACACGGTAGAAGAGACCAGTTGGACCGCAGATGAAGAACGGCACCTTGTTCGCAAGCTCGACATTCGCATCTTTCCAGCGATCATCGTGCTTTTCATTCTGAACTTCATCGACCGCAACAACTTCGCCAATGCAAGATTGAAGGGTCTCGAAGCTGATCTTCAACTGTCAGATGTCGAATGCCAAACCTGCATTAGTATTTTACTGGTTGGATATGTCAGCTGTCAGGTCCCGAGTAATACGATTCTGAATCAAGTCAAGAGGCCTAGCTTGTATTTGTGCACGTGTGTTGCGGCTTGAGGAGTAATCAGCGCATGCACTGCAGTATGCCATAATGCGGTCGGCGCAATCATGTGTAGATTATTTCTAGGATGTGTCGAGGTATGTCTGATCAGCTTCACGACTGTAAAACCAGTTGACAGAAACAGGCCGCATTCTTTCCCGGCTGTCTCTTGCTTTTAAGCAGGTGGTACACAAGAGCAGAGATGCAACTGAGAGTTACATTGATCAATGCTGATAATCTTGCCACCCAAGCATTTGGTGGGCTCATTGCTGCTGGCATTCTGGGTGACATGGAAGGCGTTCATGGCATTCGGGCGTGGAGGTGGCTCTTCATCATCGAAGGAGTTCTCACTGTGGGCATTGCGTTCATCGCATACCCGATCTTGACAGACTACCCTGCTACGACACGCTGGCTCTCGGCTCGACAGTCGAGTATCGCAAGCCAGACTTGCGAGAGATGTTGACACCGTTGACACAGATGACTCCATGACTGCGTATCAGGGATTGAAATTGGCACTTATCGATCCCAAGGTCTGGCTCGTGGCTGCTACCTACTTCTTGACCATCATGGGCTTGTCATTTACTAATTAGCTTCTTCGTTCCTACAATCAAACAAGCTCTCGGATACTCAACAACCATAACCCTACTTCTCACTGCTCCGCCCTGGATCTTTGCAATCCTCGTCTCCCTTCCAAATGGTTGGCATGCAGATCGCTCTGGAGAACGATACTTTCACTGTCTCTGGCCTGCTATCGCTTGCTTGGTTGGCTATGCGATATCCAGCTCCAGTGTCAATATCGGCGCTCGGTACTTCAGCACCTTTTTGATGACGACTGGCTACGCATCTGGTTTCGTTGTGCTTGCTTGGATCTCGAACACAATCCCAAGACCTCCGGCCAAGCGAGCTGTGGCGATCGGGATGATCAATGCTTGTGGTAATATCGGGAGCATACCAGGGATTTATATTTGGCGAAGCATGGATGGACCTTACTACAGGGTGCCATTTTGGAGCTGCTTCGCTATTCTGGGTTCGGCCTGTGCGGTCGCGTGTGTTCTCAGACAGTATCTGGCCAGGTTGAAATCGCAAGCTGGATCGAGACGAGAATGGCACGATTGAGCTGGACGTTGATGGCAAGAACCTTTGCTCAGCGGAAGTCAAAGGCTTTCGGTATCTGTACTAGCTGGGAGTTCCTGCCGACTTACGGCTTTGAACAGATCAATGCAAGCTGTCGAATGCGATGCCGCAAAGCATCCCAGAATCAGGAAAGGACACAATGCAACACCGCCCCCTAGGGCAACGATGCAAGTCAATCGCCACCCATTCCTCAATTCACAGTCAAAATCTGCTCAAAGAACCCCCCATACTCCTCGTGCTGCGGCCTCAAATGCACCTCCAAGATCCAATGCCTCTTATGCCCCTTCTTATCCAACCCATCCATCTTCTGATCATTCCCCTCAACAATATAATTCGTAATCTTATCATTAGGAATCCTCTCATGCGGAAAATCCCCCACAATATGTCCAGCCAAATGCGCTCCCCATTTCCACCCATCTCCAGCAGCCGTAGCCTTGGCAATCTCAAAAAGCTCCCCACCAGTCATCGAAGGATTCTGATCATATTTCGCTTTGATCTTATACCACATCGGTTCCAGTGCATCCCGAAGTTTGATTTTCTCTGCATCATCGGTCTCGATGATGTACGTTCGTCCGAAATCTGCTTCCCAGGCTTCGAAGACGGGTCCGAGATCTATGACCAGGACGTCACCTTTTTCGACGATCCGGTCAGGTGGGTTTTCGGCGAATGGGGCTAGAGTATTGGGTCCACTTCGGATCAATCGTTTGTGCCAGTGGGTTCGCACGCCATAGTTTTCTTTTCCCATTTGATGGATTTCGTCGCTGATTTGCTTTTCGCTGACGCCCGGGCGAATGAGTTTGGAGCCGATTTCTTTGAACATTTCTGCCGCTTTTCTTTCTGCGTCTCGAAGCGCGTGCGCTCGGTCTTGTTCGATTGTGATTGTTTCTGTGGCCATGATGGATGATGTTCAGGACGTTCGAGTCGTGGTTTGTCTTGACGGATGCGCGCCTGCGGGTGGGGGTTTTGGAGACACGAATTGATCCGGAGCGGTGTCGTTGTCCAACGCTTGAATGTTACTGTCGGAAGAGTCGAATATCAATACCTGCCATTCAGAGCTCGGACAAAAGTAAGCTTGTGACTCGTGAGCAGGTGAGAATGTCATCACGTCTCGTGGATGATTGCTGCTAGGCGTAAACTGTGTCCTTGTGCCGAAGACAATATGCTGTCACATGCACTAGAGGTGAAGTCAACCTGAAAAGCTGAGCTGAGCGCACGGACGCCCTTCTCCACTTTTTCGGCAGCACGGCCATGCCATGCGGTGCTATGAGCTTTTCGTGTACATTCTGCTGATCGACACGCCTTCGACGACACGACATCTTGGGGCGCAATGTTTCTCCTTCCTTGGAGATAATGTACAGAGCCTCGATGGCCAACAAGCTTGCCAGCACAGCGCTGTCGAGGGCGCTTCGAAGATGGCCACATCCACACGCGACCCCGTCTACACCTTGCAGAGGTGTCGCAACTGCAGCCAGCGTCGACATACACGAACCTGAACCGTACATACCAGACTCGACGCCAATAGTGCCCTCCAGGCCAGACCGAAAGGAGGCTGTACGGAACGCGAAACCTTTCTCCGAATTCCTTACAGATACATACGACCGACAGCACGACTACCTGCGCATATCGCTCACCGAGAAATGTAATTTACGATGTACATATTGCATGCCTGAGGAGGGTGTTCACCTTTCGCCGAATCGAGAAATCCTTACGACGCCTGAGATTTACTACTTGAGCGCGTTGTTCGTCAACCAAGGCGTCAGCAAGATCAGGTTGACTGGTGGCGAGCCGACTGTGAGGAAGGACATCATTCCCCTCATGCAACAGATCGGACGTCTCCGACGTAATGGTTTGAAAGAGCTGGCTTTGACCACTAATGGGATATCGCTACATCGGAAGCTGGACGACATGGTTGAGGCTGGCTTGACTGGTGTGAACATCAGCCTGGACACGCTCGATCCTCTTCAATTTCCAATCTTGACTCGTCGACAAGGGTTTAGCGCCGTCATGAAAAGCATCAATCGAGTGCAAGAGATGAACAAGCTGGGCGCGCGCATCAAGCTGAAGATCAACTGCGTTGCCATGCGTGGAGTTAACGATGATCAAATCATTCCTTTCGTGGAAATGACCAGAGATCAAGACATCGAAATACGGTTCATTGAGTACATGCCGTTCGGTGGAAACAAGTGGTCGCAGAGAAAGATGCTTCCGTATGCGGAATTGGTCGAGCTCATCCGTGCACGGTATCCGACTCTGGGCCGCTTAAGAGACGCAAAGAATGACACGTCCAAGACATGGCAAGTACCTGGATTCAAAGGTCGGGTTGGCTTCATCACGAGCATGACGCATAACTTTTGCGGAACATGCAACCGGCTCCGAATCACTTCTGATGGCAATCTCAAAGTGTGCCTGCATGGCAACACCGAAGTGAATCTCCGAGATGTGATTCGAGCTGACAACCGAGGAGAGCCAATGGATGAAGCAGCATTCGAAGCGATACGACAGATTGAGCTGGACCGGCGGAAGCACGCCGAAGATGGCCTGCATTTCGATGGCGAGAAAGGCTGGATCAGCAAAGAGCGACAACTCCTTGAGGTAATTGGCGCTGCTGTGAAGCGCAAGAAGGCAAAGCACGCCGGAATGGGCAAGCTGGAAAACATGGAGAATCGGCCAATGATCTTGATTGGTGGGTAGGTCTGTTCTTATCTGTTCTACACCAACACAGCGGTGGTGTCAGCGTATAGTGCAGCGCACGCAGCTATAAGTGTGCTACGAGATGACGAATTCACGAACTTCACGACACTCATCCTCGAGCCTTATTCAATTCTCTCTGTCGTTCTGCAACTAATGTTTTGGTAGGTAAGAAGAGACATCTTGCGCGTCCAAGTCGTGAAGCGTGCATTGCTTTAATGTCGCATACTCGACGATCTACGATGCCGTGGTCATCAGTCCCTTGGCACCTACTTCGGCAGACCGTGTCAAATTCGTCAGTCCGGTTCTACTCCTCCGACAACCATCAATCGCAACGCGCTCTTAATGGCGAAGCAAGGAAAGATAGTAGTCTCCAAGATCAGCCGCCCTTGCTTGCTTCTGCATTTGGTTTTCAGAGCCTCAGTGGTCTCTTCGAAGAGCCTAAACAAAGAAGATATAGTAGGCCACGCCAGCCACGTGCTGAACCGCCTAAGACCGGACCTGAAATACAAGAGAAGCGCGACGTCCCTAGAACGGAAAGCGATGCCATCACGGGCGATGCTGTATCTAATCCCGCCACACAAACCCACGGCGAAAAGGCCACAAGACCTCAGGTGCAAGAGGAAGCGCCGCCTTCTGAAGGATATCAGTCTCTACAAGATCGGGTTCATTCACAATCAGCGGCTGATGCGCCGAATCTGTTCCGAAAGCATATTTTCCCGAATCCTGTTCGGACGGATATCGTTGGGAAGATCACAAAGCACTCAGTGCAAGACGAAGGGCCGCTTTCTCGAGGGTATCGGTTTCTGCAAAACCAGACTCAATCACAATCAACGACCGATACGCCGAAACGGACCCTAAGGTATATTCCAAAGGAGCCGATTGTCGAGAAGGAACCCGGAGCAAAGCTAAAGCGCCCCAGGCTTATTGGGAAAGGCCATGCTCACCCGTCTTCACAGGACCGGACGAGGGCGCAGCCAAATCCATTCACAATGAATCCGAGCGAGGACATCGTTGACAAAAAGGCCAGCTATGGAGTCACTGGACCGGCCTTGCATAAGACACAAGAACAAGAATCAACTCGGCCATGGGGCCTGAGCAAAATAGACGAAAACTCCCCAGAATCCATGACAGACCATGTTTCTGTGGCTGCCGGTACGAATGATCAGCGAGATGGAAAAGAGTCATCCACGGTGCCTGTAGGACCACCTGCAGCGAAGATGGACCTGAGTGAGACCTTTTCCGACGGCACTCCTCCAGCCTCGATCAGAGTGGCAAATGCGCTGACGCACCTCACCTCTGCTGGAGAAGCGCACATGGTCGACGTTGGTACCAAAGCAAACACCAAAAGGGTCGCTATTGCGATATGTCTGCTGAGATTTTCGAAGCTTGAAACCTCTAATGTTGTAGCTGAGAACAGCAACAAAAAGGGCGATGTCCTTGGCGTGGCTCGTATCGCTGGTATCATGGCTGCTAAGCGTACTTCGGATATTATACCACTCTGCCATCCGCTCATTATTAGCAAAGTGGAGCTGGACGTCAGTCTCCTCCCGCCAGGAAAGCCGATAAAAGGCGGCCTTTTCGTCCCATATGGCGCCATCAAAATCACCGCGGAAGTCCAGTGTACAGGACCGACTGGCGTTGAAATGGAAGCGCTCACTGCATCGACGGCGGCCGCACTGACCGCTTATGATATGTGCAAAGCCATAGACAAAGATATGTACATGACGAACAGTCGCATTGTATACAAAGTCGGTGGCAACAGTGGCATGCACGTTTTCCAGGAGTGGGCGCGAGCCCAAGGCGAAGCGTGGTTTCAAGAGAGAAACTATGACGTGCCCGCGAAAATTTTCAGAAAAGCCAAGGGGGAAGGGGTGGAAAAATCAGAAGAGAAGCCACATGAATCATCTTGATACTGCAATAAATCCATGATGCTCTGTAGGGGCAATCAATCTTGACATGCCATTACTATGTTATTGCGCTTTACAGGCTCTTCTGAAACCCGTGTGCAAGACTTCCGCACTGATCACGAGAACATTGGAGTCATGCTGTGCACAGTATGAGTGACGTGTACGTCCTGACCGTGCTGGTGAATGACGATTGGAGCCTCTTACAAATTGATACAATTAGTGGCGAGCCTGGCAATCCTGGGAGATTTGTATCGTACTGTGATAACAGTCAAGCTTCGAAACAAGAACATTTGGCTGGCAGGAGGAGAACGGATCGAGACTACGACAATGCCACATCAATGCCCAGTCCTCAACGATTGTGAGTCCAACTTAAGCAGTAGTTCAGCATACCTGAATTCTCTCAGTGATATCATTTCCAGAGGCAACCCCGATGATGTGCATTCAGAACCAAGCATATTGCTCTACGATGATACTTCTGATGCTGGACACACGGAGAGCTTCTACACGAGAAATGGCCGCACGGTCATGAAGGGACGGCGCAAAGCAATCAGTGGAGAGAATCGAGATAGCGTATAGGTGATCTAGGCACAGTGATATCCGAAGGGAGTTCCATATGAGTGTATGCTGTATCCTTGCCGGTGGTTGCGATCACCACTGCAATATGGCGCCAAAAATCCATGCACCGATGTTGTCTTCGTTGCCTGATGTTGTGGCTATTGTTGCAGGTAATGCGGTGATGTGAGGGCAAGGAGAGAAGGGGGCGCGCCAAGCCACGCGACGACGACAAGAACACCAACACCAACTCTCCTCTCACTACTAAGCGCACGCTCATCGGCATTCACTGATCTGCTTATCTTTCATAGCAATTGTGTTTGTCTGCTGCTGACTTTGTGCCAGTAGCAAGCTTCAGATGTCCACTGGCTATGTTAACCCAATGCAGAAAAGGTTCACGAGTTTCTTCCCAAGACGCAGGTACCGCGTTTAGCTGTTGCAGTACCATGCACGGTCCATTGATCCTTGGAGCTCATGAACAGAAATGGCGTTCACGTCCTTACCGACAGCTTCAGCTTCTCCAATTGACTTGAAGTGCTTGAGCTTGCTTGCCATACCTCTGATCGCCCGATACAATACTCCTCTTTGCTCTTGAGCTTCTTCCAATGTTCTCATAATGCCTGCAGACACGAATCCAGCCGCCACCCTCCGATACAGTGAAGAACTCGATCGGTCCAGAAAGATGGCTCCTTCACAGCGTGTGGTCATCATCGGAGCGGGAATAGTTGGCACCAACTTGGCCGATGAGCTAGCGACACGAGGATGGAAGAACATTACAGTCATTGAACAGGGCCCTTTGAGCATGCCTGGTGGCTCAACATCGCATGCTCCTGGCTTGGTGTTCCAGACCAACACTTCGAAGACCATGACCCATTTAGCCAAATATACGAGAGACAAGCTTAGTTCGCTGGAGAAGGACGGGCAAAGTTGCTTCAATCACGTCGGTGGAATAGAGGTAGCAACGACGCCGGCGCGCCTGGAGGAGCTGAAGCGAAAGCGTGGGTTGGCTGAGTCTTGGGGCATTCAGACTAAATTGATCAGTGCAGAGGAGTGTTCAAAGCTTTATCCTTTGCTCAACAAGGAGAAAGTGCTTGGAGGCATTTACATTCCAAGTGATGGACTGGCATTGGCTGCCCGAGCTGTTCAACTTCTTGTTGAGCGCACCCGAAAAGCTGGCGTCCGATATCTTGACTTGACACCTGTCGTCGGTATCGAGAAGAAGGATGGGCGAGTGACAGGGGTGGAGACGCAGAATCGTGGCACGATACCAGCAGACATAGTGATATCCTGCGCAGGCTTCTGGGGCGTCGAAATCGGCGCCATGGTCAGTGTTGACTTTTCATTAGGACTTGACTTCGCTTTTCCGTTGACACGCACATCCAGGTTGATTTGCCCATCCCGCTTCTCCCACTCGCACACCAATACGCGAAGACCACACCTCTCCCAGCTCTCAGGGCTCGAAGAAACCCTCCAAATTGGGCCACCCTTCCAATTCTTCGACACCAAGACAGTGACCTCTATTACCGTGAGCATGGAGATCGATACGGTATTGGCTACTATGGTCATCGACCAATGCCGGTAGTTGCAGCTTCGCTTGGGCAGACTCCCAAGCAGGTAGACGAGAAGAACATGCCATCTCGCATGACATTTACATCAGAAGATTTCGAACCTGCATGGAAGGAGTCTCAAGACCTTTTGCCATCTATGAGAGAGGGCCAGATCGAAGACGGCTTCAATGGGATCTTCTCCTTCACACCTGATGGCGGACCTGTCGTTGGCCAGCATCCGACTTTAGATGGATTTTGGGTCGCCGAAGCAGTTTGGGTCACTCACTCTGCTGGCATAGCTCGAGCTATGGCGCAAATCTTGACTACTGGCTACTCAGAGATCGACTTAGGCGAATGTGACATGAACCGCTTCGAGCAAGTACAGCTTGCACAGGAATATGTCAAAGAGACCTCCATGCAGAACTTTGTTGAGGTCTACGATATCTTGCACCCATCAGAACCCAAGCAATCTCCTCGCAACGTTCGCATCAGTCCGTTCTATGCAAGACAGGTCGAGCTTGGCGCATTCTTCTTGGAGTCTAGAGCATGGGAGCGACCTCATTATTTCAAGGCAAATGCGGGACTGCTTGACGAGATGCCGACGTCATGGAAGCCTGTTGAGCGTGATGCGTGGTCCAACAGATTTTATTCACCCATAGCAGCTGCTGAAGCTTGGAGGACAAGGACAGCTGCTGGCTTGTACGATATGACGCCACTGCGAAGAGTCGAAGTGTCTGGGCCTGGCGCTGTGGACTTGCTGCAAAGACTGAGCACGGGTAATATGGCCAAGAAATCAGGCTCTGTCACATATGCCATGCTTCTCGATGATCGAGGAGGGATAAGAAGCGACATTACAGCAGCGCGACTTGAGGAGGATCTATTCCAGGTCAATGTGAACAGTCGCATCGATCTCATCAATCTTCAACGTGAAGCTCGACGACAGGCTAGACAAAATCCGGCGAAGTATGTCCAGGTTCGAGACATAACGGGTGGCACTTGCTGTATTGGCTTCTGGGGTCCTAGAGTCCGAGATGTCATCAGTGCTATAAGTGCGGACGACATCTCCGACAGCTCCCTTCCATACTATGGCGTCAGGCGAGCTCATATCGCTGGAATTCCAGTCATTATGACCAGAATCACTCACGTGGGAGAGCTTGGCTGGGAGATCAGCACCACGGCTGAGAATGGTCAGAAGCTCTGGGATGCTATCTGGAAAGCAGGTCAGCCACATGGTGTTATTGCTGCAGGTCGCATCGCGCTCAATGCTCTTCGTATGGAGATGGGCTATCGAGACTGGGGTTCCGATATGTCGTCTGAACACAATCCTTACGAAGCCGGGTTGGGCTTTACCATCGATACCAGCAAGACAGATTTTGTCGGCAAGGCTGCACTACAGGCTCAGTCCGAGAAGACTGCGACCAAACGCCTGCGCTCGCTCATTGTGAATGATGGCCGCTCGGTGGTTCTGGGCAAAGAGCCGGTCTACTACCGTGGCAAGCCGGTCGGGTACGTGACCAGCGCTGCTTTCGCATACAGCATTGGCAAGCCCATCGCCTATGCTTGGTTGCCGGGCGACCTCGTGGATGGTACTGCGGTCGAGCTTGAATATTTCGGACGAAGATTTGGAGCCACTGTCACTGCTGATCCTGTTCTCAAACGAGGAGTCCAGCTACAGCACAGTCGGGGCGCACCGACGCAGAGCAGCGCTCTGGAGATCCGAGCCAAGCTGTGATTGCAACTTGATTGACACTCCAGGAAATACAAAGCATGATAACGAGGCAAGCATTGTTTGGCGTTGGTGCATCAAGGTTCATGCTTTTTCAATATCGTGAAAGACATATTGTCGACTCTTATCCAATTGTTCGCCAGCTTTTACATTCTCTTGTCCTGCTGCTTACAGCTGACCTGGTTTCATAGATATTCTTGTTCAATGTACTATGTAGCAGACGGCGGCTATCGAGGAGTGAATACACAGTTATGCCAACAACATGTGACATCCGTCTAGTCCCAATCGGGTGTCAGAACCCAGACCTGGTCTTGGCAGAATTTCGACTCCAACTTAGGCTCAGCTTTCCTTTGCTTCTCTTCTGCCCACGATCACTATCTCAAAACCACCACGCGCGCAGTTACCCCCAAGGTTCTCCCTATCTACATCCTCCAGATACTGACCGGCAATGGCATCCTCGCCGGAACACCTCCTATAGTGCGGTGAGAGCGGCCATGGGTCCGTTATGATCCCTGTGCGACACACTTCAATGCAACCAGCTTCCAATGCGACCAAACCATGTGCCTCTTTTATGCACAGAGTGCTCCCACGCGATACTCCAATGCGACAGATCCTCCAGAGCGACAACTACTCCAATGCAACAAGACACATGCCGAATCGTGATCACGCTGCCACGTTGATGCATTGATTACGAGCGTGTCACGATAGCGCCGACGTTCGCCCATTCGCCCGGACTCATGCCTTCAGACCGTCCCTCGCTCTCCTACGTGGCGGTAGTTGGCCACACCCATGCTGCCAGACTGTCGTTCTCGGTGCCTTGGCGCGCAAGCAGATAAGAGCAAGCGCGAGCAAGACTGCGGCTGGAGAGACAGCACGTTTCAGGAGACAATCTGCTCGTGATTTCGCACGCAGTATGGCGACAGTGACCCTCGGGTCTGGACTGTGGTAGACTTATCGTCAGGCGCTCGTTTATGCTTGCACGTGGGATGATAAGTAGCTGCACTTTATTGGACCAGGCTATGCTCCAGGACTCCATATTAGGTAGCTAAACGCCGGTAAGCATGTGTCTACGCCACTTCCGGCAAGCTCACACACCATTGTTACGTCGCAAATCCCGATGGACAGACGCAAAGGCTAGCCCCATGGGGTTCTTGAGCCCACTGTGTAGACATGGGCTGATGGAATGAGAATATATGCCGCCGCTATATGCTAAGGGAACAGGTTTGCATTGCCATCATCTCCTTATTGAATCAAGCAAGATCCCCGCGATCCTTCCGCATCGCTTTCACTGATCCTAAACACATTTTATTCCGCCAGGATCCCGCAATGTTCCGCAAAGACTCAGTACAATGGGCGTTGAATTATGTCGGCCTCGGTGGCTCCGCCGAAGAAGAACAGCAATCCAACAGTGCCGTTCGGGCGCTGCCGTCGAACTGGTACACATCAGAGGAGATGTACAGCCTTGAACGACGTGCCATCTTCTCTAGAAAGTGGCAGCTCATCACACATAAGGTCAGGCTCGGCCAGCCTGGCGACTGGCTCAAGTTCGACATTGCTGGCTTTCAATTCATCTTGGTCAAGGACCGACAAGGAAACATCAATGGCTTCCACAATATCTGCCGCCACCGTGCCTTCCCTGTGATCCAGCCAGGTAGTGACTCTGGTTGTGCGAAGATCTTTTCATGCAAATATCACGGCTGGTCGTATGGTCTCAATGGAAGGCTCGCAAAGGCACCTGGCTACCAAGACACCCAAGATTTTGATAAGTCCAAGAATGGTCTTCTTCCCATTCATGTCCGGGTCGACCACGTCGGCTTTGTCTGGGTGAACCTCGATGCTAAGGAAGTTCCTGAAGTTCCGTGGGAGGCCGACTTCGATGGCATTGACAAGCAGGAACGATATAAGGACTTCAACTTCGATGACTACATCTTCGACCATACCTGGCAGATGGACGGTGACTATAACTGGAAAATTCTTGCCGACAACTATAATGAGTGCTATCACTGCGCAACAACACATCCCGACATCCCTGCGGTCGCAAATCTTGACTCTTACGATGTGACGACCAAGTTCTGCCAGATCATCCACGACCCAGCTACCACGGAAGAGCAGCGCAAGAAGGGTTTGATCATTGCTTCGACTTACTACTTCCCCAACGTATCAACCAACATCACGTGAGTCTCCAATCATCACTCATCTTTCATGGAATCTGCTAACATCAGTGTCCAGTCCTCACTTCTTCATGATCCAGCGTTTCGTTCCACATGGTCCAACAAGGTCAACGATGTCCTACCAGGTCTTCCGCAACAAGAATAGCTCCGAAGAGGACTTCCAGCTCGTCAACAACATATACAAGCGTGTCATGTCCGAGGACAAGTACCTTTGTGACCAAGCCCAGAAGAATCTCAACGCCGGTGTCTTTATCAACGGCGAGATGCATCCCAAGATGGAGAAAGGACCGCTTTATTTCCAGAAGACCATCCGCGAAACTGTCACGGAACATCACGCGCGCGAGCAAAAGGCTAAAGGCGAAATCTGGCCTGCCAAGCAACGTCTCCCAGAGACCAAGAGTGGTCTTGGTTCGCAGAAGGATATCGATTTCTGCAATGGACTGAAATGCGAAAATCAGCCGAGAGAAGAGCTTGCGTGGTAATAGGGGCTTGAGACGATATGACTCGACGGCTGCTGATGATAGATGAGCATTGTGATGATGAATTAGCGTTGAACGACCTGCATTGTGGGAGGTGGGCATGGCGTTTGAAGGAGTTTTCGATGCAATACACCTGCATCATGTACGTCTCGAGGATGCTGTTCTAGCATGTGTTTGTGTTGACCTTGGGGCTTAGCGATCATTCTTTGCTTTGTACACAGTTCGATTGGTGTTGCAAGCTGCACCTAATATGTCCGCTCATAACGATGAGCTTTTGTCGATGTCACATATGGCGTTCTATCTATGTCTCATGATGATCTTTTGATGTCCACACAGATTCTTAGTGCTTCTAATGAAAGGTGCGTGATTGATGCTTCTTTTCGGTCGATGACGCATCGTGACGCTGTGGATGAGCCTTGGAGGTCTTGACGTTGATGACTTTCTCTAGAGGCTCGGACCTCATATAAGGAGCATTACTTCACAGACTTAAGCACGAACAATCGAGAGGATAACACGACTAAACACCTATATCAGACTGCTTGAACATCAAAATCACCATTCTTTCCCCTTCGATCACCATCACAATGTCTGCTTCCGACAAGAGCACGCCAGCCAACACATCAAACAATGGTGACGGAGTAAGTAATTTCCTAACAAGTACAAGACTTTTAGACTTAAGACATTTGATAGTCAGCTGGTCAGACATCCGTCTTTGACGCAAAGGAGGGAAGTATCGGCAAGCAATTTACCAGTAAGTATTCTCACAATCGATCAGCTCTACAGTCTACATCTCTTCATCAATGATATTGATGCTGATATTCGACAGCTGAGGGCGCCATTGGTGGTGCGGCGCAGAAGATTGGAGGTCCGTTGGCGGCGGACGGAGCCATTGGAAAGAACTTTACTACCGAAGGAGCAATCGGAGGCACTGCGCAGGAGAAATTGGCGGACAAGAAGTGATGATTCATGTAATGTAATTGATATGCGCATCCATGATGAGATATATGAATTTATCAAATGCGATTAGAGAAGTTGATGAATGGATCATTTTCGGTGACGTACGTGCTTTGAAAATAAGTATCGATGCTTGACGAGTTTTTCTCTCATGCGGAAGATGAAGTAAACATGGCTTATGATTTCTTTCGTGCACTGATTTGCAAGAGTTGTCCATGTTCACTTTGTCCCGTGGCTTGCGATGAGGTGTGAATGTGTTCTATATAATGAGAAAAGGAACGTCGGTTTCCCAATTGAAGCCATGCTCCAAACGATAGTGCGTGCATATTGCACGAGCATGGCGTATAGTGACAACCAGGGAGGCGCTGGTGGTGATGAAGCGTCCCGCAAACACACCGACGTACTTTCAAGTATGCAAGACCGCAGATGCTATACAGTAAGCACTTCTGATATACCATTCAAAACCTTGTTCCAAGATGTTGACTGACGCGATAAACAATATTCCACACTAGATCTACGAATTCGAGTGAGTGGCAATCAGCAATGCCTATTCATTATATGTCGATTCCTACGTTGCTGGCTTTGCCATGTGCCACCTCTTGCGTCGGTACACATCGTGAATGCATCGTAGACGAAGAATATAAGCATTGCCGACAACGACTCCCTCCTCCTGCTTCTCTCTCTCTCTCATACACACACGAACACGAACACGAACACCCACCCACACACACATTCACACCACCAATTGAACACCATCACATTGCACAGACACACTCCTTCAATCCTCAACCCAACAAAAATGGCCATCAAGAACAACCAGAACAACTTCCAGCTCTCCAAGGATGATGCTTTCATTCGATGCACAGAGTGCGGAGCTCGGAATGGTGGACATTTTACCTATTGCTCCCAGTTTCTCAATACTGGTGACCATTGAGTAACACACCTCAGATTGGCTCTCGGTGGCAATGCTGATGTCTGATACTCTTATGGCGGGCATTTTGATGGGCGAATATTGGCTGCTCAGTCCTCCTACATGGCGTTTGTATCTTGCAGAAGTTTTTCTAGCTAGAGATCTGGCAATGGTCCAGCATCTCTTAGGATAGTTGAAGATCATGGTATAGGATCAATTTTTGCTTTGACCTTGTTCGTTGTGTTCCGAATGGGAGGGGGGTTTTTTGGTTTCCTTTCTCCGTTCGTCCTCGCTCTGAAGAATGCACGCTACCTTACTTGTCACGTTGTTCTTGCACGCATGTCTAAGATTATGCTAATGCGGAGCCTCAGCACTGCCAACCAGCCAGGTGGGTCTTCCTCGACAACTCCTCTGCTAACTTGTGGTTCGAAGATACTGCATCCATGCCAGAGCCAAGCACGTGCTCTGTTTCAGACGCGTGAACAGTCGATGTGTTTGAGGAAGTGCCCTCCACTCGGAATTCCTTCGGGGTCCCCTTCTCGCATGGTATGCTGAGATCCGTCGATGGCTGATGAGGAATATCCTTGGCGATACTCTAATTGTACTGCTCATCCCATCGGCATCTCCAACCAGATGTCTCCAGTACGAATGATACGTTCAGGGCTTTCCCATTGACACTGGACTCATGCCAAACCTGAACTCGAACGCCTTCGTTGTTACTCAGCTGAATGACGGCGGTGCTCTCACTCAACAAGAGCAAGAATGTCAGGGCAATCGTGTTTCTGATCCAGAGTAGAGGCATGAGATAGTTGATAGCCGATGCAGGTACATGCCAGTCGTGTCCAAGGCCTTCGAGGTGGGGACATCGTTGACGCAGCAACTGGTGAGGTGCGACAGGAGAGTCCGAAGCGGTCAGCTGTCGATGTTCAAGCGTCACTGCTGATGCTGCCATAACGACAATGCTGAATTCCAGGCTCAAGGCAATGCTGTTGATGATGCCTTCGATATAGTACTCTAACAATAAGTGGTTCTCGTGGTTGCCGTCCAAATCTCGTATTGGTTCAACTATTTTTTGCGTTCTGTCCGTCACTCACATGAAGGCACTGTCATCACTCTGATTGAGCCCGAGCTTTGTTGCACGTGGTACAAAGCATGCTGTTCCTAGTGAGCAAGAAGTGACAGCGAAACGAGCCACTTTCGTAGAATCAGTTTAGCACTCTTGAAGCACAACAGACTTACCACTTTGATTCTGCTGCATGTCTTCCTTCGCACGTGTGATTTGCTATCCATACTAGCTCCAGCTTACGACGTCGCTGCTTATAAATAACGTGCGGCACGATCGACTCCATTCAGGCGGCTTTGGAGCTCCGCTTCCAGAAGGATTATGGTCGCTTCGTGTTGAGTTCCTCGCATCCTTCGCCTTGAATTCTCAATTTAAGATCGGTGTGCTCCTTCTCAAAGGCAACCTGCGTCAGCAATTGGGGGCTTGCATACTGTAGACTTGTACTGAGATGCGTGGCGTAACAGGGTCAGCATCCGATGCAATGCTGAAGTGTAATAGTCAGATGCTGTAGGCCGCAGCTCGCGCCACAGGAGCAATGTAGGCTGGCCAAGAGCCAATGACACCATCAGGGATGCTCCAATTGATCACTCCAGGCTGCCTCGAGACCTCCTGTGGCGTATTATTGTGTCCGTGCCTTGGAAACAAGCTTTCAGGAACGCCAGAGAACTGCTTGGTCGAGCTTAGCCTACGCGCCAGGAACAAGCCGCCAAGACCTCATTGGATCTTTTACGACGAGCGGTGACTGCCACTGACACTTCCAACGACCAGGCTGACGTACGCTTTTCGTATTCTTGGCTCCGCCTTGTTTTGTGCATGAGCAGGTCGACCAGGGAACATCTGCAGCATTAAGTCAGCAACCAGACTCGCTTTCGCAGTTTAAGTAGCATTCCTGGTCGCCTCTCCCTTCACTTCCTGAACGCACTCCTGAGATCCTCAACACTCGATATCAACCACGGCCAACTTTGCAGCACATCATCAGATCAACCAGCAGCCATGCGTTTCTCTACCATCGCCGCCAGCACCTTCGCTGCTCTCGCCTACGCTCAGGACACAAGCAGCGCCATGTCAGCCGAGTCTTCTGCCTTGAGCTCTATCTCGCGCGTCGCTACATCAGTCAGCTCCGTCATCAGCTCGGAGTCCAGCCGTGAGGCCAGCCTTTCCTCTGAGCTGAGCTCCGCAACCAACAGCGGCAGCTCTTCGCTCGCATCTTCCCTCTCTTCCAGGCTTTCATCGCTCGCCGCCTCCGATGCTGCCAAGGAGTCCTCTATTGCTGCTTCACTCAGCAGTGAGGCCGCCACTGCCACTGGAGCCGCGAAAACCTCGCTGCAGATGCTTGCCTCCTCTGCTGCGGCTGCAGCCACTGGCAGCCACGGAGGTGTTGTTGCCCCAACTGGTACTTCATCTGCAGGTGCCATGCAGACTCTCGTCCCAGTCATCGCTGCTGGAGCTTTTGGACTGCTCGCTGCCGCCCTCTAGGCGCTTACTTCGATCGACAGCACTGGCATAACAGGATTAAACCGGTAGCACGATGGACATGGATGGCAATTCTTTGTAGTGTACCTGGAACATGGTGAATGCAGGCATCTTCGATCTCGACCATACTGAGTGCAATCCTCCTTTTACTCTTGGCTTGTATGTTTGGCTTCTTACTGTTCAAGGAACGCGTTGTTCATGCCAGCAGGTTTTTCTCCTCCTGTTGCAATCTTCGCGTAAGTGCTCGTACAGTTTGCAAGGTAGATCGCGCATGGTGGAGAGGTGATATCTTGGCAAGTCTAGACATTCGTGGTCTCTGGCTGAAGTGGTGCTCGGGGGATATTAATGTTGAATTGCTGTAGTATACCAAGGATGAGAAGCTTGACCACTCCACGCGCCAAGTCCAGGGGTTCGTGTCACCTTCGCGCAACTGCGCTTTCCCTCATTTGGACATGCTGGCTTCATGACTCCTTCACTTGCCAGCGGCCATTCGGAGGCCAAAAAAATGCTGCTAATACGACTCGAATTTATCAAGGCTTGTCCAAATGACAGGCACCTTCAACTTGGTTCCCTTCGACAGACTGCGACACTTGGCCATCTGCTCCAAAACGCAGAAGTTCTCCACCGTTGGCATCCGACGCTTCATACTCCGGCCAACCACTCCGTGGCAACGAATTAGGATCTACCACGAAGTCCAGCAACCGAAAATATATTGACTCGATAGTTTATCGTCACTACGATATGGCTTTGAGAACGATGAACCCAATTCGCTGGAAGTTGAGTCGGAATGTTGACACCGCCAGTCACGTCTCCGCCACCAGTCATGAAAAGCATCACCGGAAGTTTGGAATCCGCTGTAGCGTTGGCAGGGGTCCAGATCGCAAGTGAAAGGCAGTCTTCGGCTGAGTTCTGTGCCACTTGTCCTGCCAGTAGAGATTTGCCGTAGTTGACGATGAGATTTCCAGTTATGTTCAACGCCCAAACGGTAGAAATCGCGGATACGTATTGTGAGCATGCTGGGCCGAAGACTGTCGAATCATGGTATTCGGAAGAGTTGGCAAGAGGTTGGGGAGATGTCCATCGTTTTGTCCCAACGGGTGGCTACCGTATCGCTTCGTTAGTCCATTCTTAGTGGTCGGGATAGAATATATTTGGCTGAGCTGGGCGTAGGGGATCCATTTGAATTGTCTCACGTCTGGATAAGTATCATTGAGGTCGCCATGAAATATGCCAGTCCTGGTTTGAACGGTAAGGTTGGATTCTGCATGTCGGCCATGAATGGCGGTCACGAAGGAAAGGCCCGCTAAAAGTTTCAAGGCCATCGAGTTGGTAGGCTTTCGAAGCTTCGAACATGCATCTGACAGGATACTTTCTGGCCAGACGAGTTGACGCTTTTATGTTACCATCGCAGATCTATGACCCCGCTCCTTGCCAATGATGATGAAAGCGGCAGAGTGAGAGGCGAAGTTTGGTCGGCCGAAGGCTCGGCCTGGTGTCACTGTCAGTATGGCAGCAAAAATTTCCCTGACAATGCCATTGCGAGCCGGTCGCAGGAAATCACAATTGCGACGACTTGCTGGAACTAGCACTTATTAGGAAACCGTCCGAGGATTTCTTTCTGGTAGCAACTTCAAGTTATTTCGATTTCGCACACATTTAGGACTTTATCGCATCCATCTTGACAGCAGTAGGATCCTTGGATGTTGTGTCACCAAATTTTGCTTCCCAACCGTTGCGTGCGAGATACTGCTTCCACGCTTCATCCTCATCTTCCAATCGTGTGCTCACATCTGGGATAACGAACCAAGCAATCAGCGCATCGAGCACCGCAAAACTTGATCCGATTAGGAACGTGGCTTGGTGCAAAAGTTGTAGTACAAAATCTCCAGCAACCATTGGCGACGCTCATAGCAAAATGGCGAAACTTGCAGGGTTGAGTCCTTTCTTACAATATTAAGGAACGAGTCCATATATGATTGTTTCGGCTGCAAGAAACGAGGTCAAGGAGCAGGGATTCACATGGATTAAAGCATTAAAGTTCAGACCTTACATACGCCAAGCATACTCCATGCATCGAGAAGTATACATAAATTGAGCCAAACGTCCATGGGACTCATCGACCTACTGACGGCTCTTCCAAAGAGCCATTCTTCCATCATGCAAACGGCTTTGATTCTGACGCCAGGCATCAGCGCTGCTCGCCTGGCTCTGCCATAGATTGGTCTGGCGTCTTTGGCCCTCGCGGTTCTCGAAAAGATTGGCATCAGCAGCTCTCGAGTAGCAGATGAAACAATACTTACGTCGCCAAAATACCCTGGCTTCATGGGATTGTAGTTATTCGGCACGTAGTTTGAGGGTTTGTAATCGGATCCTTTGGGATCGGTCCACTTACGATAGTCGCTCATGGTATCGGTTATTCCTGCAGGTGACGTTGCGCTGTTGATTCTTGACAGTTGAGATTCTGTGTGTCGTTGCGATTCGCGTAGTGGTTTGTGTGCGGACCGTACGCATCGAGAGCAATGTTCTGAACGCTCTTAAGAACCTCAACTTCGCTGTATTCACCAAGCGCAAGAGTGTACTGACGGCGCGAATCGCCTATCGATGACTGCCAGGGTGAGGCGAATGATGCAAAGTGCCACCGCGCGGCATTCTACACGAACGGCTCCCGCAAACCTCGCCTCAAGGTAATGGCCGCTTGCAGAAGCTTTGACCCAATCGAGAAGCTCGTCACTATGCCGTCGAAAGCATGTTCCACAGGTCGTCAATTCAGAGAAGTGGCACGAACCTTGCCACGTTGCTGTCCCATGCACTCTGCAAATGCAGACCCGCAATCATGGTGAGGTAAGGAAATGGCGAGAACGGCGTATGCCTCAGGGTTGACTGATCCTGAACTCAGAGCGCGGTCCAAGTGAGATAGCAATAGCTAACCAGACCAGCTAGCATGACCGAGGCGCCGGCCATCAACGAATCCAGGTTATCGCCGCGAGAGACTCCCTTCCACCAGTGTACTCCCAAATCTCGTCGTTGGTCGACGGCATGATGAGTCAGGTCCAGAAGCGCCATAGCTATGGCGTATAATACCAGCATCGCGGCCACGAATCTGATCTTGAACGCAAGCGCGAGGCCGTACTTGGAGAGAGCCAAGGCCAGATAATGCGTCGCCGCCCAGACTATCAGCAGTCCCGTGGTCAGCCAGCAGCACAGAAGTACATTACATGCTGTAGACGTATGCCCAGTCGAAGTGCATATTTTGTGAAAGCAATACGGGCAGCTTTCGTTCTTCCTTCCTAGAAGCCAGCTCGCCAAACAAACTCGGCAGAAGACATGGTTGCAAGCAATCTGGACCGGATCTTCTGGATCATCCCTGCAAATGATGCACTCGACGTTCGGTTCAGGATGCGTTGGAGCCTTGAGGGATGTGAGTAAGGCATCAGCGTCAGGCAGTTGTGTGGCCGTTTCCTCGCGATCGGTCGCGATGTATGCCGTGAACGCCGTAGAGAGGGCGAAAACGGCAGAAATAACGAGCAGGCGAGGCCATGGTGAAGGCAGAGCGGTCAGAAAAGCAGGTGTAGCGTGCGATGCCATGAGCACAGAGTTGCTTCACCAAGACGGGTGCTGGAGTCAGTTGTAAAGCGCAGAGCAGGAGACGCGCGCAGGCGTGGGTAAGGGGAGGTGAGAGACCATCTGGTCTTCTTGACTAGCGTACTTACTGTGCATACAGCACTACGGCAGCCAGATAGCCAGATGGAGATGTATGCTCCAAAAGTAAAGTCATGCTTGTGGGGTGTCGGACAGTGAGGAGGAGGTGACGATTGTGCCAAGAAGTCGCGTCAACTTCGCGACGCCTTTGAGTTTGCTCCCCAGCCGAGGGCCCAATCTTGATGCAATTCTCGTTGGCTCTTCTCGTTGCACACATGAATCGCAGTGTGAAGTCTACATCTGCCCACCGATTATCGATACAGCAGCTGTCACGAGATTGTCCCCGTACACCCGAAAAAGATACATATCTAAGACCGACACGGCACACGCGACGCGCGCAACCCATTCCCCCTCCTAGATCTGTGTCAACCACATCTGAAAGCGTCCAGACCAAGCAGAACGACGTGCTGAGACGACGACCAGCACTAGGCATGCTTGTCAGACGGGAATATGTTGTGGCAAAGCAAGTATCGCAGGATGGGTGCAGAAGGCGGTAAGAGCAATGTTGGCGGCTTGATGTCGAGGTAACACCGTGAAAAGATTACGAAGCGGTAGGCGTGATGCACCTGCATCTTCTGACGAGGTTCACGTGTAGAACACAGGTCAAGGGCTGCGTACAGAGCGTGAGCCAGGAAGGCACTGCTGCGGCATTACGTCTCCATCATCCAGCTCTACTCTTTGGACACCAGTGACCACGCCGACGGGAATAGGGCTTCCAATCTTCTGCGCCGTGGCCTCGCTTCCATCCCTTGACTTCCATGCTGATGTGGTCTTCCTTCCTTCTCGGGTGTTGACTGGCTCCGATGCCATGGCTATACGCTGAGAGTGACAGGCGCCCCTTTGGAAATGCATTATGCAGCTAAGACTTGCAGCTTCTGTACTGCCAGCTCATCATCAAGCGGGGCTGTCCATGCACAGGCGTGTCCACTCCCAAGCATGACTGCATTTACGAGCCTGTCGGTGGTCTTCCACATCACTCGCATGGCCATCGGAACAAAGTTCGCTTCTCTGAGCACGTTGATTGTGTGCATTAGACAGTCCGGCACGCTGGGAATTGGTTGAAGAGAAGAGTATTGCAGCGACCGTGACAAACTATGCTTATGAAGAAGCAGCTGTGCTCCTGGCACTAATATGGAGCTTATCTCGACCGCATCCGTAGCTATGACTCCGTGGACACGCACACTATTCACGACAGCAACAATTGTACGCCGCCTGAGACAATCGCCTTTAACTAGGACGCTATGAATCGAAGATGGTGTGGACGGGGCAACCTGCAGGTTGAAGAGCTCGGCTTATCTGTCTCGGATCTCGAAGCCTTTCCGGTGTGAGCAGAGCTGTGAGGTTCTGCAACCCAAGCTGGCCGATCTGATTGGGCGAACGGGCATGGCTGTTCTCATGCTCACCATCCCCTTAACCGCCTCCGTAGTTAACTCCGATGAACTGAAGTGGAGTAAAATCTGCTGTTTTGCCGACGAACGCCGAACAGCGACGAGTTAATGAACAATGTGCCATTTGCAATGCTATCATGCTTCATCGAAAGCGTCACAGTTGCAAGCATTGCCAGAAGATATCCAACGCCAGCCTCGAACAGCATTCCCGAGACATGTGCTTGGCTGCCTCCAGCTATGCATGCTCTGCAGACTGCATCCTTCGCGTGCTTCGCACCATTGTCCAAGAGCTATCCGCAAGGCAACGACAACAACCAACAGCTATCTGCAAGGCAACGACACCCAAAAGTGGTATAGTACAGCCAAGCCAATCCGGGCGGCCTCTCGATTGGCTTGCATTGTTCCCTACGTGACTGTTGCGCGGATGGCTTTCGCGCCGACGGAGCTCCGCCCTTTCCTGGTACCATTCGATTCTACATGCACTAGGGCGACGTTGCCTTGTGAAGGCAAACCTGCTAATGTGTATCTAGAGCGTCTTGTGGCACCGAGGAAGACTTCTTTAGAGTCGTTCGTGACTCCTCTTTTCACTCCTCTACCTCTTCTGTTCGTCGATCTTTCCCGCTGACAGGATTTGTGAGACTAGGCTAGCCAGCCATCATTGAAATCTTTGCCTGTGCTAATATCCAACCGAGATTATCTTGTGACAATACTTGTCTGCCATGGTAGGACAAGGCATGCCAGAGGCGGCCGGCTGGTCGAACCATGACCAATTTGATGTCGGCGACTGGTCAGATCATCATCCGCGGACTGAAATCCGAGAACCTACTCAACAAGCCAAGAATAAGAATGGCAAGAACAAGAACGACAAGAATTCTTCAGTCGAGACCAGGTATGAAGGCTTCTATCTGGAAAGGGCAGAGCCACTAGCTGGTGAGCGACCAAGCTGGGCACGAGTCGGTCGGCGCACAATGCCTTTTGATGATGCTAAGCTTGCCGAGATCTCACGCAAGCACAGAGTGTACAGGAACATTGGCCCAGCGAAAGCATTCTCTGCTTTGAGTTCCTCGCAGCAAGGTGTCGTTGGAAGACTCATAGCCGACCGCCAGGCAAATGAGAAGAACAAGGATGCGGAATGGGTGCTGGAATATGTCAAGCCAACCATCGAAAAGGATTACTGGAAGCGCGTGACGAGGTGTACCAAGATTGCAGTCATCATCAGACGTCAGCAGAGGAATGGTTCTTCGAAAGACGCTCAGGGTTATGCAAAAGGTACCACGACATATGCAGCCGGCGAAATCATCGACCTCGCCGATCCTCTTCCCCAAAAGAGAGAAGAGAAAGGCGACAAGAAGGCAAAGAAGCACAGTAAACAGCAAGATATCCATGACATCGACGATATTGGTCCTATGTCAGACCCGTTTGCTTCGCTGGGGCGCGATCACATCATTGATGTTCCTCCTAATATGCCCGGTCAAGGAGGACACCATGGAAATCAGCAACACCCACCTATGCAAGCGTTTGGACCACCTCCAGGCGCCATACCGGTGGATGCTCCATTTCCGCCTCCAATATTTCCTCACGAACAGCACCCACGTCCTCACTCGGGTCATGGAGCTAATCCATTTCAACCGCATCGAGAATTCGATACACCTGATCTTTATGAGGAGCACCGCGGCGGCTTTGGACCTGACTTTGGTCGCAACCCTCGCCTGCAGGCTCGCACGCCAGTACACATAGAGGATGAGGGCCGCCGCTCACGCTCAAGGGCTCGTTCGGCCTCGCGACGTCGCGATGAAGACTTCCGACGCCAGCAACAATTGGAGCGAGAGATCGAGGACCAGCGCGAGGAAGACAGACAGCAACGTGAAGAGGATCGCCGCCAGCAACGCGCTAATCAACGCCGTATTGAGACCAAGATGGACGAGCTCGGGGCCAGATTTGAAGATCTCGAAGTCCAGAATACTCACAACAAAGTCAATGCTTGGCACAACCGTGACTCTTCCAGTGAAGAATCATATCGCGAAAGACGCGACCGAAGAGACTTCTGGGGAGACGACGACACAAGAGCTTCGTTCACTCCACCTTCGAGCCCCGGACGCAGCGAGATCTATCCCAGCGGTAGTCTTGGCGGGAGACGACCGATCAAGGAGTACCGCGACATCAGAGGCTATCCGCAGGAGCGTCGCCGCTCTGCTGGGTATCGGGATACACAAACATTTATCGAGCCCCACCGGAATCGCAGGAACAACATTGACTTGCCACCAAGAGCTCCTTCTCCAGGCCGATACATGCGACGACCTCCTTTGATTCATGCTGCGACTTTTGATGACTACCCTCGCGAGCCTGTTGCGCAGCGTTTATTACCAGAGTTTGAGAACCAGGAGTTTCCTCGAGCGCAATTCGGAGGTGGGAGGGATAGAGATAGGCGCAGAGGTGATCGCGTGTATGACAGAGTGACTAGAAGAAATACTGTCGACTACAGTCGACCACGCCGGAATGATGATGGATTTGCGGAACGTGGTGGGATGCGTCGTGATCAAATCTTTCGATAGCTGTTCGGCGACGAATTGGAATATTCAGCTTCTTCGTGAAATCATTTCACCATGTCGTCCCATCCTCCATGCACTTTCCAATCTGTCCTTTTAATCCATCAATTCCACAGTCATGTCCACGAAGACACAACCTCTACTCCGCCTGGAATGATCCCTAATTACCAATAATCTCGCCGCTCCATGGCCAAGCAGTGACCTCGTCGTCGCCCAAAACCTTGTTGGAAAGGACAGTCTCGTTAGCGTGTCGAGTGCCAGGGTCAACAGTCAAGAACATGTGACCAGCCTTAACGTCCTTCTGTACCCAGACGCTATTTCCAGAGATATCGATCAACGAAGTATTGTAAGCAACACATTTCTCAAACCATGCGCCTCCGAATGTTGCCCACTCGTCATGATTAATCGGCTTCATAGCACCTAGGTAGCAAGACAATGATTAGCAAGCATTTCATTGCCGTAAGGAGAATCCTTCGGCGGTCCAGTGCGAAAACCGGAATGAATGTGTGTTGGTTTGACTTACAGGACTTGATTTGAGGATCGATGAAGTTGCCGATGAAAAACACCTTCTGCATATCGCCGAACTTGAACGTCCACGATGCATCTGCATCCGAAGAATCTGTGACACAGGTTCCCGCGAGGTACTGCACGGATAATACGAGTGCATAGTCGTTTTTCGAATTGCCCTTGTCAGAGTCCAGGATGATCGGGACGTCTTTGAACACCACAGCCTTGAAGCCTTCCTCCTTTCCCGAACCCCAGTGGAAGAATTCGATGGGTGGGATTCGGCCCTTTTGCGCAGGTGCCGACTGATGCGCGCTTGTACCTGAGGCGTTCAGACTTTGGAAAAATTTTGCTGCTTTGTCCGCAATGGGGTTGTCTTCGATCAGAGGCTGTGGGACGTCCGGGCTGCGCGGGTTGTTGCACTCGACCAGTTTGTCGTGACCCTGTCCGAATCCGACGGGTAGATAATCCGTGGGGAGAGGCTTCGGCCAAGGTTTTCCTGGTGTAGGCTTGACGTTGGATAGCTTTGCTTGAAACTGTATGCACTCATCATTAAACGTGTTTCCACCCATCGGCGGTTTTTTCTGTGAACCCTCGGTCTGCTCATAGCAGGCCTTAGAGATCTTCTCGCCCATGAATTTTTTGACAAACTGATCCTCATTGAAGTACTGGAAGTCGACTGTTCCCTGGTACTCGCTCTTACATGCTTCCTTGAGGTACTGCACAGATAGGGCTAGAGCGTAGCCTTTGTCGCTCAGAATTTCCTCAAAGACATAGTATCGGACGCCTTTTAGTCCGTCTTGCTCGAACTTGTTGTAGACAAAGTCTCGATCAGGTTCGACATAAGAGGTCACAGCCACTTTCTCATCATGCAAGGTGGAGTAGAAAGATTTTGCTGCTTCTGTGATCTGTGCAGGATGCACTTTCCCCAGAGAAATAGGATCGGTCGTGTGGCATATTGCCTCGGTCTTGATGACAGATGCAGTAGATGGTACGAAGGTGACTCCAGCGTCGTTGCCGGCAGCGGTTCCTGAAGAAGTCGAAGTGATTCCCATGGGATGCTGCTGGAAATACTGTCCCAAAAAGCTCACTATCAGACTTTCATCTTCTGAAGCTATTGCTGGTTGAGAAGAGACCACACAGATGGGAGTCAGAGTTTTGGCCTCGACAACGCTAGAGCTGCCCGATGCAGTTGGAGAGGACGGGTCGCGGTCCCCAAATTCGTCCAGAACAGCCTGCGCATCTGCCGCAGCAATGTCCGCCGGAATTTCTAGCATTGTACCTATGGGCTGATTGCATTGAATCGCCAGAGTGATCCCATCCTTGATAATGTGTACTCCAAATGTTTGAGCGTAGGTGACATTTTCTCCGATCTGTGAGAGCGTCGGATCTCCCTGCACCACATCAAACCCAAGAGGCATGAAGCCATTGCCAGTGACCAGCTGTATCAGCTCCTCATCCGCCGCCGGCTCCCAGCATCCTAGGCTAGGTCCATCTTCGGTGCTCCATCCTGGGCAAAACTTTCGCACAATCGCCCTGATGCCGTCTCGCAGAGCGACCCCAATAGGAACTGATACTGTGCCATTTGGTCGTGCGGTTGCTGTGGCTGTAGCCGATGGGAAACCTTTGCTGGTGGAGGTGGATCTGAAAGTGGTTGTCGATCCAGCAGACGTGCTCGTAACCGTGCTTGACACGGTCGTCACGGTCAAATACTGGTTTTCCGGCACAGTGAAGGTCTCTATGCACTTTCTGTGGGTTTTCTGCGAACAAGGCTTAGGGTTGCAAAGCGAGTAAGTGAAGGACGTGACACCAGCGCTGCATTCCGAAGTGATGGTGGTGCCGCTGATAGTCGTGGTAAAAAAGTTATCAGCACGAGCAACATGGTGTATAGGTGCGGGAGTAATGAATGCAGACGGAACTGTCCCTTCCAAGATAGCGGTTTTGGGTACGCCACTCAAAGTGCTTTGCGGTGTGATGGCGGTAAGCGTGGAAGGTTCGCCGGCAGGAATACATTGAACGGCTCCGAGGCTAGCAGCGAGCAGCAAGAGGCCTGAGAGACTCCGCCGAGGGAGCTTCATGGCTACGGCCAGGCCGGGCCAACTTGAGAAAGGCGATACGATATGCTTCGATGGAATTATAACCAGCCCTCCGAGGTTTTCGTCTCGGTACGATAGATAATTCTTGATGTGCGGCTGGTATAGCCCAGTGTGCTTCGAGCTGATCCGAATCAGAGTTTGGCGTTTTGAATGCGAGGTAGTCCGAAATGTTGCGTATGTCTGAAGTATAGATGTTCGAGGTGGTTATTGGCTAAGAATGGTTGCGATGAGTGCAAGGTTAATATCAATCGCAGTGGAACCTGATGCACGTGTTCGCCTCTGCATGTGAAGCATAGGACACAAGGCAAGGCGTTCATAGCATATGCCATGTCAGCTCTATATCACATGCAAGTCTCAGTCACAGGAAGCCTCACTAAGAGATTGGGCGGCCGCTGATAGAAGCATCATCGTCTCAACATCAATAATCTCTGCTCGCTGACATAGCCACACCCCTCGCGCATTGGTGCTGAATTTTGTGTCTGAAGTCTTTCGCTGAGAACTCGGGTCAGGTCCCGGCATGAACACGTTGGCGGCCTGATCAATGCGACCAAAGCGTGAGACAACCTTGGTGAAGCATGTCTCTACGGACGATTCCAAGGTCACGTCGCAGGATTCATCGGCCACTTCGCCTTAGGCTTGATCTCGAGCAGTGGTTGCTTTGTGTCGTTCAATCCAGCTGGGTTGACATCGCCTAGGGCAATCGTTGTGCATCCTCGCTTGAAAAAGAGTTAACCCGATGTTCGGGCAATACCTGACATGGGTCATTCTTCAGCTCTATTCCGACTGCACATTCACGTGTGGAACAAGTGAACAAGATTGGAATGCTCGAGGACGGAACAGGTGGCGTAGATGGGTTTACAGCCATTACTTATACCTTCGAGGGGAGCATCGGAGAGGGCAATACGTTGTTTACGCGGAACCTGACGGGAGAGCTGCCGAGAGGTGATGGCATTCCCGATGATCTCCTGACTGTGTGTTGTCGCCCTCCACGCTCCTTCATTCGCGCTCTGGCGTTTGTGCACGTTTGCTCCAGGTACCGGAAGTCTTCGAAATTGGGCGCTGAGAACGTTTGTGTCCAGCACAGGCTCGGGCGGCATACTGCTCGTGCCAGCAGCCACAGACCGTGATGCTGCTCCCTTGGCGTCGTTCGTTTATGGCAGTTGTCTCGCCTGCTGCATATTTCTTCACCCGCCCATAACGAGAGCAAGTTCGTCTCTTGCACTCCCGCCTCCTGAAGCAGTCCACATGCGCCTCATTCGCAACATCTTTCAGTCCGCCGCTGACTCGTCAGAAACCATTCGTGTCCTTGTATCGTCGGATATTCTCCAATAAGTCGAAGTCGATATCGCGGATGGCGCCAACAATAGCCTGAAGCTCAGGTTGTATGAGTAAACGGGTATGCTCTCGGTCTCGCAGAGGTTCGCTCCATTGTGCATGGAACCATTCGAGAGCGTGGTGCTAGTTGATGAGAGTCGTTGGTGTATCTCGGTACATCTCAGACCTCCCTGACCGGGTCCTGGACGGAGCTCCATACATACCAGAGGCTCAATGCAGACTTTGTACTGCAATTTTTGCCCCTACAAATTGTTTTTAATATATCTTTTTATCTAGAGGACTTATAGCTAAGCAATATAAGACAAAGATACTCTAATCTAGGTCTATTTTTAGAAAAAGTTAAAATTTCTAGTCGTTACCTACTAAATTAATAAGCTATATAGCCTAAAACTCTAAGTTAGACGTTTTAGGATTTAAGCGTTTTTTTAAGCCTTAGTATACTATTTTTATTAATCTAAAGTCTAGGTCTTATAGCCTTACTTTATAAGACTCTATATTAAGGTTTCTATCTTAATATAGCTACTATTAGTAATATAATCTAGAAAAGAATACTATAAAAACTTAAATTGTTCTATAAGAAGGGTATATTAGCAGATAGATAGGGTAGTAGTAGGTATAGGTAGTATTCGATAAGAAGCTAGGAGGAGAGGGAGGAAGGCAGGCAAGTTAGCCTATTACTAAGCGCCAAGCCCTGCCTAAGGCACTAAGACCCTAGCTTTACTTAGCCTAGTTATATGCTAATTACGTATAGCCTCTTTAGCCCTAATACACGCTTCCCTTCTAAAGGCCGCGCCCTCGTAGCCTATCTATATTCTACGACCTCTATTGCCGCTAACTTAGCAAGTCTAATAAGCTGCTTAGCCCGCGCTAAATTAAACACTTAACTACCTAATTATATAACTATGTCAAACCTTACCTCTAAACAACACAATATACAACTCTAACTGCGCTATCTCTATATATAATAAACTATAAAGTAATATATATCTATAAGAATTAAAGGCCTTCGACTAATTATAATACGAGCGCGTCTTCCCTACTATAATAGGTAGACGTACGAGGTATTATAGCACTGCCTCCGTTCTAAGTAATATCGTATCGAGTTCTTTGCGTCTACTCTTAAAAGACCTAGCAATGTCCGCTTCCGAGGGTTGTTCTTATTATTACGAGGGCTATTATTTACTATCGTAGTTTTACTAGCCTAAATTAGTTAGGTTTAGTAGCCTTTAAGTGTCAACTAATTATATCTTTTCAAAAAACTTAGTTCTTCTAGTTTCTATAGGTAAAGGCTATTATAAGTGCAATAGTTAAGGTTCGCCTCGCTTAAAGGATCGGAAAGATCGAGGAGTAACCTATTATCCGCAAGATCGACCCCGGCTAGCTTAGCTCTATAGTTTTTGCCCTTAGTTAGTTAGTCTATTAGTCTACTTAATCTTTTAAGCGGCTTAAAGCTTTAACTTAGCCTTAAAGTTTTAATTAAAGTTTTGATTAAAGGTGCCTTAGGCTCGTAGTATAGGTAAGGTTGTCTTTATAAGTATAGTAGCAATAGTAGGTAATGTTTGACAATAGCGGCGCTAGTCGTCTTAGCGCTAACTTTACCTTCTTTTAATTTTCTTCTTTAACTAATAACAACTCGGTAATACCGTTACTAACATAGCCGCGCCGGCCGCGCTATTACAAGCGCGACGCCGTCCTCGCCGATCGCTTAGGCCTCGAGGCCTTAACAGAATAAAGGATTAAGAGGGGGACCTAAATACTAGAAGAAGGGCCTTATAGGGCGCATTAGTAAAGAGGTAGAGTCCTTAAAAGAGCAGGCAATTAGTTAACGCGTCGTAGCGCGCCTAATATAGTCTTATTGTCCTTTGTTGCTAACAATTGCTTGTCTCTAATTAGTTAGCTAATAGCACCCTAGGGGTAGTATTATTCCTAGGCGACATTATAGGCCCTTAGCCTTCTTCTTGTTCTTTACACTAGTCTAATACTTATCTAATAACTTAGCTATATCCTTAAAGGAATCTTTAGCTTCCTACGAGTCCTATTTAGGTAGATAGCCTTGCTGTCTTAGTAGGTACTCCTTCTTGCCTTGCCTAGTCTAATGCTTTAGTATGCGCTCTATAGACTATAGTTCTTTACTATTAGCTAAGACTTCTTCTAACTCGGTAGGCGCTTTATCGCCTTTACGCTAGTAGTATAGTTTAAGGAGGGATATATAGAAGGTGTTATAGATAGTATAATAAAATAGAAGCTATAACTAATAGGCCTATATACCCTTAGCCTCTCGAATGCGGAATAGGCTAATGTATCTTAGTGCGAGCTTAGGCCTTGTTTTGCTATTAGGTAATAGGTATTTACGGATACGGAGGTTCTTAGTACTTAGCATAACTATGTCGCCTTGTTTAAAGGTTATTAGTATATAGCGCTTATCGTAGTAGGTCTTTTAGTACTCTTAAGCCCTTGTTAGCTTCTTAGCTATCTTAGCATAGATTTCTCGCATCTTTTAGACACGTTCTATTGCCGCTAGTGTTTCTAGTACTTAACGCGCTTCCCTTTCCTTACGCTCGGCCTCGAGCGAGGTAAATAGATCTTATAGTAGGGCAGCGTTTTGGCCTATTATAGCTATATATAGTAAAACTTTAGTAGATAAGTATACGCTATTATTGTATACGAATTCTGCAGGCTATAGGAGGTTAACCTAATCCTCGGGGTTCTTATTAATATAGCTACGCAGGTACTACTACAGGGTAGTATTCTGCCTCTCTGTTTAACCGTTAGTCTATAGATAGAAGGCTATTAATAGCCGATGCTTTAGTCTTAGCTGCAAGCAAATCTCGCTCTAATAGTAAGATGTTAGTGTCGATCTACGATCGGACACGATCCCCTCGGGAGTTCCCTAATAGGTGTAGAAGATGTCGGTCTATAGCGCCTCTACTATATTAATAGTAGTCTAATCCTTGCGCGCCGGGATGTATCGAGCGCCTTTAGTAAATCGATCTACTACAATAAGGATAGCATTATATACATCCTTGCTACCCCTACGCCTAGTAGGTAGAAGGCCTATAATAAAGTCTATTATTAGCTTAGCAAATAGCTTCTTTAGAATAGGGAGCGAAGATAACTCGCCGAACGGCAAGTGCTTCGGTGCTTTAACTCGCTAGTATACTATATAGGTTTATATATACTCCTTTATATACCGTTTACTATTTAGCTAGTAGTATGTACGCAATAGTAACTCGTGCGACCTCTCTATACTATAGTAACTAGCGAGTTTACTATTATAGTGCCTTTTTAAAAGCTCTTATCTAATCGATTGTTTAGCGGGGATATAGTATCTGCCCTTAAACTTTAAGTAACCTTTGTCGTCGATCGACTAATTGTTGTTACTCTTACTAGATCGAGTCGTTCGCCTACTTACAAGCTTATTAATACGTTCGATAGCAAAGGCGTCCCTCTGCTAAGCCCGTAATAGCTTATCTATAAACGATTGACTATCCCTATTTGTAAGGTTATTTAACAGTACCCTTGCTATTAAACGAGGTACGTATTATATACATCTAATAGCACTAGCAGCCGGAACTACTATAACCTCTTCTGCAGTGCTATCGCTATATAGACTATTACTATAGATAGCAATGTCCTTAATCGAGTTATTATAGCTCGAGCGATCTACGTCCTTTCTTTTAATATATGCTAGAAGAACGACAACTCCGCTATAGTATTTGTTGCCGCCGCGGGGTCCGGAAGTCCGCTTATCCTACGCTTGCTTATTAACAATACAGGCTATAGCAATCTTATACTATAGGGTTAGAAACAAAGAATTAATATATTAGGTCTCGCTATCGTAATTAGGTCGCCTCGATAGGCTATTAGTAGGGTTGCTTACGCCTAGCTAATATAATATATTAAAATCAAACCCGGCGAGGTAGACGGCCTATCTAGCCTATCGACCTATAACCCTAGTAACCTTAGTAATACTACGGAGGTTGTTATAGTCTATATAGACCTAAATAGTATACTATACACTATCGAGATAGTGCCTCTAATGCTTAAAGGCCTCGATAATAGCTAGGAGCTCTTGCTCGTAGGTCTCGTAGCGACGCTCTATATCGATTATCTTTCGTAAAAAGAAGGCAATCGGGTGCTAATAGGTATTATTAGCCTGTTATAACATAATAGCTAATATAGCGAACTGTAAAGCGTTAGTCTCAATTCGGATCTGCTTGCTTAGTACGAAATAGTGCAATAAGGGGACTTTAGTAAAGCGTTGCTTTAGACCGTTAAAAGCGGCTTATGTCTTGTTAGTCTATCTAAACTCTCTAGATAGATTAGCCTTGGTTTTAATAAGCTTAGTTAGTAGCATTACATGCCTCGAATAACCCTTAATAAACCGACGGTAGAAGTTAGCAAAACCTAGGAACGATTAGAGCTCCTTAATAGACGTAGGAATAGGCTATTTAGTAATTGTTTTAATTTAGTTAGGGTTAGCCTTAATACCCTCGGTTAATACGAGGAAGCTAAGGAAGGACACCTCTTTAGCAGTAAAGGTGTATTTAGAAGGCTTGTAATATAGGCTATAGGCCCGTAGGCGGTCGAGGACTTTGCGTACTGTAGCCTAGTGCTCTATAATGTTAGGTAAATAGGTATAGACTAGGATGTTATCTAGGTAAACTATATAGAGATAGTCTAATAGGCCCGAAAGGGCCCGATTAATATAGGACTAGAATATTGTAGGGGCATTAGCTAAGCCGAATAGTATAACTAAGTACTCGAAATAGCTATAGCGAGTGCGGAAGGCCGTTTTCTATTCGTCGCCCTTACGAATGCAAATACGATAGTACGCATCCTTAATGTCTAGTATAGTATAGAAGTAGGCCCTAGAAAGGCGATCGAGGGTCTTATTAATAAGAGGGAGTAGACAGCGGTCTTTAATAGTAACAGTATTAAGTCTACGGTAATTAACGCATAACCGTAGGCTACTATCCTTCTTTAGAACAAACAGGATTGGTGCACTAGCAGGGCTGTTACTATACCGAATACGACTATTAGCTAGGTTTTCCTCTAGGTACTTACGCAATATAGCAAGCTCTCGCTTACTAAGGTTGTAGAGGGGGCTAAAAGGAACCTCCTTGCCCTCTATAATATCAATCTTATAATCCGTCTCTTTAAATATAGGCAATGTCGATGCTAGGTAGTATTTAAACACATTAATGTAGGTCTCTCGGATAGGCTCTAGTATACGAGCAAGCTAATTAGGGTCTATACTATCTAGGGGCATAGGTTTATCGTTATTACTACCGAGTAGGTCGGTAGTCGGGTTAGCTAAGGCAGGTGTTAGGTTGCTAATAAACAGGACCCTAATATCGTTAGAGCACTCGCTAACATTAATATATTTAATGTCCTCTTTCCTAGCGATTCTAAATCGCTATTGTTAACTGCCTAAGTCTATAACTATAGCATAGTACTTAAGAATAGGGTTGCTAATAACAATGTCGGATAGAAGGCTATCTATATCTACTACGTAGGTAGTGAAATCTAGCAAGCGCTCGTTGCCGAGGTTATCTCTTAGAACTATATAAATATAGTAGGCTCTATAGGTTAAGTGCCGAGCGTTATTAAACCAAGCAAGGACTAGCATATTAGTCCTAGGCAATTGTCGGAGGTCTAATTGCTTAGCTAAGCGATAGTTAATAAGGGCGCTAACTGAATTTCCGGGGTCTAGTATAACCTTTGCCTTATAGTTAGTATCGTACCTAGATATAAGACAGGTACGTATAATAGCTAGCACAATGTCGATAGTCTTACGCCGCACGAGGCTAACAGTTAGTACGGCGCTTACTCTTTTTTCGAAGGTTAGCCTATAGGGGTAGCGTTAGCCGCTAAGAGGTGCTTTCGGTATTTAGCGGAAGTACGGTTAATTCGGGCTTAGTCCTTAGGTTTGTCGCATTAGCCTAGTAGATAGCTAGTACTATTACAATTGAAGCACTTTAATCCGGTTAGTAGACTGCCGTAGCTGTTGTTGCTATTGTTAGCCGAGCGGTTAGCATTATAGGGATACGAGCCCCTTCTACGGCCTCTATCGCGGCCTCCTCTATATAGCCGGCGGCTACGGCCTCTTCTACGGTTATTGTTACTATTCCTATTATTAGCATTGTTGTTATAGTAGGAACCTTAGTTTCTTCCGCGGCTACTACGATTGCCGCGGTTAGTACTAGCTAGCCGGATCCTCGATTCTAGTCGTTATTAGAGCTAGATAGCTCGTTCGGCTGTTTCTACTTCGACTATAAATTAAATACGTATTAGGTTAGCTTGTTCGAATACACGGCGACGGTCTAATTCGAGGATAAGTTCCTATCTGAGTTTTAGGCGTATTTCCGAGATCTATATAGAATTAGTCTTAGCCGGAAGGTTATCCTCGAGGGTCTTTAAATAGGCCTCGAATAAACGAGCCGATTAATTAGTCTTTTGTTTAGCTCGAAGGTACAGGTCCTAAGTATGTTATTGCCTTAGTATAGGGTTTCTAAGGGTGTCTAGTATAATGGTTTTGTAGGTTTGCTACTAAATAGCGGTCTAATTATCGAGGGAATTAAAATAGTTATCCTAGGTACGTTTTAGGTCGCTATTAATGTACTGTATCGCATAGACGACTAGTAAATAGTCGTCTAGAAGGGCCCTCGGTGCATTTCGCTAGTTAAGCTTACAATCGCGTATATAATTATTATACTGTTTGCGACTAGAGCCGTTAAACACAGTGCAGTCCTTGAGTTTAGCATCCTTCTTTTAGACTAATAGCAAGGAAGGCCCTACTGTTAGTTTGGTAGTAGCAGGGTCTTCCTAAAGGTAGCGAAGCTCGAGGAGGTTATCCTTTAGCTATTGTTCTTAACGTAGGGTAGTAAGCCTGTTTTAAGTAGCTTCTTAAAGTCTCCCTAATAGTTGAGGGCTAAAGGCTAGTTAGCTATATCGTCGATTAACAATGTTGTTAAGAATGTCGTTAATAGGCAACTCTAGGTCGTTAGGTCGTCGCCTAGAATTACAAGTTCTTCGGTAGGCCTAGTAGTAGGCTCTTTAGCAGGTACTTTAGCAGGTACCTTAGTAGGCACTTTAGTAGGTACTATGCTACTAGCGTTGTCGTTGCTAGCGCTACTAGCGGTAGCACGGTTGTTATTGCTTCGTAATAAGCCGGCTATTATAATAGGGGGTAACACTAATAATATATTATAGGCCCCTAAGATGCGGATATAGCGGAATTAGTAGATATCGGCTTAGTGCGATTAACCTAGTATAACAGGCCATACAGAAGGCCTTACTTAATAATTGGTACGGTTGTTTCGATAGAATAGTACGTATAGGTCCCGTTCTTCGGGCGCAATATAGTTAGATTAGTCTTGTTTGTAGCTATACTGCTAAAAGCTTAAAATAAGGACTATCTAGCTGCTACCCTTAAAGGGTAGATCGAACACTATATAAGAAGGGTATATTAGTAGGTAGATAGGGTAGTAGTAGGTATAGGTAGTATTCGATAAGGAGCTAGGAGGAGAGGGAGGAAGGCAGGCAAGTTAGCCTATTGCTAAGCGCCAAGCCCTACCTAAGGCACTAAGACCCTAGCTTTACTTAGCCTAGTTACATACCAATCACGTATAGCCTCTTTGGCCCTAACATGTTCTTAGATTCTATCTTATATATCTTTTTATTTAGAAGAGTTATAGCTTAGTAATATAAGACAAAATTACTTTACTCTCTATATATCTTTAGAAAATGACTAGAATTATTATAGCTATCTACTAAGATTAGCCTAAAATTCTAGAATTAAGATTTTAAGACTTTAGTATATTTTAAGCCTTAGTATACTATTTTTAGTAATCTAAAATCAAAACCTAACAGTTTTACCTAGTAAAACTTCCTATTAGAGCTTTTACTTTTATTAGTTTATAAATAGTCTTATAACTTAAGAAAGAATATTTTTTAAAATTCTAAACTTTATATTCTTAAGCTTATAATTCTTAAAAATATTCGCTTTTGGATTTTAAGACTAATAGTAGGCGTATTTAGATAAGAATCTCAATATAGATTAAAACTAGGTAAAATCTTTAGTTCTAGCTTTTAGATTACTAAAAATAGTATTATAAGGCTTAATAAATACTAAAATCTAAAAATCTTTCTTTTAGATTTTTAGGCTAATCTTAGTAGATAACTATAACAGTTTTACTTAATTCCTAAAAAAAGATAAAAAAATAGAGTATCTTTGTTTTATATTATTAAAGTATAACTCTTCTATATAAAAAGATATACTAAAGAGAACCTAGTAAGAATTCAGGTTCTAACAATATTCTTTCCTAGATTATATTACTAATAGTAGCTATACTAGAATAAAAATCTAGAACTAGATTCTTTTTAAACAAAACTATAAGACCTAGATCTTGGATTACTAAAAACAGTATACTAAGGCTTAAAAAACACTAAAATTCTAAAACGTCTAACTTAGAGTCTTAAGCTATATAGCTTATTAATTTAGGAGGAAGCGACTAAAAATTTTAATATTTTCTAAAAATATACCTAAATTAGAGTATCTTTCCTATATATTGTTTAGCTATAAGTCCTCTAGATAAAAAGATACATTAAAAACAATTTGTAGGGGCAAAGATTGTACTGTATCGCTGCGGTAAGTGCTGCATTGAGCCTCTGGTACGTATAGGCCTCCGTAGTCCTGCGCTATTCCAGAAGCAGTTTCCCGGAAAGCCAACCGAGGTGTTTGGGTGTCTGAACCCCTTTAGCCCTTCCAAGTTCTTAACATGGAACACTATCAAGTGGCTGCAACATTCAGCACATCCAGGAAGAAGATGTCAAGAGCATGACTCCCAGACAAGAATTCATCGATCAGGACGTCGAGCACCCTAGTCTTTACAACGGCAGGACGGTGTACAATGCTCGGTGTCGTAGCTGGTTCAAGGGAAACAAAGTCGATGGGGGGGGGGGGGGGGCAGTCCTTCTTTTTTCCCCCTCACTCTCTCTTAAAAAAGGTTTCAAGGCAAACAGGACATCCACTCCAGCGCCCGTAAGGTGTCAAACCTACAATTCGATATCTATCATTTGAAGGCTGGTGACGGAGCATACGTGACGCAACTTGAATCAGCTCGCGGTGGGAAATTTTAGATTTTGCTTTTCAGTCTAGTTTAAGTAAACACAACTTGAATGACCGTGAACCCCAGCGCATATTTCTCATCCCCAATTCTCAATGCTCCTCAGTTAGCATTGGGGTACACATTCTCCGGGTGGCAGCCCGAAGATGGGCTGTACAGTGGACCGGTGTTGACCTCGTGGTTTTGATTGCCATAACGGACGACATCGTGACCACGGTCTGGCGTCAATCGATCTTCGCAATTGATCTGAGCTTGTCCTCCGCTCTGGGTTGAGGATCCAGTCCAGATATCGATGTGATAATGTCCGTTCTTCCCTATTGCTTGGATTAGTCACAATCTTCCTCACGGTGAACATGAGCACTTACAATCGCTGATGCATTGAGCGCAAGTGTCCTCAAATCTCAGGTACTTCTCTGTGTAGGGATCCCAGACGATCTCGCATTTGGCAAACTCGCCTGGCGCAGTCGCCATGGTACGGGGGTCATCGTAGGTGCCGCTGCCACCAGCGGTGTAGCCACGACCGCAGTCGTAGGCGATCTGAGCGCTTGGTGGGTCATTGTCGGGGTATCCATAAAAGGTGTGTTGGACATTCTGCACCGTGGTGTAGCGCTTCTCGAGTGTCTCAGGTAGACCTTGGACAAGAGCGGTAGTGGCCAAGAGGCCCAGGGTGGCAGTGATGGAGAGCATCGTATAGAATCGTTGGAGGTTGGAATTGAGTACTAAGGCTGTAACTGTGATTGTTGATTGAGAGTGTTTAAAAAAGCAAGTGCTAAAAGCAGGAGACTGTCCCTTTATATACACGAAGTTGCAAGCCTTCGATATTGACATGTTGACGGCATGCCAACACGCACTCTCCGTGAAGCGACATCGTCTTAGGCATACCGAGACTCATTCGACTTGATGGGTAGAGATCTGCATATCGACGTGATTGAGATTCAATGGTGTTGCAACGCTGCCTGTGACGAGTTGAGCATAGCATCGTTCGGAATGGATATAATTGCGACCGTTGCTGCAGGTCCACCTTGAACATGTCGATACATCCTCAAAGCAGTACACGCATTGAGAACATTTGGACGATCTATAATAGCCATCGCATGACTATCTCAGCAAGGTAACCCGACAAGACTGCGGCCACCACTGAATAGCATGGAGCGTGCGAAAGCTGTTACACTATAACAGCTTCCTGCCTAGCACGGAATAGCTTTGCGGATAGCACGGTTTGTGTTGTTCTTGCTAGCGACCGTCGGCTGTTCGATTATTATTGGCAGATCAGGACGGACTCCTGCCTGTAAGATTTCATACGGTAGCTTGGTTGCCTGCATAAGTGGTTAATGCGTTCGCCGGGGTGAGTCAAGTAGCGTTGCTCGCAGAAATTATGAGTTGACTGCACACCTATCAATAGCATTCCACAACGTTGCATCACCTATATCATGTTAGGCCAGTCATAGATCATTAACAAACGTCGATCTGGATGGTTTCTTGACTTTCGAGTCCAAGTTCAAGCGCAGGTAGTCACATGGACAAGAAGCTGTAGTATCGTAAGGCGTCCAGCGCAGGGTACAGACTGTGTTCGAAGCTACGTAGTCTTGCCCAGCGGATCAACAAAGTACGGCAGAAATGTGACGCATAAGCTCGGTTACATGACAACACGTGTCCTCTTGGTAGGAGAAGGATTTTCACACTGTATTTTAGACTATAGAATAAGCAGAAGAGAGGCAATCAACGAAGCCATATTGAACCGCTAACAAGGCAGTATTACGTAAGTAATCCACTGCGCTATGCGTAATAGTTATAAGCCCGGAAATCCGTAGTATTAGAGACTTCTATAGCATAAGATAACAATTAGCAGTCTTAGCAGCACTAAAACAAACACTATTCAATTAAGCTTCTATAAGCGCCTACAAGATCGACATGTCGTTAATAGCTCTCTCTTTAGCTAGTCGCCTCGGAGGAACTAAATATATTACTCTTCGAGGGCCTAACGACTAGGATCGCTAGTTTAAGCAAACTAAGACACATCTCTCTAGACATAAAACCTAGATATATACTAATCCTTATACGAGTGAACTAGTAGAGCTAGCTTAGCCTATAATCCCTATACTAGACGCGGAACGTATGCTAGTTAACCCTCTTTACTAGTAAGGAGTCAAAATAGCTATAGATATCTATAGGATCTAGTTAGCGGACTTCAATCGATTTAGGTTAGTACGTAACAAGTCTATCGAATACCTAGCTACTACTATAGACGTACGCTATTATTCAGAAATTACTAATAATAACAATATAATAGTACTAACACTGCGTATTGTTCTTACGCGTCTAAAGGACAAGCTTGCTCCAAATACACAATAGCAAAGAACAATAGTTAGCAAGGAACTGGCTCGCCTAATAGGATTACGACAAGTTAAGGACCTAGAACAGTAGTGTAAGGAATAGCTTAACCTGTATAAGAAGATAAGGCGCATACAATACTTAGAACTAGATAACCTAGTAGTCTATCTCTATACAGCAGTTACGAATATAGATGAAACCTACGGAAAGGGACTCTATATAATGCATTAGGCCTCGCCTAACACTAATCACTTCCTCTAACTAATTAATATAGTACGAGAATATGCCCGCAATATGCTAGGAGCCTCTACTAAGAAAGGGTCATTATTTAGCATTATCTACGAGGAAATAGGTAAAGCTAATGCTACTTCTCCCTAAGCTAATGCCGCTCTACAAGCAGCTAAAGACAATAACAATAAGAACAAGAACCGTAGCAGCAGCCGTACACCGAAGACGTACGCTAAGGTAACTAGCGTTAGTAAGAAGAAGGCATATAAGAACCGAGGCAAATGCAACGTAGTGAACTATCGCCTTCGTAACTAGGTTAAAGAGAAGGATAAGGACAACAAGTAGAAGGCTAAGCTAAAGTACTTTGAAAGCTACCTGCGTAAGAACAAGAGCTTCTGTCTAAGGCAGGCCAAGTTCTTTAAGGACCTACTAGCTATCAAAATTGCTTAAGAACACTATAGATTAGAGAGCAGCAATAGCGAGGATTCTATACCGGACAAGCTCTCCCTTGCCTGCTTCTTCTACGCTAATATACTATTATTTGCCGGAGCAGTCGGGCCTACTGCCTACCTTAGTATAGCAGCGTCAATAGAGTAGAATCCGTTTAATAGCCTAATATATAATAGTAGCTCAAACTGCAACATTATTAACTATCCTAGTCGCTTCAATTTTACACTACTTCTATTACTAGCCTCCTTAACTGTAGCAACTAGTACTAGTTATAACAAGGTAGTAGCTATCGGAATAGCATCCTTTACGGTTACAGCTGTTAGTAGCAAGCCCCTATAGATTAAACTAAGGGAATGCCTTTACATCCCTAACTTCTATACTAATATTGTAGGAGGTGCCTTCTTCTTCTAGCGTAGATTTAAGCACTAAGAAATCGATAACACCCTCTACAGCCTATAACACAAGCTACTAGTTAAGTTTATTAGACTAACCTAAGGAATGCCCTACTTCGACATTGTTAGTAAAGTAGATGAAACACTACTACTAACTAAGTAGCTAGTCGACTTAGATAATAAGCCGCTTAAGTACCTATTCTAACTATCTTAGTTAACAACAAACCTATTAGCCTACGCAACAGCTCGTCGCTCCGCACGCCTATTACTACTAAGAACGCTCACACTTAAGCAAATACATAAGGTATTTAGATATCTAGGTGCTAAGAGAGCAGAAGAGCTAGTTAATAGGGTTAATAGAATAAAGAGGGATTATACATATAATAATGAGGTACTAAGAACACTATTGTGCCCTACATATACACAAGCAAAGGGCAAGAAGCTCATTTCTAGGAGGCTAAGGCACTATAATGTATCGATACTAACTCTATATAGACACATTGCAGCCGACCTAATACAGCTGGACCTAGCCTATAACGGGGATTAGTACATCTTCTACGCCTACGACCTAAATACTAGACTTCACTTTATATAGACAATTAGTAATCGCTAGGAATTAACACTCCTTTAGTGCTAGAACTAGTTAGCTACCTTCGTACGCAGCATTAGTAGAGACATTATCTGTTTGTCGTCTAATAATAAAGGAGGCATATTAGGCTTTCGGTTTCGATCCTATTTACGCAATAACTACACCACTTAGAGGCCAACAGCGCTATACATATCAGAATAGGACCTAGCTAAACGAGTAGGCCGTACTATTATTAAGGTAGCTCGAGCCTTAATAATATACGCTAGGTTCCTATATAACCTATAGCTAGAAGCAGTCCTTGTAGCAACCTTCCTAGCTAACAGATTACTAAGATTACGCACCGCCGACCTACTAATGCGCACACTATATAAGATAGGTACTAGCTATAAACCAAATGTAGCCTATATCTACTAGTTTGGAGTAAGAGCATATCTAGTAATCTACGGCACAGAGACAACTAATAGCAAAAGGAAGGCTATACTACCGAATACTATAAAAGTAGCCTTACGCACCTATATTAGTTACCTATGTAGATATAAAGGACACTCTATCTATAGGATATAGGTGCCCTTACGAATAATAGTGCTACGAACAAGAGACGTTGTATTTGACGAGACTAAGTTCTATAACGGCTACAATAACGACCTAGGCGTTGTTATAAATAACTAAGAGCTTGCAGAAGAATACAGTGATCTCGAAGAAGCACAAGCACTAGCCTCGGAGCATTAATTTGATAAACTTCGAGAAGCATACGACACACCTCTAGACCTTGTTAGGTTTAGAGCTAAGGGGGTAGATACACTAATAGGTCCTAGTCGACTTATAATAGTTAACCCTATAGGGCTAGCAGATAAGCCTGTTAGATAAGATCTACCTTAACAACTACTAGCACTAGCTAAGACAGCACTAGCTGAGATTCAGCCTATATAAGTGCTATAGAAACAAGACTTTCTAATTAATCTACGCGAAGCACTATAGCCGCGTAATAACGTGCTAGATAGTTTAGTAGAACTAACTATCAACTAGCAACCTAAGAACGATACTAGCAATAAAGACCCTACTAACAATGTAGACGCACTAGGTTATACAGATAATATAGACTTCAACTTGCTACGTGCTAAACTAGCTAAATTGCTAATGCCAATTAAAGCCGCTAATGTATCTTATCGTTACTTACCAAATATAGGAGGTCCGCATTATCGAGTTAACAACCTAAACAAACGACAGCGAGTAGCGGCCATCTACCGAGCCGGCCGTTACTATATTAGCGACTGAGAACAAGCGAGAAACCTCCTTCTATTTAGCAACCTGTATATAGCAGTAGAGCACGAAGCTAGGTTAATATACGGCAATAGTAATAGCGAGCAAGCCGATATCAATCTACTACTACTTCTTCCTTATAATAAAGGCGATCCGACCCTCGTACCGAAAGTGTTAGAATTGCTAAAAGAACTACGAAACTAGCGCCAAGTTATAAAGAGCCATTTTAAAGAGCATTAGATACACGCTGTAAGAGTTGAGTTTAATAAGGCACTTAGAATAGGGACATTTAAATAGGTAGACATCGCTATACTAGACAAGCCTAACCTTCTGCCTCTTACCTAGGTATTCAAATACAAGAGTAATGCGAATAGACGACTAGTAAAGTTTAAAGCAAGAGTCTATGCAAGAGGGGACCTTTAGAAAGGAACATACCTAGACACCTATGCCTCAACACTTGCAGCAAGGGTATTTAGGGCCCTAATAGCAATCGCTGCTAAGTTTGACCTAGAGGCTAAGCAGATGGATGTAGTAAATGCTTTCCTTAACGCTACACTGCCCTACATACTATATCTGAAGCTACTAGAAGGTTTTAAACAGAAGGGCAAGGTGCTGCGTTTGCTTTAGGCACTATATAGTCTTTAGGAGTCACTAAGGCTATAGTATAATCACTTTACTACCACCCTCGAGAACAAGCTCGGAATGCAACCTATCGATAATGTAGACTGCCTTTACACTAATCCAAACAAGCACGTGTTTATCTTCTTTTATGTAGATAATATAGTGCTGTTATACCACCGTTAATATAGGTAGAAAGCAATAGACCTTAAGCAGAAGCTAATAAAGGAATATGAACTTAATAACCTAGGAAAGCTCTTATAGTTTCTCGGTATTAAAGTTATACGTAACAGGAAGAACAGAAAGCTATAGTTGTTATAGAAAGCATATGCTAAGAAGATAGGTTAACGCTATAGGATTGATCCTGATAATAGTAGGCGAGCAGAGGCACTACTGCTAACTAGATACGAGCTATATAAGAAAGCAACAGACAAAGAGACTCGCTATATAGACTTATTAGCAGTACTAGCATACTAAAGTCGTGTAGGTTTACTCAACTTCGTAGCGGTTCAAACCCGGCCGGATATAGCCAAAACGGTCTCTATGCTGTTAAAAGCCCTTTAGAATCTACGGCAAGAAGACATAGCCGCTGCCAATTAGTGTATCAAATACCTACTATAGACAAAGGACCTATGCCTAGAATACAACGCTAGTGGACTAGCAATTACCGCTTATTTAAGCTAATAGCTTCAACTTTATAAATTCTACGGAGCTTCTAACGCCTCCTATAGCGACTATAAGGATACGAGATAGTCGTTAGAAGGATGGTTATTTAGCCTATTTAATAGACTAGTCGATTAGAAGGCAGCACGACAATTAACCGTCACCAAATCTACGACTAAGGCTAAACTACTAGCCGCCTTATATGTAGGCTTAGAACTGATCTAGTAGAAGCGTTTCTTTAACAACATTAGCCTTACCTTAGATAGCACTCCTGTGCTATACTATAACAATATACAGACTATCCGCATTATTAAAGCTAATGCTAGCAAACTAGATACGAAGCTCCGTTATATAGACATTTACTAGTGCTAGCTAAGGCAAGAACATAAGGCTAGAAGGATTTAATGTAAATACCTTGCAATATAGGACATGCTAGCCGATAGACTAACAAAGCTCTATAGCCTATAGAACTAGAAGAGGTTTATTAAACAGCTAAGACTGACTAAACTAACACTAGCACTAGGGGATATATAAAGAGGCAACTCTTCCTTTAACAACCTCTTCCTCTTTAGCAATACAAAGACAACTCTATATAATAGGTAGTAGTAGCCCCCCCCCTATTCGCTACTAATTGTAACTAAGTCGATTGAGCATACCTTTATCGAGTAGCGCTAGCAAAAGTGTCTAATACGATAACGACGACTAATTAGAACAAAGGATACAACCTTACCTTCTAATATAGACTAAACGAATAGTATAGGAAACCTTACTTTGCGGGGTACGTTACTATCGCCTATATTATTACTTCGAACGTTACTTCTACTAACTAATAACAAGTCTGCGGCGATTGTATTAGTGCTAGTAATAATAGTAAAGTAGTCTTAGCTAAGGGTAGCGTCCTTAGTTAAGTTACCTATCCTAATTTATTAAACCTGTTTAACTAATGCATATCTTACTTAATCCTTTATCTAATTAAATAGACGCTACCTATACGATTAATATAATAACCGATAGTAATAATATAACGGGCTTAGTTCAGCTAAACTAACTTTACTATACGATACGAGTACTTAGATAAGGCTTAATAGTATCGGTCTGTACTTAGACTACGTAGGAAGACAATAGTTCCTAGTAACAGGGACTATATATAAAGGTGTATATGCAGTCCGGATTATGTAACGATATCCTTCTAGGGTAATCGGGGTATGAAATAAGACTCTCTTATATATAGTATAGATTTAAACTAATTTTTTGTTATTTTAATAAGGCACTATATAAGAAGTTGAAAAGATTAATTTTTCTTTTATTTGCATATAAAGAAGCATTGACTACCTTGCCTAAAATGGAAGGCAATCCCCTTTTTTTGCACAAGCTAAGGGGGTATATAACGTATAAGCTCGGTCACATAACAACACGTGTCCTCTTAGCAGGAGAAGGATTTTCACACTGTATTTTAGACCATAGAATAAGTAGAAGAGAGGCAATCAACGAAGCTATATTGAACCGCTGACAAGGCAGTATTACGTAAGTAATCCACTGCGCTGTGCGTGATAAGAAATCCCTCGGGAGTAACAAGCTCTGATGCTTGCTTTGCTTAGGCTCAGGGAAATGCCCGATGCGAGGTCGCTAGGCTTTTCTTGGCAAGCCGAGGGTGAGATTTAGGATCCCACAGCGCGGCTGTAGACCGTGCACGGCAGAGACTGTCAAGTTTCCGCTTCTCTCAAGGCTTAAATTCATGAGAATGCTCCGGAAGCAACGCTCCGCCGTTACTGTCCATGACATTGTTGCGTTTCAGATGCAGAGCTCGGTATGGACAATTATGATCAGGCGCAAAGTATTCCGTCCTTGGACCTGGTCCCGTCTACAGAGGTTCCGCGACTTCCTCGTTTGAGCTAGACTATCACCCAGCCTTGCTACTGATCTCTCTCAGTCTCTCGGCAGCACTTCTGTTCGAGCTCAGCTTGCCATTCGAGGCCAGTGTCAACCCAGAAAGCCCACTACTCGTGGAGTCAGCGCTACCACCGCGAGACATCACGGGCGCCCTCATTAGTCCTCGGATTCCACCTGCTTTTCGAGACGGCAGGTCACCCTCACCCGCGGTAGCAACGTATAACAGATACTTCAGGTTTGGCAGTGTTTGCCGTATGTCCAGAACTCGTAGGTTGAACGCGCTCTCCAGTAAGATTCTGATATCTTGATTGAGAAGAAAGACTGCATACTCATATCGGAACCTGGGCACTCCTTTGCTGAAAAGCGGGTATGTTCGCAACGTTCGCTCGGCGTTTTCGGACGATAAAGTCTTATTCGTGTTCAGAATGCTGACGCCATCAAATATAGAGCTTGTGCTGCCCGTCGGGGTCACTGGGTATGTGAGTGGGTGTTGAAGATAGAACGATAGCAGCTGCAGTATGTGCGCGATGTAGCCAAATGCTGCAGCGACGATCTCGGGTGGCTCAGCATCAAGGTTTTCCGCGTTGGGTAAAGAGAGGCCACTTATTGTGAAGCTCAGCATCTTGCCGGGGAGCTGTTGAATCGGATAACATTGCTGCAATTCCTCACACACGCGTCGGCGCTGGTTGGTGATGGCTTTCTTTTTGATTTCGTGCTCCTCTCGCATAACTGGAAAGTCATCGCGAATGTGCTTCACCTTGGCTGAGCTTTCTTTTCGAGAAGCTAAGTCCATTGCTATGAGCTTCCTGCGAGCGTTGAGTGAGGCGCGCCGTTCGTCCTGTTGCTTGCGAGCTTTTTCAAGCTGTTTCTCCACTGTCCTCCTTGCAAAGTCGATAGTCTTGACCCGATCCTCAGCTTCCTGAACTTGATCGCGCTCATCCAGAGCCGCGTGATTCAATTCTAGCAAACGTTGAAGCTCATGATAGAGATAGTTGCGGGTAGCAAGCGCGTCCTGTATACTGTCGTCGAGCTTAGATAGTCGCAGGAGCGCATCGAATGATGACGTGGGGAGAGTTCGATCCGGCATATTAGGACTCTTTCTCGCCGCGGGAGGGCGATGAGGCACAAAATCTTCAAGCGATCCAGACGGAACCGTGTAGACTCCATCGCTAAGCTGAAGCAGGACTGCACTTTCCGGTAGGCGACGGTCCAGAGTATCGAGCTGCAGCTGTCAGTCTTTGCACGTGCCCAGATACGACGATGGAAGCATACAGATTTACCAATGTACAACAGAGCGCTCATGTCCATCTGCAGATGCAAGAATTGTCTCCATGATTTACTTCCATCATTGACCCAGACACGCAAGGTCATTTGATCAAGACGAGTGATGTCGGGGCCACATGCACTCCAGTCGACACGTCGGAAGGTGGGATTCATGGTTTGTGGAACGATTTCGGACACATAGACAGGCTCTGCTCGTAGGTCGTCAGCCATGTCCATTCATGCACCGTGCAAGTATCCCGAACCTTCCACGTTCCGCACATGCAGGGTGAAGAAGACATCAGCCATGCGCTCCTTTGTGACGTCCTCAAGCCGCTCCTGTCTCCTTTGAGGAGTAGCATTATTCCACTCCACAGTGCTACGCCTGCGAGGCTTCAGATGCGAAGGCCGATTTGGGCTCCCAGTGAGAGCACTCTTCGATCTGCCGTGCTGTTTCTTCGAGCCAGAAGCAGAGCTGCGCTTCTCCTCTTCGGTCTTGACAGGGGCAACAGGCAATTTGTCCTCGTGCTGCACTCCCGCATGTTCAACGACAGCTCTCAGATCCGTCGAGCTCCGAGAATGACCCAGTGCTCTCTGTACGCGCAACGAAACGAGCTTGGCCGGCGACTTGAGAGATTGAGGTAGCGCCTCATCGTCGATAGTCTTGCCTCTCTTGCGTGCCGGCGACGACGAGGTCACGGACAGGTTTCGTAGGGCGATGAACTCGATGTTGCGCAGCTTGCGGTTCGTAGGCAGAAGCCATGTTCGGCATTGGAATTGCTGTGCGGCATGAGAAGCGTGCTCAGCCCGGCTGGAGCTCGGGTCGGAGGTCGAGGAATCGTGTTGCGCCATGCATGCTGAGCGCGAGGAGATGCAGATGGTTTCGTTCGCTACGTGAGAGTGAGAGTGAGAGTGAGAGCATGGTAAGCAGTGTGGTGGTTCTGGTCGCCGAGACATGTCCGACTCGGCCGAATGACATATGTAGAACGCTATCCACGATTCTTCATTGTACGCATTGATGTTGCAGCAGCGATTGGCAGGACTCCGCGCGTGTGTATGATTCTGACATTTTGAGTGATTGACGTTCACCATGCTACCTAGAATAGTACGCTGGACTCGCCAGTTTGCCTTGATGACCATCTCATATCCTCGAAACAACCACTCTTCTATCACAGTCCTCGCTGGCCAACGCGAAAACTGTCGTGGAGCGCGTATCTGCTCCAGCTCCTGATCTTCGTGCCGTAGAAGTAGAACAGGAGGTGGAAGGGGAGCAGAAAGGCACACATGAGGCCGAGAGAGACACTGACCCATGATACTCCAAGCACAGTTCGCATGGGCCCGGCCAGCAACGGAAAGATGGCGCCGCTGGAGTAGCGCACAAAGGCACATGCAGCAAGGGCGCTGTTCGAGTGCGAGACATACAAATCTTGCACGTAGACTGTTGCAGTACACCACACCATGAACATGCCGGCTCCAATCATGCTTTCTGCCGAGGCTAGGTGCGCCCACGACCAACGAGCATGTGCTGACGTCTGGCCGAACCACACCAGACCCAGTGAGAGGAGCGCCATGCCGACAATCTGAGCATGTCAGCGTCCAATCCACTATGCCGAGACAGACAGCTGCTTACTATAGGCGGCAATCTCTTCTCGGGCGCAACCAGACCACCTCGACGGAGCTCTGTGCCAAATCGCAGCTTGGTGTCCAATGTCGTGGCCAAGCAGCCCAGCAAGAAGCCCGGTATGGTGATCGCTAATGCCCACGAGGAGTCCACTGTCGACCACCCTCGCATCTGGAATGCCCACGGAATTTCTGAATACGTAAGACTCTGGATGCCATAGTCGAGCGTGAACGCGGTTGTGACCACCATAAGCACGGGCTCACGGATCAGCATTTGCCACGGTTTGGAAAGATACGCATGCAGTCGGACAGGTCTTTCGTCCCTTGCAGATCTCAATGTCCAGTCTCCCGTGTCTTTGCGCAGACGCTCCGACTTCTGGTGGAGCAGAATGACCTCGAGTGTCTCCGGTAGAGCTCCTAACGTCACTGTCAATGGAACAGCGACGGCAATCAGAAGCCACATGTTCCAGCGCCATCCACCTTGGGCGGCAACAGAAATCCCAACCCCTGGCCCCAGTGAGCCGCCAAGGAATGCGCCTGTGGCAAAGAGCTGGTAGCCGATTGCGCGGCCCACCGGTCCATACAGATCGACGAATATACCAGGCGGTATAACATAAGCAGCGCTACCACATACTCCCGCCAAGAAGCGGCAGAAAAGAATTCCCCCGAAGTCACGAGCAAATGTGATGTACGTCGTGAAAACGATGAACCCAACCATGCCAAAAAGCAAAGGCTTCTTGCGGCCATAGTACTCGGAAGCGGGACCGAAAAAGACTGGTCCTGGATCCCAGATCAGTATCACGGAGAATACGGCGGCTCAATGCCACTCACCGAAAGCTAGGCCAAGGATGTATGCCGTTAAGCACAGCTGCATTCTCTCCACCCCGGAATTGAACTCGTGGCCAATTTGAGGCAGGAAGCCAGTGAACACGCTGACCGCCAGAGACACGACAAGATTCATCATGCCAATAGTGAAAGCTATCGCGCATTTGATGTGGCTCTTGAAGTTCTGTGGGATATTTGGATCACTGTCGCCCTCCCAAGTGACAGCATTTGATCCTGTCTCCAACGAGAAAGAGCGGCGAGCTGCTGAAGAATCATCGTCCCGGACCGTTTGTTGCGATTGAGCGGCATTTGACACACCGTCGCTCGATTGGACGAACTTCTTGGACACGAATGAGATGCTGTCTGTCGCTAAAGTGGAGCCAGATGTGCCGGCCCGTAATGGCTGTGGACGATCCATCGCTTTTCAATTTCTTTCCTTTTCGCGAGGAGCTGGAACAAGCCGAAGCCGCGAGGTAGAAGCCTTTCTCATTTGTATTGAACCATGAACAGCGAGCCGATGCTGACCTGGGCCTTAGCACATCCCGTGAGCCCATCCACAAGCCAGTCAGTACTGTTCCTGTCCCGCTGACCGCGACGATCCCACTGGAGAACTACGTTCCGTTGACGCCCAGGAGCAAGCTAGCTAGACTGGCGTGACTGCGGGAAAGGCGTTGCAGATTCGGTAACACCATAAGATATGCCCACACTTTGCCGCCTCTGTATTGCCTCCATCATCTGACCTCCAATCAAACCATTTGTGAGTTGTTCATGTCGTCTCGACGATCCGAGCATACGTGCCGCCTATGGGCCGCAAGGACAACCGATCCGCCAACTGTGAAGCACTGGGTCTGCGGGTGTGTCTCAATGGCCAGTAACATGATGCCAGGCTAGCAAACAAGTCTGCTATATAAACCTGCTGAAGAAGGCAGGAAGGCACACGACCTAGCACATACATGCTTCTCCCCAAGGAAAACCCGGACAGCTATCGTGCTGCGAACACACGTACGAGCGATCATGGCCAGTCTTTACATCTCAAGCGCAAAAGTGGGAGATCTTGACACATCCCAGTAACGAATCTTCGATAGCAACCACGACTACGACCATTGCCATTCTCCCCTGGCATGCGAAGTTGAAAGTACATCCAGAGACGCCAAACTTCCAGATCCGACCCGCCCTCTAAAGCCATGAAAGTCTCAGACTTCTAAAACATACACTCGTGCCGCACTCCATGCCAACGCAGGAACGGAACATCCAAGTGCTCCGTACAACACGAAGCCAATTTGTCAATGTTGCTCAGCATAATGTTGAGCACCCACTGCACGACTGCAACGAGATTCCAAATTGTTGGGACGAAGCATGGCCAGAGGGCAAAGTATATACCCCAATCGTTATGTGACAGGGCCTGTCCATTCGTGCCAAGCTTCTACCAGATCGCACGGCTTGCACGTCCGCTCTCCCATTGCCAGAGACAAACAGATGACAACTGGTCATGTGTCTGCGACAATATCTCAGCACGTCAAAGAGAGCTGGGGGCAAAATTCTTTAACAAAAAAAAACGCAAAAAGAAAGGCCGATGATAGTCCTCCTAGGAATCGAACCTCGTTTTCCCGCGTCACTGATATGGCAAGGAATATCAGACGGATGTTCTAACCACTAAACTAGAAGACCTGGGTGTCTTGATTCGATTCAAGACGGTAATTTCGCTACCATTATGAAGGTTGGACGGTCTGGTGTTGAGTCACCTCTGACTCCAGGCCTCCGAATTTGCCAAGCATACAGCCTCAGGCTCATGCAAGAGGATTTTGGTACAGTCCTCTAGATACAGCCGCAATCCAGAGAGAACAAAAGAAGGTGCGCATCTCACTCAACCTCGTCTCTTCCCTTTGCATCTCCACGCTAGGCGAGACGTGCGGCCTTCCCAGAGCTTTCTCCGTCTTTCGCGACTTGTCTCAAAATATTGCTCAGCGTTGAAGCGAGTTCCTAGCCGTTCATGACGTTTTCCAGTGCACCCGGGCTTTCGGAGCAGTGTAGCAAAAGCATTGCGAGTCTCTTCGACTCGAAAACGAATGATCGTTTCTCATGTCCATCAATGCCAAGAAGAAATCTGATGCGTTATAGAATCAACTGCTAGCTTGACAACATATCAGTAGCGGACTAAGATTGGTGCCATGGACTGGTGGGCGAAATCCAGAATCTGCCTCCAATTCACAGTGGCTCGACGTGAATGATAGTCTGCACTCTTATCAAGCGGTATTCTTCCATGCCTCTCTCAACGCAACGATACCTGGTATTACGCCGCCAAGTCCAATAGCACTCTCCGTAATAGGACTGGTATCTTCGTCGAAGAAACTGAAATGCACACTCGATGGGAGCCAGCCCAGATTCGCATACACATCCTGCCACCATCTCGCCTCCAGCTCTTTGCTCTGAATTTTCATTTCTTTCTCACCCACGTCGACACAGCTCTCTGCACCAAAATCTTCATTGTACTGCAACTGTCTTACCCGAAGTAATCGCAATCCTTCGATCATAACTTCTGCTAGCCAGAAACGACTGCTGTAAACCCAGTACGTCGCTTCTCGACTTCGCCAGCGCTCGCCTCGAATCACACCACGTCGGGTCAAGTATGCAATGTTTTCGAAAAGCTGGAAACCAGCACTGGCTCCGATTCTAGCCCAAGTCAAGAGCTTCAGAGCAGGATCTCGTGTCTGTTTCTTTCGTGTGTCTTTCGCCCACTGATAGATATTCAAGAGATTCCACAGCCGAGTGAACATTCTGAAGTCCTCAATTGCATCTCCCAGACTTTTTACTGCAGCACATATCTCTGTGAGAGTCAAGTGTGGTGGCTCTATGGTCGCGACCAAGGTTTCGCCGGGTAGCATGGTTTTAGAGGCTTTGGAAGCGATGCTCTCGGCCAGTCGTTCGTACTTCTTCGCCAGCAGACGTGTAAGCTGCGCATGAGTAAAGGCTAGGGTGTAGTATAGAGTGCATAGTGCTGCCTCAATGCCTCCTGTCGTGGAGAGCAGTCTGTAGAGATGGGCGAGGAAGGCGTCTGTTCGGACTGAGGAGCGGGAGAGGGACGACAGAACGAGCTGTCTAAGCTGCTTAATTTCTGGCATTGTGACACATTTCTGTGAGATGCAGATAGACGAGAAGTGAGTCTTTGCCTCGAAAGTTGCGGACGCGGGCCGAGGAATCCGAGCACGAACTGACAGATCAACAGCTCTCGAGTCCCCCTTATACATAACCATATGGCAGGCATTGGAAAGTCTAAACAAAACGCAACAGCTGGCCTTGAATATGTCCTCATGTGCTCAGCCAACGTTCACCCACGACAGCGAGAGTATTATGACAATCACTTAAATATCATATTTGCAACGGGCAGATTACTTGAACACAACACAACACACTCGCAGCACCATGGGTACCAAGAGTCCATCCGTAAGGCGCATCATGCGAGAAGCCGCCGAATTCGCCAACCAGCCGTCTTCTGACTTCACAGCTGCACCGCTCGAATCTGACCTATTCGAATGGCACTTTACGCTCAGAGGTCCCCCCGCGCCATCACCTTTCGACGGCGGTATCTACCATGGCCGCATTGTTCTCCCGCCCGCGTACCCTCTCAAGCCGCCTAGCTTCCGCTTTCTGACGCCCACCGGTCGCTTCGAGGTCAATCGTGAGATCTGTCTTAGCATATCGGGTCACCATGAAGAGACATGGCAGCCCGCGTGGGGCATTCGCACTGCTCTAGTGGCGATACGGAGCTTCATGGACACGGACGCAAAAGGCCAGCTGGGCGGTATGGATGCAGCAGAGGAAGCCAGAAAGAGGTTCGCGAGACAGAGTAAGGCGTCAAAATGCCAGACGTGCGGCAAGACGAACGAGCAGATCATGGCGGAGCAGGAGGAACTCGTGAAGGAAGCCGGAGGGGAGAAGAAGCCGGAGGAGGTACCCGAAGAACTCCGGCTGGCCTACAGAGAGGACTTGAAGGACAACAGTGCCGCGAAGGCTGAGCAGAGCACCAGCGAGCGAACTGCCGTACCTGCCCCTGCAGGAGCAACCTCAGCCGTGGATGTTACTCAGATGAAGCAGAGAACTACAGGACAGGCCGCTGTGCCAGTGCCCGCAACGGTCATAAATGCAAATCCGCAGGCTTCGCACTCGGCAGCACCGCAGCCAGGTCCTGCAGCGCCCACGCAGCAACAGCGACCTCGATTGCCGCCGAACGAAGACCCCCTCATACCTTACATTGACAAGGCCATCTATGGCGTCCTTGCTGCGATTGTAATACTCATCTACAAGAAGCTTGTGGTATGACCGCTGGAGCAGCAAGGGCTGCTTCTGGAAATGAACATTCTTTCTGATTGATCAACGAGACGGAGATGATACCCCACGTTGCTATAACATACTGTATAGACGAACTAAGATAAAGTTCTAGACATTGGCCTGGTCAAGTTCCAGACTTCAAACGGGATATGAGTGCTCGAATGGGGCTGGAAAGGCATTTCAAGGCATAAAAAATATCATCCTTGGGCTCAGCCGAAGTATGTTGAGAAGCTTGACACGATGATAGAAGAGAGCGGTAATATGGCAACTGCGCCATTCGTGAGCTCGTTCCTGCGAAATCGTTGAGACTTGCCGCTCCATAGCGGAAGACGGTCTTTGTGAGCATGGAAAAAAGGTGGCCGCATCGAAGCGGCCTGAGCCCAGCCTCTTTTGGCAGAAGTTCTCATGGACCCGGGTCATGCGACAGGCATTCCGTGACGACCAGGCTGTTAAGCAAGCGTCGTGGGTCGGACGTGAGGTTCACATGCGCACGCTCGGGCCGTACGAGAGATACAAATTTGACTTGTAGCCGCAGTTGGCGCGCAGGCAAAAAGAAAGGTCTTATTGGACTTGGTCGGGATTGAACCGACGACCACCTGCATTCGAGTTCCATCTACGAGTCGCGCCATGGCTCATTGGCCTACAGCACATTGGCTATCGGTCACGCTCTCCGGCTACTCTTGCGAAGCAGATGCGCTACCACTGCGCCACAACTATAGAGCATCAGCATCAGCATTGTCTCAAACACTATGGAAGGATGTGTTGAACTCACGCCCTCGTGTCATTGGATGGTTAAATGCATATTTGTTTGCTATTTGACCAGTGGCGCTTGGAAGGAATTTTCCCCTGTGCTTCAAAGCCTCACGAATCTCGCAGGTCTTGAAAATTGATGTGGCAGTCACTACTGAAGGGATGAACTGAATCGCGATCGCCAGTTGCAGCCTTTTGACGAGCATCAGTCGAAGTTGGAAGGGATAACAAGTGGTCAGTGGCTCGACTCGTTCAACAGTCGATCTGACCACTCCTTGACAGCAAGATAATGCATGGCTGACGCCGATCTTGTGATTCAAACGAGGCTGTCGCTGTCGACATTGGCTCGATGCCGGCCATGCGTCCCAGGCCAGGGCGACTTGGATCTGGATCACGGGCGACTCGTTTGCCTGCGAGAGCACGTCGGCATTGATGAGGTTGGAATAGTATTTCGCCTCCTCCCGCAGCCGGCATTATCGTGGAGAAATACATGTGGTTCGCAAGGCTGTACGACATCGCCACTCTGCCAACCGGGTTGGATTGGAGATGAGCGGTCTGATCCTTGGCAAACGACAGCAAGGGGCCGTGCGATGCAGCCAGTCACAGCTTTTGCGCAGCAACTTTGCCGGCAGCCTCACGGTGCTCATTATTACAGTATATTCGTTGGGCTCTGCGGCGCTGAAGGCGCTGCGGCCTCAGTGGTGAATTCGCAAAGCTCGAAGCTTGCTGGGCGAAGCATCCCGGCAACATGTCCGCGCTGCCATTGGCTGACTCGCTTAGGCCTCTCGACGATTGAGCGCAGTAGGCAATTAATGTCAATCTCACGCAGTCACCGGCAAGCTCACCGCGTGCGGCGCTTAACATGAGTCTTGGCGATCTGCACCTGCCTATATAGCCCATCGCGCTTACCCTTACCGCCACCGCTCCACCGCTCCAGCAACACCACTACCACTGCCCCACTAGCTTGGGTCGCCGCCCTCCGCAGCCACACATTCTCGCACACTCCCACTGACGACACTCGCTGCTCCACAATCATGCCAGCAGCATACAACACCGAAGAGGTGCTCGCCACCCACATCCTCCAGCCAATCCCCAAAGACATCGTCCGAGATGTCTATTCCAAGTCGCCCTTCGTCGTGGTTCCTGGCACCTTCAACGCACGCGACCTCGCTGCTGATACGGGAGACGTCAGACCTGGCCTGATCTACCGCTCTGGCTCGCTCGAGAACTTGTCCGCTCCCGGCTTTGCCGTCTTGCGCCAGCTGGGCGTGCGAACCATCTTTGACCTTCGCTCGCTGAAGGAGACCACCGCTCATGCAGACCCAACGATCGAAGGCATCCGCGTCGTCTGGCAGCCAAGCACAGTCGACAATCCCACCGTGGCCACCAGCGAAAGCGTCAAGGCCAAGGTCGCCAACGGTCTTGATGTACGTTTCAGTGCCTCTAGCTGCACTTATCCCTCGTGTACTGATCAGCCCAGGTCCATACAATGTACAAGGACTTGCTTGAGAGCCACAAAATGGCATTCCGAGCAGTATTCTATCACATTCTCCACATGCCCGGTGTTCCCTTCATCATCCACTGCACGGCTGGTATGAGACCAAGACAAATCCCGGAAGACAATGAGAAAGCGCTGATCCTCAGACAGGCAAAGACCGCACCGGTGTCTTGTCAGCTCTGATCCTGTCTCTAGCTGGTGCAGATGTCGAAGACATTCAGCGTGACTACATGCTTACTCGCATCGGCGTGGAACCTGTTCGAGAATTCCTTCTTGGCAAGATCATGCAACGGCGGGAGAAAATGGACCTTGATTTTGCAAAGGCCATGGCCGCATTGGAGTTCCCTTCGAATGCTATGAAGAAGCTTCTAAGCACAGTCGACAAGAAGTTTGGCGGCGTTGAAAGCTACGTGCGGTATGAGCTCGGCTTCAGTAAGCATGAGGTCGAAGTTATGAAGAGGAATTTGAGCGGATAGTTCAGTGTCTGGTGGCGTTTGTTTGTGTTGCATTTTGGGTGCATGCTTGTGTTGCGAATGATACCAGGTCAAAGCGAATTTAAGCGATGGCGTTCGATGGGACATGATGGAAGACAATGGATCTGGATATCCGGCGCCTGGCTCAAACTGATGTTGTCTTATTAGAGACGCCTTGAAATACATGTTGAAACTTGCTTAATCGCATCTTCATCACTGGAACGCTTCCTGTCGTATGCGCAGTCACGTTGACATGTTCCTGCAGCGCAGCAACAACAACAACCACCGGACAACCTGGTTGGTCTCGTGGAAACATACTCTCGATCAGTCGGACTCATGTCTCAGACTCGCTTTCTGATGAATCGTGAAGCCGCGTTTGACGAGGCAATATTGGCTGCCGTGGTATTTCCCGCGACCAGGGTCTCAACGCAGGCGAAAAGCTTATATCACCAGCGTTCGCCGCCCATTTTACTAATTACCACCTAACGCGTACGAGCATGAAAACATATACATACATATAACCCACGATCCCCAGCTCCGGCCTGTCCCGTCGACAACTATACCCCCTCCACGCCGAAATATATATCATGCGAGACGACCTCTCGCGTTGAAGCGGACATTCCGACGCACCTACGTCGCCCTGGAATCTTTCTTGCCATCATGTCCCCAAGCTTGCTGCTTCCCTGAAACTCGCGTTCTCAACGCTATTGCTCCCAGGTTCTGTACGAGTGCAGACGGCTGGAACCGCAGGGTGCAGGCTCGATACATCACACACCACGGCATGGCTTGCATCATCAAACGAAATCCCAACCGGTTGGCACCACGTTGAGCATTCGAAACTTTCCCTAGAGCTGGGACTCTGCTCACTTAGTCATGTGATGCCAGTGAGACGGCAGTATTCTACCAGGTTCGCTCCTCTTGCCAGGATCAATATACACCGACTTTCAAGAACCGAATGCTAGCGTCCGCCGCCCGAATGGTAGACGGTAACTCAGTACAGGCATAATCAGCAGTCGGAGGGCTCGGAGCCTCTTTCACAGGGTGTAGATAATAATACCACCGGAACTTTCACCATCAGTCCCTCCCTACCTCTGGCAGACCCGAATCAGGCAACTCCCAATCTTGTGTCAACTACGCTGAGCATTATTCTCCAGCCCAATGCTGGACCGATCAAGATGCTCTTGTGCTTGAACACAATACATCGTCTTGGAGTTCTTGTCGAAATCGAAGAATGCTATTGTCTGGTGAAACAATGCAATTGTTGGACAAAGCACAGTCGACGCACCAGTCGAGACAAAGACTTGTGAATTTCGCTGAGTATTCACTAGCTATGGGAGTGAGTGCTCGTCGACTGCATAAATATGAGCGGGTCCACCAGGCTGGAATAATCACACAGCTTTCACACAGTATTGAAGACATCGACTTGTCAGGCACAGGTCAGCAAATCTTCACAACAACGTCAGAAAGCCCACTTCACACACCAAAGCATTAAGCGTTCCAACGAACGCTTCACACACTCACAGCCGCAGTCATGTCCGGATATCCTTATGGATATTCTGGCTACGGCCAATCAAGTAGCTCGTCACGCTACCCAGCCCGAACTGTCTCGCCTCTTGGTCAGTCACGCTTCGAAGGCTCGTCGCGCTACCATAGCAGTAGCCGAACCTTCGAGGTAAGACCTCAGCCTGACTTCTCTCGTCGGGAGAGCGAACTTGCTCAACTCAGCCGGACACAAACCATCACCGGCCCCACACCCCGTAGTTCCACACGTCGGCCCAGCGACAACTACGGATCTTCTGGAATCGACATCTCCAGCTATGGCGGTGGCTCGTACAACCCGTACGCTCCATCGTCGAGCTACAATGCTTACCGGTCTCCAGAGTCTTCAAGCTCATCGTTCCGGGATGTAAACTATCAGCAAGCTTCCTCGACCTACCGCGACTCGCCTAGCTCTTCAAGCTATGGTCGCGGTTACATGTCAGCTTCATCCCGGCCGAGCGATATCTACGTCCCTGACTCGCTACGAATTGGCCGCTCCGACGCTCGTTACGATGATCGATACTTCTCATCGTCTTCAGCGTCTGCCGGCTACGGAAGCTACTCGACACGCGACATCACTCCGTCGTCGTCGAGTGGCTTGCGCCGTAGCGATGCCCAACGGCGTCGACGTCGGTAAGCCCCTCAACTTCCCCCATCATCCTGAGCTCGTCTCGAGATGCCACGAACACGAACTAGACTGACATTTCATTGGAGGCTTTCTACTAGGTTTCGCTTTTCTTGTTCGGAATTCTGCTTTCGGGAGGCTGTATCAGTAAGTACCTACTACAAATCACATTTTCAGACCACAGATTTATCTACTTTTCCTTAACCAATTTTCTTCGTATATCGTGAAACTTCTAAATTTTTCATACGTTCTAATTATTAGGTACTTTCCTTAAGTATTCCTTCCTTTAGGCGTTCTCGAAGAGAATACATTAAGCGGCGGCCTAAAGGAAGGAATACTTAACGCCTTTATTAATATATAGCTGAATTTTATTCTTACGGACTCTATCGAGATGTCTTAATCCATCTATCTAAAGAAAATAGTACGAGTAAGTTCTAGTTAAGACTCCGATCGCGTCTTCGTCGCCGCTATTCTAGTAGTAGAACACTCTAAGTTGTCTCGAAGCTTTACGATAAAACGATAGTAGCAACTAATACGACGTCGGAGCAATTTAATTTCGAAATAAAATCTTAGAGAACGAGGCGAAAGTTTTAGAATAGAGAAGAGAGGATCGAAGGTTTTTGGTGAAAGCGAAGGAAGGTCATTGCTTTCCATTTTTGATATCTCTTATGGGAGTTACAGTACTTGCCAAGTGGTCCTAGCTGCGTCTGAAACGCGCTTCCGGCCGAAAACATCCCATGCCTATTGTAAATCATGCGCGGTGCTTAATGCATACTGTCAGTTCTCAATGAAAACCCATTACCGAATGCCTCGAGCTTGAAGCCAAAGCAGTCGTGCCTAATGCATACTGTCAGTTTCAATGAAACCCCATTACCGAACGCCTTAAATTTGAAGCCAATGCAGTCTCGAAGTCATCAGAGGAGAAAGCTGATCATCGCCTGCCTATGCATCAATTCGTGCACGACAGGATGGACAAGTTCGACGATGCAGCCAAGGCTCGAGACATTCCGTGCAGAACCAATGTCGACAGGAGAGCTGCGTGACTGTAGTGCCGACGTCAATATGTTCTTGACAGATCGAACAAGTCGCATGGCCATCTTCACCCTGGTCGGCAATTGTGATCTCTCGTCTGGATAGAGCATCGATGGAGATGATCGGACCAGGAGCCTGTTGGGCTGGATCAGCAAGCGCTTGAATCGCATCGCGTACGGAATCTTGGGCAATGCGTAGGTTTTGACGTCCAAAGCGATCAAGTCGAGCTCCTTGACGGATTCGTGCTTCGAGCGTGGTCGCTTGTTGGAGAAGATCGTCTGCTAGTCGCAGCGGCTCGTTGCCCGCGGGTTGACCGAACCTCCGATCAAAGTCGTCTTCTTCATCAGTTTCCATCTCAGCGGGATTGAATCGAAACCGTGGACCGGGAAGGGCAGCTTCCATTTCTCGCTCGAGCTCCAGGCCAGGAGCACGATCATCACGGAAGAATGGTATATCGTCTACGCCTCTGTTTCGCGGCATCGTCGGCGGGAATTGAATTGAATCCATGGCGTCGTCGGAGAATGTTGGGGATGGCGGAGGTCCGCGTAGTCCTGTACTGGGAGAAGTGCGAGCGTTGAAGCTGCTGGGAAATCCTGGCAGATCTGCCTCTTCGAGGTCGTCGATGAATCTGTCAAAATCATCGTCAGTATCAACGTTGGCCATGGTCATGTCATCGGGCTCGACGATGCGAGTGCCATGGCTTCTGGAGAGCGGTGAAGATTCTGGGCGGCGCTGGTAGGGATTGCTGGTGGGAGTGACGATGCGAGTCTCGTATGGGACGGTCCCGGTGGCTTGCAAGAGCTGTTGGAGATGGCCGCGGTTTCGAGGTGCATTTGGTGGGAAAGGCAAAGGTGGTGGTCTTGGTCGACGATCTCGTGCCTCTTCAAGGGGAAAGTCGTCTGCGAGGGATCGATGCCCTCGGCCGCCCGAAGAGGAACGACGAGACATGGCGACTGTTGTAGTCCGTAGGTTAGAGCTCTGTGATGTCTCCGAGTGTGGGTTTGGTGATTGCTGAAGGTTGCAGTCAGGGCGATGTCAAGTAAAGTCCGGCAATACTTAGATCGCTGTGTGCTGCAAGTAAGGGTGTCTGGTGTGACATCGTAAGAGTAGGAGGATGAGCTCTACTTTTTAAGCTAGATACCAGGCTGTCGACTTCACTAACCTCCCATTCACATACCCCGTTCACTTTTCGGGACAATGCCATTGTGGAAAGCAGACATTGTGCGTCGAACGCGATGACAAGAAATCGAGCCGCAGAACAAAGAGCATAATGCATTGAGTATTCCAGAACACACAACGCCGCAACTGCCTTTCGATTGGATTGGGCCTGCTGATACGCATTAGCTGACAAGATCAATCAGATCAATCGAGCATTACCATTAGGCAAGGCTTCACGCAGCGATACAATCCTGATCTCAAGAATTACGATGAGCGTTTGAACCAAATAGAAGGAGACGCGTTCCGAAGGTCGGTATACTCTAGAAAAGTGCCTCCTGCAGGACGAAGTCAGATCGGAGAGTCTTCATGAACCGCCTGCACACAATCCCATTCTGATTATCGAAACCTACAATACACTATTGTCCATGGACGAAGAGAGATTGAACGCCGGGACAGAGGGAACGCTGACAGAGCAGGACAAAGGCCCTCGGAGTCCGGTGCATCAGCGGTTGAAATGCATTCGATTTGATTACAGGCCCAGAGAATTGAATCAAAAGTCAGAGTTCTTGGCAACGAGACCCAGCTTCCAAAGACATTCGGAAGGACAAAGAGAGATGCAGCAGGTAGCTCGATATTGACTATTATCCCTACAGATCAGGGCACTGGCAACTTGGCAACAATACCTCAAAATTCCACGCATGAAGAAAAGCTGCTTCACTGCGGTGTTGGTCTCGGCCATTGTGAGAAAAAGCGGCACAAAAATTTTCTCCGAAGTTGGTTCGTTCTGCAGTGCGTGGACTGAGATTCCTCAGGACGGACGTTCGCTTGTGTGGTCTGCAGTTGGATCGTCAGCTGATGTCTATCTAGCAAGTGCTTGTCGACATGGTGGATTGGGCATATTTGTACGCTAGCGGAATTTACCGAAACTTTCCGCAAGTGAAGGCATGTGCGCTTGGTGAGCGCGCCAATCACGGCTCACATGGTGCTCAGGACTCACGCGATGAAGTTGGTGAGACTGTGAGAGGGGAAAGGAAGAGACTGATTGATTGCACTGGCAGCTCTCATGCTCTAAACCACGGATAATCTACGCCGGTTCCTCACTCTATCTCCTCGGATCTCCGGTCTGCCGCTGTCGATTTTGCTGCAGTACCGTATCGTGCACTTGTTCCTGCGCGGCGAGTGTTGCACAAAGGACTACAGATACCTTTGTTCCAAATGAACGCCTTCCGCTCGAAATCGCGACGCCCTATGTGAAAGACGCAGGAGTGGCATTATCAAGCCATCTTGCAACAGGCAAGAGGGCGCACAATGGTCGACACGGCGGCGCGGGAGTCTGAGGCCTACGACGGCTTGGCCCCAACACTTTGTGGTGAATTTCGAGGCAAGTCAGCTGAGTAAACCGGCTAAACAGGGAATTTGCTGACAACTTGGACTGTATCGACGACAGCTTGTAGTGTACTTCAAACCGTTCGCTGAACAAGAGGGCCCGAAGATGCTATAGATCAAAACGATGCTGTATTGGGGTATAGTGCGGCAGTAGAAACAATCAATTGCTTAGCAGCAACGCCGACTCACCTGCTCTCGAGCCATGCCTTCCAATCCGTCTTACCGGTCTGCGCGCCGTGAGCTACATTATCCTCCTCGGCACCCAAAAGATCATCTTCCTTCCAAGACGACCATGCATTCAGACCAGCGAGATGTCTCATCGTGGGTCTGCCATGTGGACAATTCCATGGTTTCTCCATCTCGCCCATATGACGTACGACTTTGCCCATTTGTGCCATGGTAAGTGTCTTGCCAACCATGATTGAGCTACGGCAGGCACGCATCGCAAGCATACGCTGCACTTTCCTTGGGCGAGGAATGTCCAGTGAGCCAGTTGGATGCTCTGATAGGAGGTGAAGCAGTTCCTCGAGATCGGACAAGTCAAACGTCTTCTCCTTGCTCATGGGCAGTGTGAGAAGACGGCAGCGCCTGCCAGTCATCACGGGCTCATCAGAGTCGTGAACAGTCGATGTCGTCTCGATCTCGAAGCCGTTGGCCTTTAATGCATCACCGTTTGACAAAACGACCTCCTCTTGAGTTGCTGTAAGTTGTAATGGTTTTGGTCTAACAAGACGCTGCGATTGCAGTGTGACTGTACGCTGCAGACGCTCATAATTGTATTTCTCATCAGCTGCATGCTGGTCAACGATGAACAAATCGTCGTCATCACCAGGCTCGGCCGCAGGCCTGACAGCAAGGATGAAGCCTAGATTGAATTGCCCGATGATGCGCATGCGGGCGAAATCTGGCTTGGTGACGGTCAGCGACAGCCTGCTCTCAGCTGCTACGTCGTCCAGCTCATCCTTGACGAGGGCATTGTCACCATCGCGAGTCTCACAGACCTGTATTGATGTTGCCGCGAAGCTCTCGACTTGCTTTCTGATCTTATCAGCGTCAACCTTCACAGTCGCTTCGAGATGTAGAGTAGAGTCTTTCCGATTGCCGCCGTTCTTAAGCATTTGCTTCGCTCGTTTAAGATTGTCCTCCGTTGGTCTCGCGGCAGATTCTTCCGCTTGCTGTATTATGCGGGCTACCCTCTCGTCCTCCCTGAGCTTCTTTTCATCTTCGTCCACATACTCATCGTCCCATGGATCGTCATTAGCATCTCCAGGAGTCAAGTCATCGAGGACATCCGACGCCAAATTAGGCAGCAACGGTCTCGTAAAGGAAACATCTTGAGCCGCCTCGACGGAGTCGCCAGGTAGCTCTGGTGGGTCATCATGATCTCTGCTCTCAGATGCTAGACTGGCAAGGTCATCATCTTCGTCAGGGCTTGCAGTTGCAGCACTATTCTCGAATTCCAGCTTAAGCTGGGATCCAGGCGCAGCAAAATTCTTTCTTAAGCCGCGGGCAAGTGATGGACTTGCTCCGTACTGCGCAACCCGCTGTGAATCTTCAGGCTGGTGGAGCCGCATCTTCTTGTACGGCGGACTAGTTCCTATCACAGTCATCGTCGTAACGTCGCCGATGGTGATTTCGGCAACCTGATGAGGGGTTCTTCTAGGTCGCATACGCTCAAAAGCATTGATGACTGGACCGTTTGGTAATTTCTGCGTCCCTGGTGTTAACGCTGGAATTGAAGGTTGTTGTGCCACGCCAGAAGCCATACTCTGGCTGACAGACTGTTCAGATTGCGCAGAAGTGTTTTCTGTCTCGGTGTCGATGGTGTCTCCCACGTGCTCATGAGATTTCCGCATTCCGTTCTCGTGCGCTATTTCCATGGCAGCATTGAAGTCTCGAACCTGACGATCTGGTTGCGGGGGCGGCTGGGAGAAGAAGTCACCAAATGGTGTACTCAGCGGATCTGGATTCAAAACCGCATCGTTGGCGACATTATCCGCCCCTCCAATAGCGATATCAACATCGCCATCCTTGTCCTCTTCAAGCAGCGATGCAGTTTCCATTGCCTGTTCCACACAATCACCGGAATCTTGTGCATCTTCTGTCATTTGAGCAATATCATCGGGGGGCTGCTGCTGCTGCTGCTTCTGAAGAGAGTCTGCGAGTTTTTGTTTCCCCTTACTAACGTCGCCATTCCTGGGTCTCGCCTCTTTTCGAGGCTCCGCATCCCTGCCAACCCAATTATGAATAAGATTAGATGGCGAGCTGACAGAGTTCGCACCAATAATGCCATGCAACTCTAGCGATGAAGCAGAGCTGTCAATTTCATCGTCGCTCCCTTCCGGTTCCGGCCCACTTTCCGGCGTCGTGGTATCTGCATTGTCTGGCTTCCGCAATGTGAGGGGCTGGTACGATGGCAGTTTGCGGTTGGGCAAGGTGGACTGAGGCACTGTGTGATCGGTTTCATTGAATAGCTTTCTAAGGGCTTCCTTCAAACTCTCAATCATTGCCGTCTGGTCGTGCAGCATAATCGTTCGTTTGTCAGGACTGACGTTGACGTCATATGCATTGGTGTTCATGACCAAATTCGCGAAGATGAACGGCTCTTGCGATACATTGAAGCTCTTGTAAACTTCCCTGAAAGCCTTGAGGATTTGAGGTAGTTGACATGGCCTGCCGTTGACGAAGAACATCTGACGATCTGGAGCCTGACGACCTTCGCCGAAAATAGGCTTTGAGATGTGACCTTGCACACGGACCTCCATCTCGCGATCGGTAGCCTGAGTGGACCAATTCCGTGCACTTTGCGAGGCTGGGCCAATACTAGGAGCCATCTCGAGGTGCAAATCCAGCTTCACCAAGGCTAATAAAGACTTGGCGCCAAAGACATTTGTGATGTTCTCCTTGGTGGTGGTGTTGGATTTGGTGGAGAAGACTGTTACCTTCTTGCCCTTTGGCATGGTGTTGCTGACGGAGAAGCGCACACCAACACTGACACAGGCATAGGCATACAGAAGATTGAGCACTTTGGTGTATTCGCGCTTGATGTTCTTTTCGAGCTCCTTTCGGCGGACGGGAAGGTTGTAGAAGATATCTTCGACGTACACGGTGGTGCCTTTCTGGGCGGCAGAGACGGAAGTGCTCTTGAGCTTGCCAGACACTTCAAAGTCGAGTCTCTTGCCGACTGCGCCATCTTCCGCGCGAGCAGTCAAGACATGAAACTTGGACAGGGCACATAGCGAGGACAATGCTTCGCCACGGAAGCCGAAGGTGTTGAGAGACGTCAGGTCGTCGTAGCTCGATAGCTTTGACGTAAAATGCTTAAGAGCAATGGTATCGTAGTCGTCTGGCGCGATGCCTTTGCCGTTATCCTGCACCTCAATGGAATCTAGTCCCTGATTCTTGAAGCGTATGTCGATGGATGTGGCGCCAGCGTCGAGGGCATTCTCCACGAGCTCCTTGGCCACGCTCTGGAGGTCGACAATGACTTGTCCCGACTGGATGTGATGTACGGAGCGATGCTCTATGGCCTTGATGCTGGCCATGGCCGGCGTTGCTTCAGCCCATTTTTGGTGATGGTGGTGGTGGTGGTGGTGGTGGTGGTGGTCGGTTGGAGAAGCAGGAAGAGCGCGTCGACGCGTTCCTCGTTTCGGAGTCGAGTGCCAAGCCTGCACGGGCCGACATGTCATCTAGAACTAGCTTTCTGTTCATTATCATCTCATCAGCACACATTCACTCACAGAATCCTAAAATGGCATTCGCACGGTCAGCAGCGTCGGCGGCGCTCAGAAGCGTTGTCTGTACGTCAGCTCGACGATTTCCCGCAACGCGAAGCCATGTCAAGCCACCATTGCAGCCGGCACACCAGCCATTGAAGCCAACATTCACTTCGGTCCGCTGGCATTCCGCATCAGGCTCGCTGTCCAAAGTCTACGATTTCAGCACAGTCAAGGACATGAGCGAGAAGCCATCGGCAGACCGCATACTTATTGGTGGGTCGCACAATCAAGAGGCTCCATATACATGAACATCTTACCCAAACCAGACGTTCGCGAGCCCGCTGAATACGAAGCCGGCTACATTCCCACTGCCATCAACCTTCCCATCAAGTCGCAGCCCGATGCGCTGTTCCTGCCCGAAGAAGAGTTCGAAGATCGATTCGGCTTTGAGAAGCCAGCCACCGACAAAGAAGTTATATTTTATTGCAAGTCTGGCGTACGGAGTAGTGCAGCTGCCCAATTGGCACAGCAGCACGGATACACGAACGTGGCGGAGTATCGAGGCAGTTGGCTAGACTGGACGAAGAACGGCGGAACTGCTAGTAAGCCTTGAGCATCGATACGCTGCCGCAAAAGAGGAACGCGTGGACTTGATCGGGTCACACGACAAATGGACGACGGACTCCACGCTACCTCGCGTATAGTACAAATATGCGACAGTTTCTCCTGTATCTTTGCGAAAGAGGAGCAAGGCTGTAGACCTGGGAATCACTCAGTCCTACAATGCCAAAAACAACCTCGATATACCGAAAGAAGTTAGTCAGCCCTCCACGCCAGGATTACCAGCTGACCTTGTATTCCTCTGTCTGCCGGCCGCGTTCAAGTGATTGCCGCTCTCGAACTGGCACAGGGTTTATGGCAGAGAGACGTTGAGCTGAATTGTATCAAAGCTCATTTGCGCACAATCCGGCTACCTTTGGACACTATCACCCCTTGGTCTTGGCAAGTCTTCCTCGTAGCTGCTGGCACTGACTGCGCCACTCTTGAACCAAAGCCCTATTTTGTGAGCTCTCGGCGATCGCAGAAATGCCTGTGAAAAGCACTGTCGACGTTGAACTAGCCTCAGAGGGCTCCGACGACCCAGGCGCCTGAGTCTGATCCTCCCGCATCACCATCTCTATTTCTCTTGGCCCTGGCAGGGAGCGATGCCAACGCTTATCAGGCTCGCACTGAGCATTATGCCTTGGTTCCGGAAGCTCTTCAGAAGGAAGAATCGATGATGGCTCTTGTTCGAACCGCGCAGACCCGAGTTTCTTTGCGCACCCCAAAGTTGGGGTGTCGTTACATACACCTGGACTCCGTCTCTAGATTTTGAAAATTTTGTTAACTGTGGTATTACTTGTGTTAGGCAAAAAGCGCAGAAAGCGAGCATTGCCGGACAGTGATGCTCCATCTCCTGAGGATGTGATTGAGGTCAAAGCCAACCATGGAGCTGCATTAATCATACCTGCTCCACTGCTACAGCCTGCCGCGCGGGGTACCACACAGGCTGCTCGCAGTGGAGCTACCGGTTTGCGAATGGCATGGCTTACAAAGTGGTACATCGGCGACTTCTTCCCTGGTTACATCATAAAATGCCCCATTCACGAAACCTCAATGCTTTTCTGAGCAACGGAAGCAACGGGCATATTCATAGGTGTGAAAATATGCCGGAGGTTTTTGACTTATCTCTTCATATGAATCATCGTGGCTTCTAGCCCAATGCAAAATTGTCATCTGAAAAGCTATGTTCATGTTACGATACTCATGTCATGTATGCATGCTTGCTGTGTAAGTCACACTTCATTTTCTCACGACCAGGAACACAATGGCCATACTGATCACAGCAAAGATGAGAACACCGAACAATGAGATTAGCACGATCCGTGCCTTCTTCCTCCGTCTTGCTCGGAACAAGTTCTGTCTTATCCTCATCTCCTCCTTTCGTCGCTCCGCAGACAACCACTCAAAGTAATGATGTTCACTGGCATGCTTCTGACCATGACTTCGACTTCGACCTCTCTCTAGATGCGGCGAAGCCTCAAACCTGGTTTCTCGCTGCCGCCGTGGGGCGTCACTGTGTGACCGGGTTCGAGTTGGCTCGATAGCGATTTCTGGAACCAGAATGGGCTGCTTCTGCCTCTGCTTCCCGAGGGCTTCAGCTTCCCAGTCGACGATAGCGTCTGACCGATCACTATGCGTTTCGTACAACCCGAGAATGTCGTTCGTAGTATCAGAAGAAGGCGGTTTCGATTTTCCCATTCCATGCACGCTAATATCTCCACACAAAGGCCAATCGTCTTTTTGTGCAACTTCTGGTGCAGGGAGTTCGACTAGCATTCGTCCTTGTGGAGAGGCTGTGCCTAATCGATTCTGCCATATTCTGCCTGCATTTACGGCGTTCAGTGGTGGAAGTGGCGGCCTCCTGGGCTCCAGGAATTTGGCCTCGCGAGCGTCTTCGACTGGACAGTAGTTTACTCCTCCGGATCTTGAACGCTGTCTTGATCTCGTCGAATGACTTTGCTTCAGGTGCGGAAACGGTAGCGCTGGCAGTGGCTTATCGCTAGCAGCACTTTTTGGTGTCCCCAAGATTGGATCTGTTGCTGGCAATGGGTACTCGCTCATCTCTGCCGCTGGCATCACTGCCGTGTAACATAGAGTACAATCCGGGTTATCGGGCTATCATGCAGTACATGTAGTGTGTGACAAACAAAGATCGACGGAGGAGAAGCGCGCGCGAGTTTCATGACGAGCAAACTGCTCAGGTGCGCTTAGAGACTAGGTACAGTGATACAGAGCTTTCAGAAATGACCCAATGCCGATGGCTGCGAGGAGCCTGGCCTGCAGCCGCCCTGCGTCGTTTGACAAGGCTTTGAGACAACTTCAACCATCCTTGTGCACGCGGCGTGCAAGCTTTTTGCGCCGCCTCCGTTGTATACATCTTAGGGTCAGGAAAGGACCAGGACCAGACAAGTAGCATTGTGCTTGGAATGAAGCAGATGAGGAGTTTATCAGGCTGTGCATTAGTCAGAAGCCATGAAACCAGATATGGAGCCCAGCAAGTGCCATTGACGCCAAAGCTGAGAAACGTGCAGCGTGTATACTATTCTATGACGTCGATCAGCTCGTGAGGCATCGTAAGTTGTAACTCCTGACAGTTAAGCTTATAGGCGCTGTCCCACCATGGGGAATACGCAGGGGTGAAGTACGGATTCAGATGAGGATCTGCTATATCCTTGTCCCGGCTTGGCTCCGGCTTTGGTAGGGAGTCGGTTCATGCTTTGATCGAGCACCACCGTCGTTGAACCCAGGAACATCTTTCAGGTCTAATAACGGATTAGGATGAGCATCGATACCCTCCAGTCTCACACCAGGCCTCCATCGCCATTTATCCGCCGTCTCTGCGTCGAGCTTCCCCTCAAGCATGTCCACCACGTACTTCCCAATGACTGGCATGAACTTGAAACCATGAGCAGACCCGCCAACAGCTAGTCTTAAGCCTGGATGAGAGGGATGTGCTCCTATCCGAAAGTGATAGTCTGCCATGTCAGCATCCCAACAGATCCGAGTTTCAACCCAAGAACGGTCCGCCAGAGCAGGGCAAAACTCCTTGAGCCACTTCCGCAATTGATCCTCGATGGGCTTTGGGATGGTGTCCTCTGGATGATCTGATCGATAGCGCGGCAATGATACACTTGGGTGGTCTTTGGAGTAGTTCATAACGAAGTGAACAGCCCCGACCTTGACGAGGCCGTCTTCTTGCGGAGGAAAGAGAATTCCTGAACACATTAGGGTTGAACATAACCTGAAAGCTCACAGCCTGCACTCACCTCCTTCAAGGTGGTCCACCACAGGCGTTGACCGATAGGTGTCCATTTCTTCGGCACAAAGCTGTATATGCCCCACTGTGTGGCCTTTGGCGACCAATTGAGCTTTCATATCCAGTAAACTTGCGGCCGCAGCACCAGCAGCGAGGATGATCTCATCTGCAAAATATGCAGTGCCATCGGCAATTTTCGCACCAATGCATCGACCTCGTTCGTCGAAAAGAAGCTGCTTCACATGACCAGCAGTACCACTGACATAGAGGACGCCAGCCTGCTATGCTGCAAGTTGAAGCCTGCAACAGCCATCCGATACAAGGCTTCGCGGGCATTTGCCCAGCCTGCTGAGGAATTCCAATACGTTCGCCAGCCTTTCATGTCGCCATCGTACGCCGGAAATCTTCGTCGAACCTCGTCATTGGTCAAATGCTGTGCTTGCTCAAATCCGCGTTCGGCAGCAGTCTTTATGGAACCTTCAATGAAACGTAGACTTCTCTGACCAGCAGCCATAAGCCAGCCGGATCTATGGTATAGCCCTGCAAAAAGGCCCTTGGGGTCTCGCCATAATTGGATACTCTCGGTTGCAAGATCAGATCAGCGTAAAGTCGATCAGGGTAATCAGCTCGAATAATTTTGTTGATGTCGTTTCCTGCCGCTTCTTGCGATGGTGGAGCAGAGCGATCAAGAACAGTCACGTTTCTGTACCCTCGTTGTGATAGATGGTATGCAGTGCTTGTGCCGAAAGTTCCACCTCCCACGATAAGGACGTTGCGGCTTTTGCCGTCTTTGGTCGACATTGTTATTCTCGAGATGCCTTTGAAAAGTATTGCCGCGCTCCAGTTAGTCAAAAATGAGGTTAAGCTCTCTATTGCCGCTATTTGGAACATGGTAGCGCGGTCTTGCGCTCGGCCGATGGGAAGCCACCTTGCCCGGCCTGTTAGCATCGGCCAGGAGTGTTGAAGGTCGCCTGCAACTCACAGCGATAACGCGCTTCGCCGCATCAGGCGGCAATTCGAATATCTGATCGCAGTTTGAAGCTGTTATCAAATTTCCGCCGCATGTTGGCACAATAGCAATAGCCTTGCGCTATGGATATGAAACGCTCGACTATTGGGACGAAAGCAATGGCAAACAAGCCATTTAACAATCCGGTTGTCCAGCAAGTGGTCTCGCAGGAGAATGGCGAGACCAAAGAAACCACACTGGAGGACATTGAAACCAGAGACGGGGAGTACCGAAGGAGTTTCACGGCACGACACATTCATGTACGTTGACGCTATCACTCAATGGCTTGAAGATCCCTACTGACGCTGTTCTCCAGATCATATCTCTCGGTGGTCAAATAGGAGCAGGTTTGTTCATCAGCTCAGGGAAGAACTTGAGGGATGGAGGACCAGCCACTCTCTTCCTGGCCTTTGCAACAGTGTGCACTTGCGTTTTCGCAGTCTTGAATACTGTTTCCGAGATGACCATTGCTTTTCCAACCTCTGGCAATTACAGTGAGCAACGGCAGTGTGGCGTATCTTGCCATTGATTTTGTGACTGATCCAATTCTGCAAGTTGACTATGCCGACCGGTTTGTAGATCCGTACGTATACCGTCCGACATCTTCTTTCCGAGAGCTTTTGCTGATGAGTAGCACTTTTGACTTTCAGTGCCTTAGCATTTGCTGGAGGCTTCAGTATGTGGTTAGGGTGGACAGCGATTGTAGCCGCGGAAGCAACATTCTTTTCGGTCATCATCAATTATGTCAGTATATCAGGCATTAAGCTCATGGCAATGATTCTTGCTGACCTTGCCTCAGTGGGCTGAGAACCGCGTGAATGAAGCTGTATGGTATACTGTCTTCCTGGTGATAATGCTCGTTATCTTCGCGCTTCCGAACACGGTCTTTGCTTGGTTCGAATATGCGACGAGCATCATGAAGGTGTTGGCACTTTTCGTATTCATCCTAGCTGGATTCGCAATGGTCCTCGGCGCCGGACCAAATGGCTACGTGCACCATGGCGAGACGTGGTCGAACGGCTTGGCCTTCAGGAATGGCTTCAAGGGATACAGCAATTCTGTTCTTCTGTTCTTCTTGCAGTTCTCGCTATCGGAGACAACACCTTTACTGGATTTCTTGCAGGAGAAGCTAAGACCCCAAGGTTCTCGATAGCGCATGCCGTCATACTTATCCCAATCCGCGTGACAGTCCTCTATCTGCTCTCAATGCTGTTCATTGGATTGCTAGTACCGGCAACAGATCAGCGACTTCTTGGTGGATCCGGCAGTGCGGCTTCGCCGTTTGTCATCGCCTTAGCTGAGGCCGGTATGCCTGGGCTCCCAGAATTGTTAAATGTGGTTATCATGTTCGCAGTAGCTGCCATCGGAGCCGAGTCGGTCTTCGTTGCGTCGCGAATCCTTCGGGCAATGAGCCACCAGCGGCTTATACCCGCGTGGGTAGCTCACGTTGATCGTAAAGGTCGACCAAGATGGGCACTTCTCATCACATACACTAGTGCCGTCGCGCTCACGTACTGCAACCTCAGCGCAGGAGGCATTACTGTGTTCAACTGGCTTGCCCAGATTGCAACAACTGGATACTTCATGGTCTGGGTAGTCATCGGAATCACTTCATTCCGCTTTCGAGCAGCATTGAAGGCGCAAGACGACCCTCTCTTCGAGCAAAGGTATGCATGGAGATGCAAATGGTGGCCAGTTCCGCCTGCGTGGCTTCTGCTCTGCTGCTCGCTATACACGGGATGCTCGTTCTACATGGCATTGTATCCCATCGGATCCGACACTCCTTCGGCATATTCTTTCTTCCAGTACATGATCGGTACCGTACTTATACTGGGGTTGGGGACCATTTACAAAGTAGTTTTCAGGACCAAGCTGAGAGATCCGGAGGGGGTAGATTTGCGAACTGGGCGGCGACTGTTGAGTGAGGAGGAGATCAAGATGCTGGACGACTACTATGGGTCGTCTAAATGGCGTCGGCTTGCTGCCTTTCTGCAGCTGTGGTAGAGCAAATCGGCCAATAAATGAGTGTCACACAACTGTAGAAAGGAAAGCCTACGTGAGGACGTGAGTAACAGTTGTGGCCAGCCCAACATCGGAGAGAAGTCCGGGAGCTCTCAATTGGTTGTGGCTAGTCTCCTAGTGTCAAGTCTCCATTCACCTACAACAGCCAACGTCGGTCAATACAGCTTCGTCTTATGAACCATCATCGTGCAGCAATATCCCACCAAAGGTCAGAGCTTGAAGAATAGGTCATGTGTAGGGCGTGCGAAGGAGAGCATGGCCTGGCTCTCAAGTGAGTCGCAAAAGGAGGCTTGGACAGCGTTCTCCATGGCGTGCGCAAAGGGGAACGGAGACCAATCCAGATGTACACTTTCCCTGTTCTCTGGCTGTCGCTCTCCTCAAAAGAAGGAACACATACAGAAGCGGCCATCGAACGTCAAGAATCACGCGGGTGGTGCGTGAAGAGGGTGCGGTGCGGCGGATTCTCAGTCGAGGATCAGCACTCCATGCGTCGGCATGGCCTAAGTTGAGGCCGCTCGATGAGTCCGCGATGAATGCTGCTTGGCGGCCTCTGAACACTGTTACGAAGCTACGAAGGCTAATGTGCTACCTCACACGCAGCAACTTGGTTCTGCAGTCAGCCCCGATTACCCCACCAAGCCGGTGAGACTCATCTTTCAAGAACTCAAGATATTGGAAGTTGTCCTCACCGGCTTGCTTGTTGCCGGCCTCGCGTTAGGGAGAACCGCCATCTAGCAGTCGCAGATTCCGTCCGGCGCCGCCGAGTCTGTGACAGCTCTGACACCTTGTCAGAATGCTTTGGATGAACACGACAAGGTCTCACCTCGAGGCGGCCCTCACCGGCCGAATCTTCGCTCACTCGCCACCCTGAGGCCTGAGGTGGCGCACTCATCTCCACTCACATGATTAAGACAATGCGGTCCTCTATTGGTGAGCGATCGAAGGCATATTGAACCAAGTGGAACCAGCAAGACCACCGCCATCCTGCCTCCTCAGTTCTCGACGGCATCCAGAGGGCTTTGCCTAGCTCGTAGAAGTGATAATGACAGCGATGCATTCGGTGCCGCCGTAACTGGCTCAAATGCAGGCTACGAATGGATTCTCGGGATCGTCGACAGACGGAAGACTTTATTTCGACCAATGTCGTTGACTTGCTTGATGCACCGCCTGGCTCTTCTTGACCTCGACGTAGCTGCGAAGTGAGCAGACAACTTCGATCCGAGCAATTCGTTATGAGCCAAGAGGCAATGCTAGCAAGATGAGGCAACAAGAAACCAGGGCCGAGTTTGAGAATGGCATATAAAGAGGCCTTAATCATTTCCAGTGTCTTCATACTCCAAACCGCCAAGCAAGTGTCTGAGTATGGGCCATCATCCTCACTCAATTCCACCGCAAACCACAATCTTTCCAGGACAGCTTTTTGGTACCTTCGACGAGCACTCTTCGCCTCATTGTCACCAAACAGTAGTACACCGAAGATGATAGTGTGGCAGCCAAGAGATCCTGGGAAGGACGATCCCCCGGGCAGACGCGGAAAGACTCACAAATTCGGAGGTTAGCAAGTATGGGAATGTGGATCGAGAGCGAAATGGAAGCTAACGTAAGACCAGCCATGAGACCCTTCGCCAGGTCGCAGCGATGAGATCTCTTTCAGTTAGAACCAGCCTTACAGTGGCGATGAGCAGTCATTAGAGAGTATGCTACTCTCTGCAACAGGAGGCTGATGATTAGGATTTTGGGGCGGGACTTGGGACGACATTGGAGTTTGGGTTAGAGGAGACGCCTCGCGGCGACAGTGATAGTTCTGATGTATTCTTTGGTACAAGGTTGGACTCATCCATGGACTCGACAAGTCTCTCGTCTTGTGATGGGGCGAGACTATTCGAGAATCCACCCCGGCTATTCGAGAATCTACGGACCTAGGGCCGCTCCGGTCTCGGTGAGACCAAATTGGTAGTAATCCACATAGAATAATATCGCATAAAGACATGTGATGCCCTTGCTAGCTGCTTAGTAGAATAATAACGTAGGAAAGAAGAATTAAGTAAATAATAGACGTAGAATTCGACACTATAGCTAATCCTAACTATTCTAGGCATACTGCCTGCCTAGCAAATAAGGTTCTACTACCCTCGTATTAACGTATAGCTCCTGCCATACTAAATCAGTATAGCCTAAGATACCTGCTAGCGCCGTAGGTACTAGTAGAGTCCTCGGAGAGGGCGGAGGCCCCTATATAAATAAATAAGTAGATATAGGGTCCCTATCGTACTGCCTATGCTTATAGCAGCCTACGTAGCAGTCTACGTTGTCTTTAACGCACTTGTACCTCCTATAGGCCGTTTTGTATATACAACCCTTGCGTAAAGGTTGCCGTAGTACTAGTAGCAGTAGAGGTAGAATAGGCCTTCTAGGCTTAGCCTGTCTTATCGCTTCTTGCTAGTCTATAGCCTTAGCGGCTTATTTAATAAGCTTAGGTCTAGTTGCCTTACGCCGAGTCGACCGTACAAGCCGCTTATTAATCCGCTTAAGTAGCTCTAAGATACGGTAAGTAGTAGTAGCCTCGTTACTATTATAATCGCTCCTTAGTATTCGCTAGTGCTTATTAAACTAGCCGATAGTAAGAATGCCGGCTATAGACTCCTCGATTATTAGTATTTAGTATATACAATTTAGGCTATAGACCCTTCGATAGCACTAGGTATATACTAATAGCCTATAACTATTAGACTTCCGCTTCTCGAGCTTACTATATACGAGAGCCCTTCGCTCGGCTACCTTCCGTAGAGCGAAGGTACTAATATAGCTAACAACCTCGGCATAGAGGGGGTCGTTTAAGAACACCGTTACTAGTTATATAATCTCGAGTCTAACTATTGCTTAATAGCGGTCAACCTAGTACTAGAAATAGGGCACTATCCGGTTAATAAAGCTATAGATATTATTCTTACAGGTCGTTAGCTATGCCTTAATGCTAGCGTAACAACCTTCTACTAGCGAGGTTGTTATATTGCTAAAATAGCGTATCCTGTTAATCTAGTATTTAATATAGTGCTATCGGTGAATCTACTATATATTAGCTATATAACTAGCTAGTATTTGCTAGTCCTTATTGTCCGAGTAGTCTCGTATAGGCTCACCTTTACTAGCGGCAATCTTGCCGCTCTCGAGGGCCTTCGAGTTAGTTGCAAACGACTCAACCGACGGCGAGTTAATAGCCTTGTTAAATAGGTCTATAAAGTCCTATATAGCTACACTTAATAGCCTCCGCCTTATCGATAGATTAGGTAGCCTAGTACTAAGGAAGGCCTTCGTATTAGCCTCTACTACGCGTCTAATATACTAGCGGCAGAGCTATATATACAAATAAGTCTAGTCGCTTGCTAGTGCCTTAATTAGTGCCTTGTTATAGTTATAGATTATAAGCCGTAGCTCTTCTATACCGTATTCTAATAGCAACTCCTATATACAGCTAATAGCTATAGAATACTGTTTAGTTACCTGTCTAGGCATAAATATAAGCGCTAAAGGGAAGGTTTGGTTAAACTGATTAAGTAAGGCGATTATAAGCAATAGCAAGCCGTATTCGTTAGTTTTATAGGTACAATCTATAACTATAATATCCGGACAGTTCTTATAGATATTGATTATCTTAGGGTACGAGAAATACAGCTATTCTAGCCGTTGCTTACTACTTAGTCTAGTGCTAATACCCTTCTGTACGAAGTAGTTCTATTATAGGAGGTCCTCGATCGTCTTATCGACTACTAACTTGCTAGCAAGTCGCAACTTCTTAGCCTTTTGCTAGGTATTTAAGATGTCTCGTAAAGTGGCGGGTACGATAGGCGATTGCTAGTCTCTACTACTACTAAAACGGAGCTTAATAGCGGCCTTAATCTGTCGATTAGTAACGCCTATAGACCTTAACTGCAATATAGCCTTAACAATCTCTATCGTACGAGCTCGGCGGCGGTAATTAGCTAGCGCTATTAGATAGACTACTAGATAGTTATAGTTAGAGCTATTAAATATAAGAGACTAGGTACTATTATTAGGGTCCTTCTAGTCGTCCGTAGTAAGGGCTATAGACTAAGGGCAATTATACTTCTTTAAACGGCCTTTACGAGTCTTAGTAGTAGGATAAAGAAGCCTTCTCTCGTTACGCTTCTTCCTTACCGTCTCGCGTAATACCGGTATTAAATACTTAGTATAGCGCAGTAAGAAGGTCTAGTAAGTATAGTCCTTATTGCGCTTATAGCCGGTCCTTCTAAGCTTAAACCCCTTCTCTAGTACGAATATGTCTATATAGTCCTCGGCTGCTATAATACTATTAAATACCTAGTTTTCGGGGTTCTCGATAGTTGCGTACGATCTAGGTTTATAAGCCTCTGCCTCTAACTCGGACTAGTTACTATATTTGTCGTTGTTGCTAAAGTTATAGGCTAGTTATTAAGGAGACTCGATTTCTACCGAAGGAGGGCGTTGTTCTTACTAACTAACCCCGCCTTCGCCGTTATTACTATCGCTACTACTACTACTACTACTACTACTACTAACTTTAACTTCTTCTTCTTCTTTACTATTCTATTTACTACCCTTACTACTTAGTAGCCTCTACCTCTTACTAGGTATAGCATATAGTATAAAGCGGATCGCTTTATGCTAAAGGACGGAAGCTAAAACTACTACCACCACTAGCAGTAATAGTATAGGCCACCGAGGGTAACATAACCTATAGCAATATAGGCAGCTACGTTTAGCATAATAGGATGACAAGACGGTTGCTTAGGCTAGTAACTAGAGCCCTGCAATATAGGCATTGTAGAAGTGTAACCTAAATAATGTACTATACGAGGTTAGTGCTCTATCTACAATACAGAAGGAGGCCTCTTATATAGGCTTAAAACTCAGCCTAGGTATGTAGGGCCGGTTACTAGCTAATATCCCTCCCTTTCTTCGTATCTAACTAGACACGCTTTACATTATGCGCTTAAAACAAACAGTTATATAGTAACCTTAGGCATCTTAGCTAAGGCTATCTTTTAGAGACTCCGCAATAACACCCCCGGGGTAGTATTGTTCCTAGATTCTATTAATATGCAAAAACAACTTCCTAAGTATCTAATCCACTACGCTAACTTACTACTGCTTTAATGCACCGTAATCCTTACTAGCAATAACCTTATCTGCTAGTCGGCTCTCGAAATCTCCTCTGTATACGTTGAAGCTATTAGCACCGAAGTACTGTCCCTCGTAGAAAGCTTAATTAACGAGGAGGTTAACAGCCTTTTCCGTCGTAGCATTCTCCTAATTGTGCAGATATTCCTTAAGTCCCTCGTTATTAAGCTAGAGGATCTGTTTAACTTCGTTCTAAACAACGTAACTTAACTAAGGAATCCTACTAACTAGAGCGTCGGAGATGCAGCCGAGGCCTTCGACTAAGATCGCCGTAGGGAAAGCGAATAGCACAAAGGAGTTAGAGGCCGGGAGGGCGGTTAGATTGCGGTACGCTTTAGCAACCTAGGAGACTGTCAAGTTCTCGTAACCCTTAACCTTAGTGCCGTTAATAACGCGAGAGTAGCCTAGGTTAATTAATATGCGGTTGCTCTTAGTCTTTAGATTACTATATAGCAGGTATAGCATCTAAATAGAGACTTCGCATTCCTTTAGAGGGTTAAGGATCTATTCCGCTTTGCGCCCCTTACTATTAGGCTAACTATCGAATATATAGTCGAGGTCGTCGTCGGTAAGGTGCTTATTAGTAAGCTTGCCGATCTTGCTTAGTAGGACTAGGCTACGAGCCTTAAGCTTCTTAACCTAGTTCGCAAAGACCTCGGGCTAATGCATACCTTCGACAATAGTAGAGCAGCTAGTCTTATCCTTAGACATAAGGCAGACCTTAATACGTAGGTAACTAGCTCCCTCGCTAGCTGCGAGCTTAACTATATCTTGTCCGAGACGAGCAGACTCCTTAGAAGGACAGTTTTTATAAGTACCGCCAACCTTAAAGAACTTAGTAGGCTTAGGGACAGAGATAAGCTTGTATATGTAATTAGGTCGAAGGGCGATAGCTAAGAGCTATAGGGCAGGGTACTAGCGGACGATTTGGTTGCTTATACTATAAGTTTAAAGGGCATTACGGCCTTCTTGCTTAGACTTAGGCATCGCACGCATATGCTAAAGGTATATTTCAAACTCCTCCTATATTAGGTCGATAAGGAAAGGAAGATGTGCTCTACGAGGCTCTTATAACTAACTAAAGACCTAAGGGAAGATAGCATTGCTAGTCTAGCGAAAGCGGTCGAAGGAGGTGCCTTAGCTAAGGATGCCGGTAACGAACTTACTCTAGCGATCCGTTAGCGTAAGGGCGCGAGTGATAGTACTAGTAGGGTTGAACGCGTAGAGTCCTAGAGATATCGGGGCGGCAACAGGGCGTCTAGGAAACTAGTTAGCATAGGCCTAATTAGCCTTAAGGGCAGCGAAGGCGTCTTAATTAGGAACCTCGCGACTAATCTTTAATAGGCGACCGACGAGGACACTCGCCTTAGTACTAGTATAGAGACTATAGACCTTAGCGGCCTTCTTAATATAGTTAGCATATATAGAGAACGGCTCTTCTCCTAGCTTGCTAAGGTCGTCGAGCTATTAATAGATAGAGAGGGCGGTAGGAGCTTCGCCTATTGCGGCTTTAGGAACTATATCGATGTCGGTAATAAGGTACGCGATAGAGTCGCCCTTATAAGAACTACAAATATTCTTAGTTAATAGGATCGGCGAGAGGCCTCTATTTCTACGCTCGCTAAAGGAGCCTTCGGAGGAGACATCCTCTAGTAGTATATCTAGTATATTAACATCCGAGTTACTATAGTTAGTACTATAGTTAGTACTATAGTCGGTACTAGAAGGAGTGCTATACTTCTTAGTAGCCTTACGGAGGGCCTAGCGAGTATACAATACCTTCTTGCGCGCTACTTCGGCCTTAGCGCGCTC